TTGGCAGTTACAATGACGACAATGCAATACTCGAGATTTCTAGACTCTCCAGACGGCAGGTATGCGCTGGCGGCGGCTTGGTTTCAATTCGCATTATTTCGTGAATTTTGACTTAAACCAACTTTATGACTGGATATAAACATTTAATTTATTTTGATTAATTAAATTAATTTCTAAGCAAACGTAATATATTTGGATAGCTTAAATTGCTGCAACCAACTGTACACTGCTGCATATCAAAGTGGCCGGCGCACTCGTCGTAAAGCTACTTCTAAGTTAATTTAACGAGGCGGAGAATTTGTGCGGAGGACCACTCGATGGTTATTTCAATTAGTTCGCAGATGAGGGATATCTAGGAAACGTTTTCGAATTTTCTAATTTCCGCCATGCGCCGGAACGGCTTTGCCTAATTCGCCCCGAATTCAAATGGCATTTTCGCACCGTGGGAGATTTGCGCACTTCTTGGTTCGATTATTTTAATATTATGCATACAGTTTGGGAAAGTGCGCGCAGATATTATTCAAATGCGCTCTCAGCGCTTTCGGCGTGTATGCGGTCCGGGGAATCTATGTTTCCACGTGAACCCGAGACCAGAGATGGAAGATATGCGCCTAACGAAGGAAAACGCAAATTCGTTCAGGTGTGTGCACATCCGCACCCTGCCATTGAATGTCCCATCCGGATTGTTCAGGGCGTAAACTCTGATAGCACTAGTTTTACTTTTGTTCTTCAAACATTTTTGTTTTTGGTTTTTAATTTTTGTCATTTTTCGTTCATTTCTTTACTGTTTCGCTAGGAAACATGACATTAACTTAATGACTCTAAGATATATGTCTCCATTACAAGCCGGAATTATCTTGACATCTTCTTAACATGCTTATTCAGCATTTTCTTATTTAATGAATAAAATAATCAAATATTTTAGGTTAAAGGTTGTTTTCCGCAATAACTCGGAAAGTAATAAAGATAGAGACATGATTTTTGTTCCTATTGATAAGCGAAAAATGTGATTAAAAGTGCAAAAAACTGATATTTTTATAATTTTGACGATTGTTTACAATTGCGAATATCTCGTAAACTAAAAGAGATAGAAAGGTCAAATCGCAGACTCTTAACCTACGGAAAATTCTCTACAAGATAGGCTAGTTAAAATCGAAATCTAAGAGATGAAATTTTCACTCCTAAGAAAAAAATGGGCAAGGGGGGGTGCTTGATTCTTTTTTTCGACGATTTTCAATAATTAATATCTTCTAAACTAAAAGAGATAGCAACCGGCGGAAAGTAGATTATGAAAGATTGGATCATTCTCTATTAGCTAGGGATTTAAAATTATTTAATTTCAAAGAGTAAAGGGTCGAAAAATGCGACTAAAAGTGCTAAAAAGTGACATTTTTCAATTTTTGACCATTTTCTTCAAATGTGAATATCTCGTAAACTAAAAGAGATAGGAAGGCCAAATCGTAGATTCTTGATCTACGAAAAATTCTCTACAAGATAGGCTAGTTAAAACCGAAATCTAAGAGATGAAATTTTCACTCTTAAGAAAAAAATGGGCAAGGGGGGGTGCTTGATTCTTTTTTTCGACGATTTTCAATAATTAATATCTTCTAAACTAAAAGAGATAGCAACCGGCGGAAAGTAGATTATGAAAGATTGGATCATTCTCTATTAGCTAGGGATTTAAAATTATTTAATTTCAAAGAGTAAAGGGTCGAAAAATGCGACTAAAAGTGCTAAAAAGTGACATTTTTCAATTTTTGACCATTTTCTTCAAATGTGAATATCTCGTAAACTAAAAGAGATAGGAAGGCCAAATCGTAGATTCTTGATCTACGAAAAATTCTCTACAAGATAGGCTAGTTAAAACCGAAATCTAAGAGATGAAATTTTCACTCCTAAGAAAAAAATGGGCAAGGGGGGGTGCTTGATTCTTTTTTTCGACGATTTTCAATAATTAATATCTTCTAAACTAAAAGAGATAGCAACCGGCGGAAAGTAGATTATGAAAGATTGGATCATTCTCTATTAGCTAGGGATTTAAAATTATTTAATTTCAAAGAGTAAAGGGTCGAAAAATGCGACTAAAAGTGCTAAAAAGTGACATTTTTCAATTTTTGACCATTTTCTTCAAATGTGAATATCTCGTAAACTAAAAGAGATAGGAAGGCCAAATCGTAGATTCTTGATCTACGAAAAATTCTCTACAAGATAGGCTAGTTAAAATCGAAATCTAAGAGATGAAATTTTCACTCCTAAGAAAAAAATGGGCAAGGGGGGGTGCTTGATTCTTTTTTTCGACGATTTTCGATCGCGAATATCTTTTAAACTAAAAGAGATAGCAGCCAGCGGAAAGTAGATTATGATAGATTAGCTCATTCTCTATTAGCTAGGGATTTAAAATTATTTAATTTCAAAGAGTAAAGGGTCGAAAAATGCGACTAAAAGTGCTAAAAAGTGACATTTTTCAATTTTTGACCGTTTTCTTCAAATGTGAATTTAAAATTATTTAATTTCAAAGAGTAAAGAGGTCGATAGATGCGACTAAATTATGTGCTAAAAAGTAACATTTTTCAATTTTTGACTATTATTCAATTTATTTCTCGTAAATAATCTACAATATTTTTGTATTTGCGGATAGATAAGTATTAAAATCAAAAATTTATTTTCTAATAATAAATAGAAAATCGTGTTTTAGCGAGAAAACGTGTTTTAGCGAGATGTGAATCCTAGGCAACTAGTACAACTTTAAAGAATCACTCTGGATATACTCGTACACTGGAATTAGAATGTTGAAATGTCGAGCGAGAGGCGGGTGTAATGCATCTAATAACAAACCACCCGAGCAATGTTTGCATAACGCACGCACGTGATATATGACACCAGCGCGGATCCTTGTCGTCCGGGTGGAATACAAGGCGTTGACGCTCGACGCGCGGAACTAGAAATGGCTGCGAGCGAATGTTTTCGGGCCTCCACTTTGCCTAATTGAAACGCGCGCGCGAGCGGAGGCAACGTGCAGCATGATACGCGGAACGGAATTATCAGCGAACGTTTATTACCAGCGCGAATGGCAAATGGCAAGCGAATGGGGAGCTCGAAGTTGCCGGAGAAGTGCCCAAATGGGGGATGAGGAATAGGTGTGTTGGGACAAGTGCCGAAGCAATGTATTAACCCACAGAATAGGAGAATAGCAGAATAGGACTTGTTCTAGGTTATCTAGTTTTAACCTAAAATTAAAAAGAAAAAAAATTGCTTTTCACCATTTTTTTCGACAAATATCATAACAATTCTTATTTTTTAAAAGCAAATCAGTAGTTTTAATTGAAACCTATCAACGGAACCAAATTTTAAGTCTCTATTATTATTAGTTTTTGAGTTATAACGTTAAATAACTTTTAACCTCAAATATTTGGTTATTTTGAGAAGTTTAAATACTAGGCGCCCTTGAAACTAATTAAGCAATGAACATTTTCACATTTGCAACCTAGAAACATCGTGCGGAACAATTTGGGAAAGCGTTTAGCGAAGCAACTTTTCCACTTCATTTAACACACCAAACGCTGCTCGACGATTGTTCGCGTCCTACCGTCCCTGAAAGAGTGTTACCCAAATTGGCCGAGTGCAAATACATATTCATCCGAGCGTAAATATTCATAGGGATAGGAAATTTTGTTTGTTTTCACATTTTTTACTTCTTTTTACTTGCACATTTGCCTATCTCGTATAATTAAAACGAAGACCAGCGTCGTTAGACTTTTTGTCTAGCATTCTACTAATTCTATTTTTATCCTCGACGCCATTTAATTAACAACAACTTAATCAAGCTAAATGGATCTCATTAGCATTTGTATACAATAGGATTACTCGTATTTTAGTTTTTTTCCGGTTTAAACTAAACAATAAAATTAATGTTTGCGGTGCGCGTATTTATTTAGTGCAGATCTCGTGTGATAAACATAAAAATAGCGCGCAGCTTGTTTGTGGCGCTTCAGATTCAATTTGTGTTGCTTATCCCTGCGTTTTCCGCACATTTCTCTTGTCTGCCGGGGCGCAAAAATCGAAGGCTATATTTCGCCAGTTTGTCCACTTTAGTGCCGAGATAATATATTTCTTATTGTTATTTTGGCTAGCTGCCAACAACTCTTTGACTATTATTATATATCAGTGCCACTCACACAAACATAACCTACTTCTTTCGCTATTTACTACAGCTCTAACCCTACCGGTCAAACGGCAGGAGAAAAAAAATAATGCAAGCGAAATATAGAAGTTCATAGACGCCGACACGTTCGAAGGACATTTCCACTCTTTCCACTCTTCTCGTTTTGGCCGGAAGTAATTTTCCACGTCCAGGTTGCGCAGAAGGTTTTTATATACAGAGTGTTGCAAATTTTATTTTTATTTTTTTAATATTATTTGTGTTTTAGTGGTGTTTAATAGTTTAATAGGAAACTGTTACACTGTGACTAGTTTTAATCGCCATAGTTACGATGTAGTAAAGTTTTATTTAACGGCCCGTTTTTATGACGTCAAAAATAAACGTATTTACGTGCCGGTGAAAATATGGTGCGCAAAGAAAACGCAAAACAGCAGCAGGGAAAAGGTGAAGAGCATAAGGCCTATGTTTGGCATCCGTACCCCACTTTTACCTTTCTTCTCATCCGCTGAAAACGTTTCGAAACGCCCGCACGTGCTAAAACCCACCACCCCCGCGCGCTCGCTCAAAAAAACAAGTTGCGAGTATTTCTAGTGTATCAAACTCGTGTACACGTATTGCAATCGCCGGCGTCTACGTGAAATGTAAATTTGAAAACGCGAAATTAAATTACGATTCAGACCATGTTCTCTCCATGTTTCCATTTTCCAACAAACATTTTATTTCTGTGATTTTTGTGTATCTTTTAATTCAGACCCACGGATTTAATTTTAAATCAACCTTTAGAGATTAAATTGATTTTTTTAAAATTTAATATTAATAAATTTAATGTTTTTTGTTGCAGTTTTTTGAGTGTGAAAAAATGGCTGCTGCGTAAAAAGCATCAGATTGAGTTGGCACGCAAACGAGGCTGGAAAGGCTATTGGGTGTGCCTGAAGGGCACCACGCTGCTTTTCTATCCTTGTGATTCACGTGAAGGACGTTCGGTTGAGGCGGCGCCCAAGCATCTGATTATCGTCGACGGCGCCATCATGCAGCCGATTCCGGAGCATCCGAAACGTGATTACATCTTCTGTCTTAGCACCGCCTTTGGTGATGCTTACCTCTTCCAGGCACCATGTCAGGTATACAAAAAAATTAAATTCACTTAATAAAGTTAATGTATTTGTCTATTTACACTTTGATACGAGTAGATATTCTGTGTTTATGTTTGTATTTGTGTTACACAAAAAACGCATAAATCACGCTGTTATCTCATTTTTGCTTGGCTGGAAAATATGGACGAGCCATTAGTAATTATTCGTACACGTGCGCGGCGCGATTTTTTCCGTCTGTGAGCATGTTGGCGCAGAGCTTAGCGGAAAAAAGCGCGTGCTTAATGATACGTAAATCTACCCGACCGACTCGAGTGCACGCCCGATGCGAAATGGAGAGATAACTATCATGTACACCCGCGCGCCATGTTGCAAAACATTTTTTTTTTCATTAAATTCCTATTTGATGTAAAGCCATATTAGTTGAAGATGCACAAGTTTAAGGACTCTCAACTTCATAGCTGCAACTTTTAGTATTTAATATCAAACTTATTTTTTAATTTTCATCCGTTTAACAAAGGATAAAATATAACTTGAAACTTTTTCGAAATTCATAAATTCTCTTTGTGCGTTTTTTTTTCTTCGTATTATTGAGCTTGATTAAGCAAGTAGCAATTTGCCGAAAAGAAGGAGATTGTGAGAAAGTTCCTCAATTAGTATGTCGACATTCTTTTGCGGGCGGCGAACAAAAAGATTTCCGGTAATTTGCGCCCGCGATGAAATAAAACTTACAGCAATAAAAATTTCTTTGTGGTGGAATATGAAAATTTAAAATTTGTTAGGAAAAATCGATAATGTACGTCGCGTGTCGCTTTAAAATGTAAAAATTTTTGCATATTTTTATGAAGTATCATACCTACTTATGAAGGCTTTTCCGAGAGTGGAAAAATCTTTTCAGCTCAATGTACGTCGAGAGTGAGGAGCGTCGTACTTTCGTCCGTACATAAGAGTATTATTTATTTACATTCTGCGTTCAATTTTTGCATTGTGACGAAAATGCGACAACTTTTTTTTTGCTTAGCCGTTATCCGAAAATAAGTTTAATGCATTTACTCACTTTCTGCATCACATTACGGCCGAGAGACGACAATGCTTACCTTGCTTATAAATTTCAAAAGTTTTAAATCATCTTCTACAGGGTGATAAAATAATTTTTTAAATTTTTAAATTTTTTTTTCATTGAAAATAGTTTTAGATGTAGATAGAAACCGTGTTTATTATACGCATATATTTTGTGGTATCATGGCGGCCGTGTGGTCAACTAGCAGCAAATACGATACTATCGGTCGGGTATTAATTTCCATATTCATTATGCGCTTGACCCGAAATAAATTACATTCATCAGCTGCTAATAATTTGCGTGAAAATCTCGAATGACAAAATCGTCCCAGACTGCCAGCCACAGCGACGCCATATTGCGGGCGGTTTGCAACAACTTGTAATACCATGCCGGCGGCCACCGGACGTTAAACCAACCTCATTAGCATCGCGTTATTGGTTGACTTTGCCTGCTTGTCTTTGGATTAATCAAAGATTAATTACTTAATAAACACGAACGTTTAAAAAAACGTTCGCATTTTCTTTTTCAATTTACATTTCGTCTTTGTGAAAATTAATTGAAAAGATTTTAGACTTAAATTTAAATTCCACGAACGAAAAAATTCTTTGCATACGAAAAAAGTTGCGCACTTTGTGAATGAAAATTTATTTAATGTATTCATTCATTCATTTATGCCCGACGGTTAAAAATAACCACGCAGTTAACGCAATTTGCACATTGAGTCAGGTGTGGCACACGAAATGGCGTCGTAAAATCTAGCGCCCGATAAGTAATTCCGGCGTAAAATTCGAGATTTACGCAAATAATAACAAACATCAACTGGAAATGAAGCTGAAATGATTTAATTAGAATAGCGCGAGTGTGTGCTCAGCAGCTAATTGGTTTTAATCATTTTTAACGCTTTCTGTCCGCAGGTGGAGCTCGAGAATTGGGTGAATAGTATTCACAGCGCATGCGCGGCGGCATTCGCACGTCACCGGGGTAAAACCGGCACACTTCATCTACTACAAGAGGAGATCTTCCGGCTTGAGAAGGCGATCGAAACGGTGAGCAACAAAACAATTTAATAAAAAATTAGCTCAGCATATTTTACGACGAATTCCTGCGTTTATGTTTAGTGTCGACGCAATAAATCTAGCGTCAGTTGCGATTTTTTACTTTTACGCACATTTGGACGGATTCCAAGTAAATCCGACGGGTTTCACTGGAACGATGGGCTATGATGGCTATGAACAAAACGTTAACTTCTGCGGGTACGCGCCGAATATGAATATATCGTATTCTTTTATGTGCGTGATGTATAGACCATTGTGGAAAGAAATGTTTAACTTCCGGGCCCGCTTTTCTCCAAACTTTTGCAAATTATGAATAGTTTATTAAGTTTCCCACGACAATAAACCACTAGACCCACTCTATAAGCACAAATTCAGTTATAATAAATAAAATTATGCTGAAAAAATACATTTTTCGCTTTATTAATTTCTAAATACCGTGAAGTATGCTCAGCGTCAAAGGTTTTGAGGTTAACTTTGTGGCTTTGTTCTCTGCGCTGGTATTCAAAAGCGGGGCGGCAACTAAAAAATGAAAAGGACAAAAGTTGCTGCAGTGAATTCGAGCCAGCCGCAAATGCAGACCAAATCCAGTTATAATTAATTAGAAACAGGATTAAGGCGCGTTTCCGGTCGCCCAGAAGAGTGCTCCGCAAACACTCGGCCATTAAGCGCTTCGTTTCGCTTTCGTTTGTGCATTAACATGCAAATGCTGGGCAAAGTCCGAAGGACAACAATGTGGTGGGCGAAACGGAAGTCTTAGGGCGCAAATTATTACGGTAAAACAAACTGCCAGGGATTTCGACTTGCAATAATACATTTATATGTTAATTGTCTATAAATTAGTTGTGATAATCGCCGAGAGATGGCGACACTTACAAAAACTTTGTTTTTATTAAATTTTGATGCATTTTTCACAGGATTACAAGCTGAAACACATGGCTGAAATGCAGCAGTCGGTTGTGGCCGACGCTGACACACGACAACAGCTCGGTGGGCAGGTGATACAATGGGAGGAGAACCTCGAGCGCCTCCACTGCGAACAATTCCGTCTCAGATGTTACATGGCCAGCTTACAGAGCGGCGAATTACCCAACCCCAAGGTTTGTCTGCTCCGCTACAACTTTCTTAATTCACAAACATTGTGCATAACTTTTGTTACACGCCATGTCGACGATAAGAATTACTCGTACAGCGCTCGGCTGCTGTCGTGTTTCCAGTGAAAATCCAGCTGAAAATTACCACCGCGCGTCGGAAGCAGATTATTACGGGATTTGATCTGTGAACATCATGCGTCGTTAGTATTTAATATATCAAACATGTTGCGAGATGCGCGTCGTTTCCTCGTTTGTATTAATTTGTGCAATGTGTGGCGGAAATTAATTTTCGTATCTTTGGATTTATTATTTCTGTTAGATTATCATGTTTACACGGGTGGAAAATGTGCTGCTTGGTCGAATGGAAATGATTCGGAGAAAAATGTCAACCGAACAGGGTGCGTGTGCTGTTGATGAAGGTGAAGCAGCTGTGGCGTTATAGGGTAGATGTCCGACATCAGAAATCAGACGCAGCCGCTCGGTCAAATTGAACCATTCACAATACCTACCCAACGCCAGAATGGAGCTATTTATAGAAAATCCTGCTGCTGCCTGGATGGGTGGTTTGATTGCGAAACATCTAGCCAACCACAAATTATGTGTAACATAATAGTTAGCGTTTCATCCGCCCACATGGATGAAAATCCATTTAAAAAGCATTTTCTAATGTTTGCACTGAAATCTAATCCGTTCCTGTGAACCTTTTAGTCGCGAAAGTTTTCCGACACAGAATTCAACCTCAAACGTAGAGGGATCATGATAATGAGGGGTGTAATTGGAGGTTGTAAGGTAATAATATTCGAAATTATTGATTCTCTTCTTGATATTGGTTTCGTTGGCGGAGCGCATGCTCTTCGGCGACAATAAAGTTTTGATTAGTTCAATTTTACATCACATCGCTGTGCGTGTTTGGTAAAAAGTGCTTTGATTAAATTTTCTAGCATCGGAACTCTTCACTGTGCGCAGATGAAACGGGATTTATGTCATCAGGAGGGTAAAAGTTGGTGATTTCAATGTATTCTACATTCGAACAATATTTTTATACGCGGGTTTTATGTTTTTTGATTAAAAAATCATTTTCTTGCCCGCAGAGCGATTTTTTATGCGGGTACTTGATTTTTCGACTCTTCACTCATCCACTTCACATGAAAAACACCGAAAAAAAAAAACGTTGAAGAGGTTTTAAATTAATTTGAAAATAATTTTGAGATTACGCCAAGTTTTTTCATTTTTCACTTAGACTTGTTGCCTAATATTAATTTCTTATCTTGTAGTATTAAACATTTAGTTGTAGTAGAAGCTGATGATCGTTTTTTGTCTGCCTTTGAAATGTTTGTGGGTTGAATGATTGAATCAGCAAAGAAACGAGCCCCCGCACAAAGGACGAACGGACAAATGTCCTCTTGCGTACAAGAAAAGTACAAAAGCGAAGCAGGCATTTGTTGTTGAATTGGCCAAGGCACAGCAGCCGAATGTTGTCAAGTAGGTCAATCGAAGGTCTTACGTCACTAGATCCGAAGTGTATAAATAACAAGAGGATGCCTGCGAACGAAAGCTGCCTTCGAAAGAAGGCGACTCATCGTGTGCGCGGAATTTAAAAAAGCTTTTCAATGTTTTTCGGGTTTAAGACATTTGTTACTTTTGTTACTTAGAGCGATAATTTCCGCGAACCTAGATTATTTAATGGACTTTAAAAGTTTTCCCCCCCCCCTAGTGCGATTTAATTGCGTTCCATTAAGACGCTTTTAGAAAATCTTATATAATAAAAAATCTGTATGTGTGTTTTTTGTTTGGCTTCCAGTCCCTTCTCACACACGTGTCGAGAGCAACGAAGAACACCCTGAACAAGCTGGGGGTATTCACCGTGTCGTCCTTCCACGCGTTCATTTGCGCCCGCAGCCCGTCGCTCCTCAACAATCTGCTGGCTGGTCGCGGGGCGACCAAACGCCGACCACCGATGCTCTCCCGATCGAATAGCGGCTCCAGCAGAAGATCGATGCAGGTAATTAGGACATGCCCCTGATACCCGACTTGATGTGGATGCGTATCAAATTGGGACGTCAAACGCCACATCCGAGAATATTACACATAATGGCCGCTGTCGTTTTTTGCTTGATTACAGATGAACTCCCGCGAGGAGTCCGAAAACACCGTCAAGGTTTCCCTGCCGGACAACGCCACCGCCACGGTGTACGTGCGCGAAGCAATGTCGGTGGAGGAGTTCTTAGCGAGCGCATGCTCGCGAAAGAATCTCAACTCCACCGAGCACTTCATACGTGTCAAAAAGCGGAGAGACATGGAAGACCATAATTACTTTGTGCCACACCGTAGTGATTTGATAGCAACTTATGTGAGTATTATTATCAACATCAACAAAAGTATTGTATGATTTTACATGATGACATAAACTGTCATGAGGATTTGAGAAGGTGGCGGAAATCGCGCAGACGTGAAACACGTCGCTTTAAATGCAATCATCTGCGCTTTGAGCGCCGTATGCTGACGGCTGGTTTATTGTCATTTGCAGTTACACACACACGAAGTCGTAGAAGTATGTGCCAAAATATTGTACCAAGTAGAATTATCGAGGAGCACGCTGGAGCAAATGTGGGGCTTCAGCGTCGAGGCTGAATTGGTCGAGAACGCTGATCGACAGGATGAGCTCTGCTGCTATGTGAGTCGCGTCGAGGACAAAAGCGTCGCCATGCAAAATGGTGAGTCAATTTTAAACTAGAAACTTTTACTAAATCACTTTTTTTATTTTATTTTTTAATAACAAATTACGTTCGTGTCTTTTGTATTCGACAATCATTCATTATATGCGCGCGCAGCACGATGCTGCAAAGGGCGAAACAAAAGGAATAACGACACGCCTCGGTTAAATAAAGGACGTGAAGAATGCAGAAAAAATAATTACCCACGGAGATTTTTCCACTTTTGCACGCTGTTGAATTGAGTTTCGCAGCCGCCGCGCGCTCTTATTACGATTGCATACGCGTGTGTGAGTGCGCTTTGTCGATTTGCATATTTTGAAATACGAACGACCCTGCTTAGAATGCAGCTCGAATGACGGGCGGGAAGCTCGGGGAAACTTTCCTTTTAAAAAATTCGTCTCTTTACTATTTTCTGCCGCCGCCGCCACATAATTTGCTGCAAATACTCAAAACGCACATTTGCATAAATATAATCTTGTTTTGTGTACTTCCCGCCACGCAGACGACAAAAAAACCTAATAATAATAATAATAATACATAACTATAAAAGACACAAAAATATTCGAGTTATTTTTATCATGAGAAGTAATTAAACCAGATGAGGAATATCGTGTTTCCTTTTTACGTTGATTAAAATTTAATAAAAGCGTGGAATTTGACTTTCAAATCAAAATCATCCAATAATCAAATTGTACTTTTTCGATTTGTTGCAAATTGAAAATCAAAGCCGTATTGCATTATCAAATCGTGCCCTTTTCCCATTAAAAATGCACAATGGCGAAACATTAATTAATATTCGAGGCTTTTCATATAACTTTATAAAGCGAAAATAGGTTTTTCATCAAATTTTTTTTCCTTGATTTTATCAGCATAGCTGCGGTTAGTAAAAAGGAAACTTTTATAATTACATTTTAAGACACTTGCAAGTTTTATTAATTAAAAACATCGATATCATCGAGAATAAACAATTTTCTAATCAAATTAGCCACGTATTGGTAATTATCTTTATGAAATTGCAAAGTTTCCGGAAGTAATTCACACGTACTGTGATTACAACCAAAGTTTTCCTGTGGTTACACTTTTTAGACGTTAGAAAACGATTAAATTTAATGGAAGAGGTTTTTATTTAAATTTATTGTTATTGTGCACATTATAGAATATTTATGATGTTTACATTAAAGATTACAACAAAATTGTGTATGCAATATGTCGCCAAACGCTGATGCGATGATGGCACATTGTAGACTCACCTGAATTTCATATAATCTGCTTGGAGCCGTTTTTTAATATCTCATATTGCCGCCAGGTGTCATAAAAGACGGATTTAAATTATTGCCTACTTATACTTACATAGTACTTATATTAGATTTCAGGTTAGGTTAGGTTTTCACGCAGTTTTATTAAATTTTAGAAAAAAATTTGTACAATACGTGATTTTTACCTTTGGGAATTAAATCTTTTGTCCACTATTCACGATGAAATTCCGAAATATTTGATTGGTGCACAGCTTCTAATGCAGATGCCTGCTTTCGACTGTCCGCAGGTATAATAAAAGGCGATGAAATAATGGTGATTAATGGCGCCATCGTGTCCGATTTGGATATGATGTATTTGGAGAGCGTGCTGCAGGAGGAGCTCGCCCTCTGCATGATGATGCGGTCGTCGCGCACGGAGCCACCGGAAGTCGCGTCGATCCTCCGCTCGACAGACGATATCATCGAGAGCCTTGTTTGTCCGCCGCCGCCGTCGGAGCCGCCGGTCATCAGCGAAGAGATGATATCTGGATTGATCGTGCCCGCACCGGGTTCGTACACGTTTCATATATTTTTATTGCTTTCTGGCGGTTTTTGAGCCCGGAATGGAAATTATATTTCGGAATAACCCCTCTGGAGAGCCGCCCGACGCATGCATAAAAAATGCGAGCCTTGTGGGAGTGGGATTCAGCATCGTATGTGATGCTGAAATTGTATTTCCAATATATATGATGTGTGTAACTGTATGCGAATATTTTTGTGAATAAATATGGCTTGGGGCGGCGGTTTTTGTGTGCAGGTAAGGATCGATTCGAGGCGGACAACGCCATGTCCTCCGCCGGGGACGCCAGCATGAAGGTGACTTCGCGCACCAACTCGTTCGAGATTGAAAATTTGCTCAAAACCGCCGAACAAGTCACCGGCTTCTGCAGGTCACCTGTTGAGACGCGCAAATCGAGTCCCACCGGCAGTCTTGTCAGTAACGCGTCGCACACCCAGGTTGGCGGCATGCGGCAATTAAGCGACGCTGAGAAACTTCGTAAAGTCATTGGTGAATTGGTCGATACAGAACGCGCCTATGTTAAGGTGAATTTTACAAAAAAAAAAAAATTCAAATTTTATTTTGTGGACTTTCCTCCGCAGCACTTGAACAACCTGCTAGAAAACTATTTGGAACCGCTTAAAAAAGAGACCTTCCTATCGAGCGCCGAAATCAACGCATTGTTCGGCAACATACAGGAGATCGTCACATTCCAGCGACAATTCCTACAGAATCTCGAAGAGGCGCTCGACCTCGAACCAGACTTCCACAAATTCGATTACCCCAGCCAATTTAAGGTGAGCGCGCCAACCCGGAATACATACACACCGTCGGCGAGCGAAGAAATTAGTTATCTTCCTCTCCGCCGTTTCTCATTACTCGACGCTGATGTTGTGTGTTTTTTTTTCTGGTTCTATTTGCAGAACATGCTCTTCTCAATCGGAAGCGCATTTTTGTATTACGTCAACCATTTCAAGTTGTATAGTTCGTTCTGCGCGAGTCATAGCAAAGCACAAAAAGTCCTTCATCCAAGTAAGTCCAATGCAGACTTGTCGAACGCATCTTTTCGGGGCCACCGGAATTAAACGTGCATTATGTGTTTTAGACGAAGGCAATCAGGCACTGCAGGAGTTTCTTTCAGCTAGGAATCCCAAGCAGCAACACTCGTCAACTTTAGAATCTTACTTAATTAAGCCAATACAAAGAATACTCAAGTATCCTCTCCTATTACAACAATTACGTAATTTGACTGATTCAAATTGTGATGAACATCAACATTTAGTTGGTACGTGTTGTGTTTTAATGTGTTTTTGTGAATTTTGTGTTTTGTAATTTATTTGAATTGCACTTGCAGAAGCCCTCAAGGGCATGGAAAAAGTTGCCGAACATATTAACGAGATGCAAAGAATTCACGAAGAATATGGTGCTATTTTTGATCATCTATTTAGGCAACATCAGAAATCCTGCAAGCAGCCGATCGATTTAAGTCCCGGTGATCTTTTGTATTACGGCGGCGTCGAGTGGCTTAACATTTCCGATTTCCTAGGAAAAATCAAAAAGGGTCTGGAGCTGCACGCGATGTGCTTCGTATTCAAATCGGCGGTGGTGTTCTTATGCAAAGAACGACTGCGTCAGAAAAAGAAGCTGATGGTAAGACGGTTAGATTTGATGTTTTTCCTTACCGAAAGTGTGTTTGCTTCCTTATCGGCAGGGTGTTGCGAGTAAAGGAAGTGCCTCAGAAGTTGAAATAATTAGGTATCAAGTATTGATTCCCGTGACGGAAGTTCAAGTGCGAGCGTCATCCGCGAAAGACATGGACTCCCACTTCCTGTGGGAGTTGATTCACTTAAGAAGTCAATTGCAAAGAAGGTCCGAAAAGGTCTACGTACTTTCGAACAGGTAAGTTTGGCTCAATCCGGCGGCGGAAGTTAATTGGAATTTTGGTACAAGTTGATAGCGCCAATCTCATTTCCAGTACCGCCGACTTTCGAAACGCTTTCTTAAAAACCATCCGGCAAATTATTCGGGAATCCGTGCGAAACATGTCGATACCTGCGACGAAACCCGGAACTGGGCCGGGAATCCTCCTGGTGACTGGCCATAAAGAATCGCTGATGATGATGAACAGCCAAACGCTGGAGAGACCCACGACGAAGACGGTCATCGTGCAAGGCTCTCATACGCTTGGCAAAACGAAACGTTCCAAGTCATCACAACGCCATTCGGCCGGCAATATCGATTACGACAACAGTCAGGATGCGGACGAGCAGCAGCCGAGCACGTTTCGGTCGCGAAGCAAAACAGTCGGCGATGCAGCAGGTACGAGTTTATCAAATTAATGTTTGTTATCTGGCGAAAAAAAAAACAACAACCCGCAATCTCCTGCACGTTTCAGACAAAGCGATGAAATCTGAAGGGGAGGACGAGTCGCATACAGGCACCGGCAAAAAATCAGGCCTTGGAAAAACCCCTAATCATTTAACACTAAGGTAACTAACCCTGTTTCAAAACCTGCTTTTCTAACAATTAACATATTATTAAATTATTTCTATTATTGAATGTTTTTCTAAACTAATTTTTCTAGTACAACATCAACACTCTCAGCTGGCAGCACCGGAAGTCAAGCAAGACTTATACAGTCGTCACACCAACCGGAAAACTATCATCCGATACAAGTGGAGGAACTAGGTAAGCAAAACGTAAAAACCGTCAAGGCGGAAGTGCACGAAACCTCCTCCGCGCCGACACGCCGCAAATCCCCAAATCGTTCCCCGAACAAACTCACGCGCAAAGACTCCTCTCCGAATCAATCACGCAAGACAAGTCCAGCGCAATCGCGCAAGACTAGTCCGGCACAATCGCGTAAAACTAGTCCCAGTCAATCGCGCAAAACCAGCCCGAACAAAGTGCGCCGCGCTGATCATAGCCCCAAGGCTGGCAAGCGTTCCGACAGTCCGAAAATTGTGCGCAGTCCCAAAAAGACAGAGGGCCGCAGTGCCGCCTCGACGATCAAGTCGTCGCTGAAGAAGCCCTCGAGGTCCCTAAGCATCGAGAACCCCACGTGCGTCGAGTGTTATCTGCATGCAAAGACAGACAAAGGATAGCACACGCCTATGAAGCGTAGCGGCAGTTTCTCCGAGGGCACCGAGGGTCGCGTACGCAGTGGAAGCGGACGCATTGTGAAATGCAAATGTGACGAAATTGTTTGTTGAAAGAACATTTTACAAATCAAGTGGTGGTTGACAAAAACTTTAATTGTTAACGTGGAAAGAATTAAAACGATAACGAAAAGCGAAAAGTGCGCAAACGAATCTTCAGAATCAAAAATAATAAATAAAAGAATAAAATCAATGCATTTTTATGTGATGCATAAATTAAATGTATTCTATTGTTGTTATATACACACACGTAATATGTACACTTGTGTCAGAGCACGGTAATTTCGAATTTACATCACTACACTTGCTTACTTCTTGAGCAAGCACTTATTTTGTTTGAACGTTATAAGTGAACGAAATTTTCTAAATCTAATTGAAACTGATTAACACAATTTAATCAACTGAAATTGCGTTAATCTGTTTAGAATACAAAATATTAAAAAAATATTGAATTGAATGTTAAAAATTTCTAAGAAATGGTTTATAATTCGTTGAGATTTTTAAAATGACGAATATTTTGTGAATTTTGTTTGTCGTGAATGTTTTACTACAGTTTTATTATTATGTTTACCAGTAGCACTTCCCCGCTTTGTGCCTGCGATGCTTTAAACTTGTTTACTTTTCCAGCTATTGAAGTAAAGCGCAGTTATACGTACTTTTGTGATTTGCAATGCAAAAGAGAGTAAAACTGCGCTTTGCTGTGCTTTAATTAATTTTTCTATTAATGTTTGTTTTGCGCTTGCTTTCAATGTGTCTATTGGAATTCTACACAATTCCATACGAGAATGTCACGACCCTAATTTCAATATCAAAATTCAATATATCGATAATGTGAAATTATTGCACTAAAATATTCAACTGCTTGAAATCCAAAATCCACTTTTGAACTCTGCTCATGATTTTGATTGCTCATGATAATTGGCTCACAAGACAAGAAATTTTTTGCTCCAAAATTCTTCGAACCTTTTAAGAACATAGAATATTATATATAAATACCATGATTAAATTCTGCTTGTGCATAATAATTAGTGCCGTGTTAGTGCATCTTCTGATTGTTTACTTACTAGCTCAAAAGTTTCGAAACAACTCAGACTAATTTCCCATAGAAGGTTTTAGATGTGTTTTTCTATAGTTTTGCGTATTAATTCTATGGAAAATTAGAATGATTTGTACCAATCTTTTCTATTTCCATAAATGAAAACATGCACAAACAACATTCGTGCACGAAATCGGCTGAAATGTGAATAGCATTGCAGCCGAGCAAAATTCTATAAACTAAATATGAATATAAATTGATATTTGACGGAAAGTAAAAGCAGCAAAATCTGATTAAAATTAATGATTGTTGTAGGGTCACCTGTGTGGAAACCAAGAGACAGTAGTTTAGAGGCATCCTCAACCACCCTCCCGCGCAAGGGCCGGGACTCAGCTGGGCTGAGCGCGTCGCGTAAGTCTCTTGTAGACACCACAACCGGATTGGAAATCCATAATTCATTTAATCCGCAGTAAACACAATCCAAAAATGCCCGAGAAATCACACTCACACGTTCCTCCCACCTGAAAAGAAAAAATCAACCCCCAAAAGCTCTTCTCTCGCCAACTCACACTCAAACTGACTCGATCCAGAAACCCAAATAAGTAATAATTATGTAAGACGCATGTAATTATTACACAAACTTCAAGCAACACGAGCATTTAGTCATATGATGATGAATATGAATTAATGTGTTTAGAATTAAATGAACAATGCGAGAAAAACCATGAAAATGAAAACAATTTTAAACCAATATTATATAATTAGATATTATTGTATGAAAATTGGATTCGAATGCGAGAATGATGGCAAAATGTGCGGACAAACATTAATAAAGTATATATGATGTGTTCCACCCAGAATCACAGTCACACACACACACGCATACACACGAATATTCTCTCATATGCATAACAAGAATAAATTATACCTAGTTACGAACGAAAACATTTAACGAACATTTTCGAGTGATGTGTGAGGTGTGTGGACACACGACGTAGGAATTATTCATATTATTCGATTGAAGGGAATCTTTAAACCGAACAAAATAACGTAACGAACGAAACGAATGCACTATTATGAGATAAGTTATTGTTACGAATTATGAACGATGATGGTAGTGGTGGTGGTGGTGGAATAACAATTGCATTACAAGTCACATAGAGTTTAAAAAACACACACTACACATAAACTAATAGCAAAAATGATGATTATATACAAGAACTAATAGATTTACTCGAATTTGAAATCAAATCAAAAGCTTGCTACTCTACTTTAGATTGTAATCCCATTACCACGATAAACAATCACATTAATGTATATTCCATTCGATTCGATTTACACGTTGCATTGCATTACGGACATTGAGTTTGAGTGATTAGCGCAGAATTTGATTTCATACACATAACACACTATTATCCAAACATATACATATACCTTAGGTCATATTAAAGTACGAAAAACTATAAAATCATTAAATTATATTGATTCTATTATCATATTTCTGTGAAATATGATTTAAATCTTCTATTCAAACATTCCATAAACAATATTCATTTAAATTGATTTTAAATGATTTTTACATGAGATTTATACAGGGGTTTCTATGAATATATGAAAATTAAACAATGTATGTAATGATAAACTCGATTTATAGCATTTATATAGTTTATTGAAGCGTATATTAATTGTTCTCAATTAGTGCAATCTGCTATTTCCAATCTTTACTACTCCTGCACACGCAATTTGTTTTTATTTCAATAACTCTAAACCAATTGAAAAATATTTGTTTCGGGTGCATATTGTGTTGTTTCGATGACGTAAATATATACAATCAGTCACGTATTCATTCGCGTAAATACAATAAACAGATTTGCAGGCAAGCAGAGGCTGGAAATTCACGAATGAATTACATTGAGCAACTAAGAAATCAGTAGCAACAAGGGTCTAGCGGACATTGTCACTTGTCACATTACTTAATAAACCAGAAAGAAAGATGAAAAACACATAAAAATATAAAAAAGTTTTAGCAAATAGTTGAACCGTACGTAGGTTTAATAAATAGTTATATTATACATGTATTTTTAAAGGAATACATTAAGAAATATGAAGATGAAAACGAAGAGGATGCAAAACAATGGTATTAAATACGAAATATGCAATTAGGAAATTTGAAATATGAACGCAAAACCATTATTAACAAAGTGAAGATCGGAAAATATAAAATTAAACATAAAAATGATGATGAAGATTTTAAAAACGTTTCTTTTTCACCTATTATATAATACGATAAGCGTTTATTACGTATTTCGAATACATTTTTGCACACGAAATGTTTAACGAGGTGAATTTGGCACGAGAAATCAAACCGACAAACAAATTCGATATACCGATGTATTACCACCCAAGTTTGCATTTCTAAGTTATGTATTGTTTGAGTATAAGTTCTAGAATCTGGTACACTGAATATGTTTGTAGATTTGTTATTGAATAATAACATGAAAGACGAAAAGTACTAATTATCTAACTCTAAGATCGCACAACAGGTGTAACATTACAAAAATATTATCGAAATATGAATAAATTTCGTAAGGTTAAAAGGTAAAAACACGTTGAACACAAATTTTCATCAAGAGTTTGATTTGCAGTTGACAGTTGCAACTTGTCGATGATTCTATTATTAAGTACAGTACTTGATAAGTAAACTTGAAAGCTCAAATACATGATACATTATTAGAATGACGATTTTTCAAAATAATTGTAATACCACTATGTACGAGGGAATTTTATGACGCAATTGTTGATTGTAGTTGTTTGATTGAGTTGGGAGATTATTGAAAATTATTGTCAATTGTATGTAATTTAAATCGGTTTACTTACTTAAAACAAAAGAGATACAAGAACAAGAAAAATCAAATGTTTGTAAACACAATAGGACAAATGATAAACACATAAAAGCCTAACTTTGTTACGAAACTAGGCGATATTAAGTTTTGATGGCGATTTTATTACTCAAGTGAAACGATAAACCAATTTTATACTGTATTAACACATACTACATACATACACCCACACGCCACACACGTTAAAGTGCCAAATTTTTCGATTTAAAAATTGAACCAATCTTTTTTATATTCACATCAACAGTATTGAAATCTTTTTCGACGTTGTTTGCATATTGATGTTCTATGAGTAACAATCAAATTGGTTCCTCTTAGTTGCGTTGAAAATGATTACGCGCTCACCAAAAAAAAAATATCACATGATCGAGCTGATTGATGCGACGAACCTTTGGAGAATGATGAATATGTGTATCTACTACTTCACTATTTGAAAGTTTTATCTGACAATGTTTGAGATTAGGTTTGTTCAATTTGTGCTCTGGATTTTTAACGCATTCGATATAGAGACACATACTGTTTTAAATTACGTTGCAAATGCGAACGAAAACAGCAGCAAAAATGCAGAAACATGAACAGTAAACTTAAACAAACAAAAAACATAAGCATTAAGGTATAACAAGAAACCACAAAACTAATGGTAATATGGAAAAAACGGTATTGTAGTTAAGCAAATTTCTTGTATGTCTGTATGTATGTGAAATCTACGTTTATGTGGCGTATGTATGGACCTACGAAAATGAATACATTTAAAATATACAATTCAAAAATATTCCTTGTCCTTTTCTTATAATATATTCAATTAATTTAGCTCCCATGTAAGTAGTACTCTTATTTTATCGATGTTTTAATTGAGATTATCATGTAAACTAAAAATGATAGAGAGGAACTGATTGAAAATTCTTTAGCTCTATTCTTTATTCTCTATCAAATCTAGAAAATTAGGCGGCGACATAGAAATCCCGATCAGTGTTCGTGCAGTGCCAAAACTAGTTGTATTGCCCGTTCATAGTTACCTAGACGCATAAATGTGTACGTCGTGTACGTAGGTAAACAATTTTTTGTCACCTTTAGCGAGCGTATCCCAATGCTTATCGCAGTGACCGCGTGCTGTCGTCGTTGGCTGTGTACAGTTCGTCGTACATGCAGTTCCATTCCGTTCCTCGAGTGAATCGCGCGTGTTCATCGCAACTAGTTCTGTTTCTTCAGATCATAATTAAGTAAATCGGTTTATACTCATTAAACAATCGACGGTTTATACCAGAATCGAGCGTGAACGGAGTTTTGCTAGTGTGATTGCACACGTTATACTTTTATCAATCATGAAGTAGTCGTCATGTGTCATATGCTAGTGAGAGGTTTCGACGGCCGTCGGTGATTATTTTTCGCCTGTTACATTGAACTTAATTTAGGAATAGAATCTGTCGGACCTCAATTAGCAAATGTAAAAGCTACCATGTAAGTAAAATTAACTTTAATTTCCTTTAATTTAATGGGTATACGCACTAGTAATCGTTTTTTTAGGATAACACGTGAACGCGGTGTGAGAATAAGTACGGAATAATTTTCCCCGATGCAGAATTTAATTCTGTATCCCCTGTATTGAAATTTATTGCAAGCAAATTCCGTAACGCGAGTTATATTGAAAGTAGAAGTGACTCGTGTTCCCGGCATTCTACGAAGGTAGCGGTAGAAGTGACTCGTGTTCAGGGCACCGTAGGAAGGTAGAGGTATATTGAAAATTGTAGTTTTTATATTATAACACGCGAACACGGTCTTAAACATAGCTCACAATAATTTTCCTAGATGCGGAATTCAATTCTTTATTTCCCTATATTGAAATTTATTGCGAGAAAATTCCATAACGCGAGTTATAATGATAGTTGTGTGTATACGCACTTGTACTGGTACTCATTGCGCTAGGAATTGTAGTTTTCTTGTTATAACTCGCGAACGCGGTCTCAAACTTAGTTCGGCATAATTTTCCTAGATGCAGAATTTAATTCTTTATTTCCCTGTATTGAAGTTTATTGCGAGAAAATTCCGTAACGCGAGTTATTATGATAGTTGTGTGTATACGCACTTGTACTCTTGTACTTGTACTCGTACACTTGTACTCGTGTATGTCGGTTATTTCAACATTGTGAAATTTTAGTTTGGTCTTCTCAACTACGGGTTTACCACTACGTTTGTTATAAACAACTTTTTTGTTCGACTGACGCGTATTATCGCGCCCTACCTGCCTTGTACCTGGCAACGCGCAGCGCACACGGCAGTCGTTACACCGCGTGGTCCGCAGTCGTGTCCCTCTAATCGCCACGCGTTTTGAGGTTTTAATTGGATCAATCGACGTGTATTCTTTCGGCCATCATCAAAATATTCGGGACGGGCATGTGCGGCTGTTTTGTTTTATGATTTGTCGCGGTTAGAGTCTTCTTAACTAACAAATAAGTGTTTGTTTATCCCTACGCCAGTTTTTAGTTGGTAGAATATGTTACAGGATATAGAATTTCCTCATCAATGCAAAGGTACGGAAACTTAAGGCGGTGTAACTAAAATTCCATTTGAGGGATATTAATTTTGCTTGTATTATCTTGCAAATTACAAACACGTGGTTCCATTCCTATCAGAATTATTAGTCCCATTTCCGAATATGACATGCATGATTTAATTATTACAAAGACTGTTTTAAAAATTATCTGTGGATTATTAAAATGACAATATTTATTTGGTCGACCGCGCTCAGTTTGCTGTCGGCCGTCGGCTCGGTCATCCTTTCGCTGAACACGTGAACGTTTTTAATCGAATTGCACTTGTTAGCATCATTAAATTAAGAAGTCTCTTGACGTAAGAAAATCTTGTACGGTGAATAGTTCTTCGTTTTCGAAGTCTCCGTATATCTTAATATTTACAAAAAATTACCTAGTTATTTTTATCGTATTTAAAGACAGTAATGCCACGCGCCGTCGCTTGCCGTCTGTTGATTTAGATGTTTTCCACCGGATATTCTATCCAATTCTATTAAAATAATGTTATTTTCATATAAATTTCCCGTGTCATGATATGAATATTGATTATCTTTGTAGTTTCGAAAATTTTCTTTTGCAACACCCTGTATATTAGTTTTCCAAACCTCACGCAGAAGATTATCTTTATTTGTGAGTTTTGAATGTTCAATGTTTTAAACTTGGTATTTTCTTTCTGGTACACCCTGTATATTCGTTTTCTTTTGTGTCCGTGAAAATTTTGCTGCAACTGTTGTTTTAAGGATTTTCCTTTTTGCACTTCGAATTTTCTTTCTGAAATACCCTGTATATTCGTTTTCCTGATCGTCTAGTGATAAGGAGCGACGTTTGTAGTGATTGTAATAGTTTTGGGTTTGCACTGTAAATTTTCCTTTTGTAACACCCTATATATTTGTTTTCATTTTCAATCACATAGAAAATAGGCTATTTGCTAATTTCATTATCCCGGTAGAACTTGTACTACTTAGTAGTACTTGTTTGCATGTGCGCGACTATGCAGGTCGTTAGTCCTGCTTCAATATGGCGGCACGTATTCTGTTGACTTGTAAAATATAAACTTGTATTCTATTGTTAATAAATAAATAGTAAGATATATTAACTTCTTTGATTTGTGCGTACCCCTTCTATCACTACAGACACAGGTCTCTAAGAGAGTTCTCTCTCTCAGAGGATGATCCCACTATAAAAATTGTTAAGGTACTAAACTTGTATTATATTACATTGTGTTTATTAATAAAGAAATGTTAAGAAATAGCATGTCTTATGCTTTGAATGTACCCCTTCTATCATTTCAGGTACAGGTCTCTAAGAGAGTTCCCTCTCTCAGGGGATGATACCCTCTATAAAAATTGTTAAGGTAACCTGTATGATTTGTGTTCTCCTTCTTTCATTCCAGCTACAGGTCAGAACTTGTAAGAATATTTCTTAGTGTCACCTCTCTTGAGACGACTTAAAACTTAGAAATATTTTTACAAGACCTTATAAGGATTGTCCTTATAAGGAGTTCCCTCTCTCTGTGGGTGATCCCCCACCATAAAAATTGTTGATATGCCTGATAATTTCGGGGATGAAGCGCAGAGACATCGTAGCTGTAGGTTGGGCCGGGAGCAATGGAGGCATCGAAGCAGTGGGCCTGTGACTGTCTTATAACGACACGTGCCAAAAAATTTAAAAATCTCATCCACTCCTCTGCTCTTTCTTCTATCTCCTCCTCTTCTCTACTCTACTCTCTGTTCTCTTCCTTCTATTTTATCCTATTCTCTACTACTCATTCTTCTATTTCTCTGTTCTCCCGTTTCTCCATTTACTTTTCTTATTTCTCTGATTTTTGCCTCCACTTGTATTTCATTCTCTCTTATATTTCGTTGAAATTCATACATGCAACCCAAATTGCTGATATTTTTATATTTGAGAAAAATGCCTTCTATACCTGGGATTCGATCCGTGTCTGCTAGCATGCCAGCAGGTGCACGTCTCCACTCGACCACCGAGTGCTTTTATCATTGTTGTTTGATTCTTCTATTTATGTTTCTACTTTTATCATGTTTTTAAAAACAACAACACAATTCAAGCAACATAGTTATGATATACCCGCTGCACACACATAAGATTTTTATACCATATTGTTTAAAACTGAAAACGACAAAGAGGGTACCTCATAGAAATGTGAATTAGTTTATAATATTACTTTATATATTGAATTTTATTGACAACATTAAACAATAAATACATTTTATTTAATAGAACAATATCGACAGCTAGCAAATTCGGGAGTAGTAAAAACTTGCCTTAAAATACATGCATCTCCAACACTTCAGATATAGATATTGCAAACTCCATTCGTGCACTCACACACTTCTTGTCTGGGCATCAAAGTTGTCCATTTGCTGGAATTAATTATATATCCAAGTTATTATGTGCGAAACGATAACTGATTGCCGACGGACACGCGTATACAGGTGAACCGAGAATTAAACCACGATTGATAAACACGGCAGCATGCAATCATGCTTGTAAAACTCCGGTCACCCCGATTCTGGTATATGCCGTCGATTACTTAACGAATATAAATCAATTTCCTTAATTATGATCTGAAGTAACATAACTAGTCGCGATGAACACGCGCGTCTCACCCGATGGCCGAAATGAAACTGCGTGTGCAGCGAACTGCATACAGTCAACAGCGACAACACGAGGTCACTATCAGTATTGCGCGAAACGACAAAAGAAATTGTTTACATACAAGCATCGCGCGTATATATCTAAACTGATCTAAACTATGAATGCACAGCAGCGCCAGCGTTGATATTACTAGCGCACTCAGCAAAATTTCAACGGCGCCGGACTGGAAATCTTTAATCACAAAGACCAAATATTTTGGAAATAACAGAAAATGGAGATTAATTTAAAAGCACTACCGTAAATACACTACTCAAATGTATTAAAATCGAGTCAAGAAAACGCGAGATACAGACCTTTTTTCACCACAACTTTTCAAATAATGACAAAAATTGCTGAAGTTTGATATTGATTTAAGGGCACTTCCTGACCCTTGAGGGTGTCTAAATGCAGTTCATACGATTAAAAAACTCTTCCTCTATCACCTGAAGCAAACAGAATTAAAATTGTATCAAGCAAACGCGAGATACAGACCATTTTCCACCGCCACTTTTCAAAAATGACAAAAATTGCTGAAGTTCAAGAGTGATTTAAGGGCACTTCCCGACTATTGAGGGTGACTGAATGCAGTTCATACGATTAAAGAACTCTTTCTCTATCACCTGAAGCAAACAGAATTAAAATCTGGTCAAGGAAACCCGAGATACAGACCAATTTCCACTACAACTTTTCAAAAATGACAAAAATTGCTGAAGTTTGAGAGTAATTTAAGGGCACTTCACGATCCTTGAGGGTGACTGAATGCAGTTTATACGATTAAAGAACTCTTTCTCTCTCATCTGAAGCGAACAGAAATAAAATCGAATCAAGGAAACGCGAGATACAGACCATTTTCCACCACAACTCTTCAAAAATGACAAAAATTGCTGAAGTTTGAGAGTGATTTAAGGGCACTTCCCGACCCTTGAGGGCGACTGAATGCAGTTCACATGATTAAAGAACTCTTCCTCTACCACCTGAAGCAAACAGAATTAAAATCGAATCAAGGAAACGCGAGATACAGACCATTTTCCACCGCAACTTTTCAAAAATGACAAAAATTGCTGAAGTTTGAGATTGATTTAAGGGCACTTCCTGACCCTTGAGGGTGACTGAATGCAGTTCACATGATTAAAGAACTCTTCCTCTATCACCTGAAGCAAACAGAATTAAAATTGTATCAAGGAAAAGCGAGATACAGACCTTTTTCCACCACAACTCTTCAAAAATAACAAAAATAACACAAATAACAATTGTTAAAGTCGGAAATCGATTTCAGAACATTTGCCAACTCTCCATAAGATCCAAATTAGGTCTATTCGATTAATAAACACTTCCTCGATAACCTAAAGAAAACAAAATTAAAAATCCAGCCTAGTGAATGCGAGATAAAAATCATTGCCCATTACAACTTATCAAAAATAAATATTCTTTACTCATCCTCTGCGATCTGAAAACGACACATCTGAAATTGAATCAAGAAATCCCATAAATATATGTCTCCAAATCATTTAAACACACCAAATATGTGTGAAACATTTTGGACGCGGTTCAATGTACAGCCCGACACCTATGCGACAGTTTGTCGTATGTCCTTCTATTTTCATCATCTTCTTTTTTTTAGATTGCCTTCGACTTTAACTGGCGATTTTAGATTTATCGCCGTGTGCGCGTTTTAATGAAGACACATTTATGTTCATTAAAATAAAATACGAAACGAGTTGACGTCTTTGCAAGATGTTTTCATTCTCAATCAAAACAGCTCGCCAACATCACATGCATCACATATCGATTTATCAACAGTCAGTGCGCAAAGAAAATGAAAAATACTTAAGTCGCTACTAGTTAAGGCAAACACAGAAATTAAGTATGCAGACGACTGCATTTTATTTTATTTTGTGTTTCGCATAAAAATGCAGGCGGGAGTAAACCAAGCTATAAAACGATCATTTATCGTCATTTACGATAAATTCATCGCATCTAAAAAAACCTTCGATGCTGCTTGTCGCGACGATTAATAAATTAACGTTCAATGTTAACGCGATCATAAATTCTAATTTACATTTTTTTTTGTTACATTTAACACCAACTGCCTGTATTTAGAGTTTTGTGAACATAAAACGACAGAAAAGCAAATTTTCATGAAAATTAATTTGAATATAAAATGCAAGAGATAGGAATAAATATTTGGAGTGCCGGACGCACTTCATTGACCCGATGTACCCACAATGCCCAATTGCTCGTCTACTCAGCCCACACGCACTCGAGTCACAAGTCACAATAGTGCAGCCAATGCTGAATTATGTCGGTGAATTATTCTCAAGTTGCGCGAGGGCACTTGACAAATTACATACAAACATTTACAATGCGTAACTTTAATCACTTTAAGCACTTTACTTTAGTTTAATTTTATTTCGCTCATCGCAAGTTGAGTCAGAGACCCTTTAAAGACTGTTAACGCAATTAGCAGCAGGCATCAATTTCGACGCGTTAGACGTCACATCTTCAAATGGTCTGACGCTGAGAGGCTGGCAAGAAAAATATTTGCAAGATGTTTGTATATGAAGTTGTACTCGTCGTTGTACTCAGCGCAATTGTGGGAACAACAAAGCTTTCATTCATCGACGCGGCCATTCGTCAAATTTAATTTCCATTTTATGCAAGTTGCAAGTGCGCCGTGTGTGTGCACTTGGCAAATAAACCATATTAACTTACGTCGGCGTCGTTGGGGACGCATGCACGACAGTGATTTACATAGATAAATATTTGCGCGACTATTGTTCGGCTTATTCCAATGATAAAATGTTCATTTGCATATGCCGAACGCCAACGCCACCCGAGAGAAGAATTCAATCATTGACTCATCGCAAAATCACAAAATCATTTTCAAGATAAAATTACTTAGACCCGCCCGTAGTTTAATTTCGAAAGGAAATTGTAAGCAATTTTTAGCAAGCAGCAATTTCAAATTCATTGGGCTATAACAAGTTTAAAGTTTAGTTAACTAGAAAATGTACAAACCTATTTACGCTCGCTTCCCTTCGTTCTTCAAAGCAGGGGAAGGAAATTACACTCGCATGGTGAAAACCTAGTCCGTCAGAGTGTCATCACGAATTGTCACCCTTTGGTCCCCTCGGCGTGTTTGCTCATCACTGAAATATTAAGCGACGCAAGTTTACACACTGATAGGTAGTCAAACAGCGGAAGCGTGCACCCGTGTGCACCCCTTCAAGACGGGATTAATACACCCCGGGGGCATCAAATCCCTAAACGCTTTGCCCTTAAATACACGCACAAAGGAATCAACATCTCGATTTGTAACAAAATGAATTTTTAAAATACAAGAGAAAATATTCTTTTAAACCTTTGCATCTAAAGAAGAAAAGAAGTTGAAGGTCAAAGCAAAGACGCGGCATGTAAAAAATGCGCTGCCTATGGACCGTAAACATAAAGTACTTACATTTATAGAAAACCATAATTACGGAAGAATGTAGGTAAAAAAAACCCATACCAGCCGACTCGTCCCGCTCATCCGGCATCGGGTTATTCTAATGATACTCAACTTCTTACCAAGTCTTTTCTGGCCGCGCCGAGCGCGTCGTCCCTCCATGATGATGACCAAACGCGTTGAAAAGGTAAGAGGTAAATTAAAGGTAAAAGTAAAGGTAAGGTTGAGTTAAGGTTCTTCTGCAGTTGATGAGTTCCGCCGGTGTGTCTGCTTGCAAACGCGTATTTTAATGGCGCGGCGCTGGCGGTGTTGGTGGAGGGGAGGAAGACACGGAGAAGTAGCGCTTAAGTATGTTCACAGTCAAAGTTTCGCAATGGTGCGCGTTCTCGTCGCGCGGCAGGCTTCACCACATTGTCGACGTGAACGAAGTTCGAAAAACGGGGGCCCCGGAATCTCTCTCTGCGACTACCGACTTCGACTGCCGTCTCAAACGACGCTCAGTCGTTGACTAGCTGTTGATATAGACAGTCAGTGCCCGGACGGTCGCCACTGTGTCGCGCGTGTCGCGTGTAGAGAAACACGCGCGCAAACTTGTTTAAACTTTTACGCGCGTTGTAATGTGAAACAATAAAACAAAATAAATAAAAACAATGTCTTCCTCGGTGGTGTTCTGCGTAATTGTTGTGCTGGTGACATTCAGCGGGTGCGCAACAAGTTTGAAAAGTGTCAGCGTCAACAAATGCTGTTCAATGGACGAATACGCCTCCAAAGAGTTAAACTACACCTGCGTACAAGAACGCAAAATGCCCTGGAGTAGTACACGTATATTTTCGATGCGTACGAAAAATTATTTACCCGTTGGTGAAGTCCCGCGCAATTGGGACATCAAAGAACGCCAGCAGCCATTGTGTGACGGCGGGCAGAAACCGAAAATCTTTCATTACGTACCTGGATCCTATCTGGCATTCGTCAACGGATCTCTCTTCGTTGTAGAATACTCCCGGTTGGTACACCCGGGCAAATACTGCATGGATTTTGACATGGCGATGGTGTGTCCCGAAGAAATCCAACCGGCATCGTTACAATCGGGTGTACACGTGAAAAAGTGCTGCGGTGATGGTGGTATTTACTCCGACACAAGAAAGACCTGTGTAACGATTAAGAATGATGCGTATCGCGTCAACCTGCCGCAGGAATACTCATTGACGTTCGGCTTCCCGCAGTGCAATGATAAGCACATGGTGATCGCGGGGAAGCTGTACGAGGCGACGCTGTTGAAAGACGGCGGGCTGGTGCTCAACGGCACTGGGACGACGCTACCCGCCGAGGGATTCTGTCTCGAGCACGTCCTCGAGAATGCAGGTAATTGCCGTCATTATTGATAATTAGATGTGAGGCGTCTCGGACTGGCGCGCTGCTGAAACAAAACGAAGAATCACAAACTGGTTTGGGAATAGTGTGAAGAGTATTTGTTAGGAAAAGAAAACATAAAATTTAAAATAACAAATTTTGATATTTCCCAAGTCGTAAAATTTCCCAATTTCTCAAAAAGATATTTTTATAACACGGATGTTGACCGTTTCTCATCGAGATCTTCGATTACCAAATATTACGCCATAGGTTTTGGATTTACCAGCAGTAGAAATTCTTTTCTCTTTTCACATCATATCCGATTATGAAACCCACATATTGTCGTCTTCCATTTGCTCAACGGTCAAATCATTCGTGTGATGTCTTACACGCATACCTACATACATTGTGTTCGGTGTTTAGTATTATTATATTGCAATGAATGTGAGTACTGTTCACGAACGGAGCGAGCGGAGAAATCGCTCCCAGGTATTTATTTTCTTGCACTCACAACGCAGCGCACACGATCGCATTCAATTTTTAAATGCCTCCGCGCGCGCTCGTCTAAATGCCACGCTAGTAAACTACTCGTTGTGTGTCTGTACGAGCGAGCCGGTTTCTTCATTCCGATCGCGTCTCTCGCCGGTCGCCGCTAATCTCGCGCGTTGGAATCCGTTATAAGGAGCACTTTCTAATTGCCTGCTCGTTGCCCGATGGCATGTCATGGCATTAGAAGACGTAGACATGTTCGTAATTCTACGTGCCGTGCGCTACGTGGTGTAAAAGTACTCACATGTCCGGATAATTATTTCTAACCACAAATATTTCAAACACGTCTAAAAATGGCGATTGTATGTATGGACAAGGTTATGATGTCGTCGAATTAGACAACCAATATCACACTAAACGAAAATACGGAGCTGTAATGTAGAACGCGCTATTACGAAATCGTTATTTGCGTTATTTGCATTTTATATTTAGCTGAAGTCGTGAATTTAGAATTGTGACTCCGCGATAGCTACTACGGGAATTGACGAATTCGATGGACGTGCGAAACCGAAATTGGGACACGCATATTAATGTTAATTCAAGAAAAACTTTCTTTTACGTGCGGCGTCATGATGTGTCAATACACTTTTCATCACATGATGCAATCATAAATCATACATCACGGATGTAATCGTATAACTGCTTAAAATTAAAAATTTATTCGCTATGGATGGTGAAGTGTCAAGTCATAAAATTATCTACGATAATAGGGTTTCTTCCAACACTTCCAATTTGCGTATTGCGGAGCTTTCCGAGGGTTAGCGTGCATCCCTGCTATTTTATGGCCTCGCGATACTATAATTGAACTCTCTACCCTAGGCATATTCGAACATCTTGTTGATGAAATTTCCCATTGAAATTCCCACCATCTTGAAAATTACTTTCCACAATTTAAAGTTAACTAGATACGAAGCCAAATGCCAAGGGGTACTTTTGACTGCCGGAATAAATTTGCAACACCATTGTTCGGTTTATGAGCGCACTCGAAGGTCCAAATCGCAAAAGTACTTACGGCTGCCAGCTTGAATAGAATTACATAGATATACAATGCAATAAAACCGAAAAAAGCCACATGCCGCTTACGATTCGATACGGGACGCTCACAAAAACGTGATAACATTGTTTCGTGTTCATGGCCTGTACACGCAAAAATTTTGTCAATATCAAAAGTGACTCACAGCGTGCACAATGTGCTACTATCAAAGAACAAACTATCAAACAGATGTCTGCAATAATATGTAAACTTTCGATTTTAATTTTTGCTTTGTTTTCTATCATCACCAAATGCAAATATAGTTTAAATATGTTTAAATAAAAAATTAATTAATTTTAATTTCAACCGATTTTAGCATATTTTAGTAAAATTTTAACGCTTGACAGCACTGCGCGCCGCGTTGAAAGCGTCTTCCTTGACTGGCGTTCTTTCTTTCGCCGGCTTTCGTCGAGCAGCAACAACAACAAACACCTGTTTGTTTTATTGAACTTGAACTTAGCGGCGCTCTCTTGCACAGACATAAAACGTTTATCGTTCGCGTCCATCGTTACGAGTGAACATTCGCTGAACATGCACATGCACATCGAGTGCATTCCGACACAGAGCGCAGCGCGCTTTCTTTCCAATTTTTTATTGCATTGAAACCGGCCGCGTCGAAATCTATTTTACGATCCCAGCGAGTAGTAAAAATCTTCGGCAGTACTTAAAAACTCCACGCGGTCATAAAACATTGCTAGAAATTATCTTTTAAAATTTTACAATCTTTTTTCAAATATTGAATTTTTATCTTTTTTATTTTCAGGTATTTCTCCGAGTATCTTCGCCTGCCACGTGGAACAACCCTATGTGGTGCAAACGCCCGCCGATTTACGCTTCACCCTTTACCCTATTGGGTTGGCCCTGAGTGCGGTATTTCTTGCGGCAACGTTGATCGCCGGCTCGCTTTTACCGGCAAGCCATCACGTTTTGCACTGGCGTTGTCAGACCAACCACGTGGCGTGTCTGCTCGTCGGCGACGTGCTCCTCTGCATCGTTCAGCTTTCCGGGAACTCCATGACCGGCTCGCCGTGCTTCATCATCGGTGAGTACCGACTTACAAATTTTTACCAGCCCAGTTCACAGAACACACAAATGAAACAAAAACAATCGAAACAATGTACTATTACACCAACAGCCTTGGCATCAAACGAAATTCTTTGTGAACAAGGCCAATGTGTCAAATTTACAAACACGCAAATCACAATAATTTAATATTCAAACAATTTACGCAAAATAATATTGATAAATCGATGCGATAATTGCACTGCGGCGATTTTTATTTTATTAACTCCTCAAATATGAATATTAATCGCGCATAAAACAAGCGGCAATTAATTATAGCTAATTGGACGTTAATAAAACTCATTACTCACATATCTCAGCCGAGTTTCGAGAGCGCGTTAATTGATAAACATCGTAATCTACGCGGCGGTGAAGAAATAAACTGCGATTTGTGTTCGGATGTGCCGTTACTGCTGGCTTGTTGCTTTAGGTTCATCAAACAAGCAACGGAACCGAGCGGCGGCATGGCGCGTCTTCCACAATCAATCAATTAATTAATCAATCACTCGCGCAGCGATAAGATTAATTCGTTGCATTCGTTGCGTTTGTCACGGCGCATACGCCAAGCATGTAGTAATGTAAACGACAATTACGGCGATTATTTATTGTGCGATGAGTCAGTTGAGTTCTTTCTCAGGCGTTCCAGCACATATTTTAATGTTAAACATCAAGAAATGATCAATAAACGCATCATATACAGTGTAAATAAATTCATAAATGCGTTGCTGATTTATCGAGCAAGGTGTGCGTGCTGCGCAAGCAGGAAAAGCACCGTAAATTTAATAATAACGAAACAAAACAGTTATAAACTATAAGTGCCGTAGGATAGGTTAGGTTTACTGTGCAAATTCTTGAAATTGTTTACGCACAACTTGAACTTACTTAAAAATAGTTGAATAAACATAAACATGTATTGCTGCTAAGTTGACTGATGAGCTTTCATGGCAAAACATTGAAAAACACATAAATTCAATTACAGTTTACATAATGTACAAAAATATTAACTTTATGATTATATTTATGCCGGGTGGTTTAAATTAAAAAATATATAATTTCCATATCGATTATCTCCATATCTGGATGAAAAATGACAATTACCTTGAATCGGCTGCATCTTGGTTCCTCTCGCCCGCGAGATGCAAAGGCAACGCGTCGAAACACGCTAATGGCATAACGCGTTACTTAATATAGCATAATCGCGCTGCTCGGCACACACGGCTTCGATTTGAAAACACTCCCGATTTGGTCAGAACCACAATTAATCGAGGTTAGCACCCGAGGTATAACTTTCTATCATCAGTCTCTTGCTTGCGATGCTGCCATGCACTTAACGCATAAAAGTGGACGACTTTCAGCTTCGCTTCGAACTAACACCATAACGAGAGCAATATATTCCTCGAGAGTCTTTAAGAGGAACGTGTCGTCCTCAACCCAATCAAATCGAAAACATCTCATCATCATCATCACAGATGGCAAAAACTCCCTGTGCTGCGAATAGCAACCAGACAAGTCTACCCACGCAACAAATAATATAGATTTTATAAAAAAAAATCTATCCTTCAATGAATCATGTTCTTCATGTTCGTGTTGAATGTGCACTTCCTACAAATTGCACGTCATTGTTTATTTGCTTCATTACTGAAGCCTACGAGTATATCTATGAGTGGGGTTATATATTAACCGATCTTTCTGCATCTCCGATCTTATATCATAGATATTAAATATTAATGTTATCGGGTGTTCGTGTTCGTGTCCTGTCTTGCTGGTCTTGTTGATCTGCTCACGCTTGAACGCACACTTATCCAGTGGATTTTTACATATCACACACACATACAGCATTCAAATAAAATAATTTTATTGGTTTTGTGTTGCTTATACGCTCAGTGCCCTTCTATCAATTCGTTCCGACACTCGATACGATTTTACACTCGCTGGATATTCATGTCTTTCGATTACCGGCGCGCAATGTTTGCTCAAGACTTATCTATTACAAGAAAACCTACCTAGTTAAATATAGCATCAAAACGAGATACGAAGCTAATATTTGCAAACCAATTCACGTCTTGTGAGCTTGTTTTGGCGTGGAGACTATACAAGAAGAAATCATATGATGAGAGGCCAAGGCGTGCTCGGACACGATTACTTTACTTTGATTTCGTGTGTTTTGTTTTTGTGGCTCCAAGATCTATTCCGCGAGCAGGTAAAACGTAATACCTAAGCAATGTGTGTGCGATCGCGAACAGGTCACTGACATCCAAGTTCTGTGTTCGCATTTATTAATATATCGATAGCACCAACTCAGCAACTACCACAACTACGTCTTCAGCTCGCTTGATTATCGATTTACGATCGATTGCGTAAACATTTTTTTGCATCCACGCAATGTTAGTAATGTTAATCTGCGTTAATGATCGGTTATTTCTTTATTAGTTTATCGCTTCCTTTTCTTTTTGCATCATTAAGCTATTATTTCAAAGAATCTTTTACGAAACAATTTATCGAAAAAAATATCCACGCTCATAAGCATATGTACAGCGATGGTAATTAGGCGTGTTATAAATAATTTATAGAATAAGGAGGCCAGCGCCGTCGACGTCGTCTTCATGGCGGCCTGCAACCTGCTGCAACGCTTTTTCTAGCGCAGCATATTACGCGGGTATCATTGATTTACTACGGCGAAAAACGCCAACGAAACGCACGACTGCGTGTGTTGTACATGCACATGTTACACGACGCTACTACCATCGTGTTTCCTTACAATTCGCAATTGCAGGCAATTACCTGCCTATGAGACACTAAACACAAAGAAAAAAAATTCAAGACACTCATATTAATGAATGCAGTTTAACTCGGTCGCTACACGTTTGCACAGAGCGTAATTAATAATTGAACCGCAAATATTTTACACAAGAACAAGCGGAAGTAAAGAAACTAAACTACTGTAGAAAAATACTAACAGTATTTGCATTTAAATGTCGCTTTTCTTGCGGGTCGCTTGTTAATTTCACACTCTCGTGAATGATTTAAGCGACCATCACAAAAACCTTAACTTTTTTTATTTTACAAGCGCACACAAGAAATAAATGGCGTGTGGTACGTGTCATCGTCATGCCGAGATGGCGGCGTGTGGCAGCTTTTTGTGTCCCGTTTATTTAAATAAACATTCCCGGCGTATGATTAATCGATCGATAAACGCATCGAAAATAAAAACGTAAAACACCGCAATCTAACGGCGGATTATTATTACCGTCTATGGACGTAAATAATTATATTATTTCAACGCATTTCAAGTGAATCCAAGTGTGTATGTGTGTGGTGAAGTGAATGCGCGCACTAAATCGGAAACACGTGTCGATATATTGCGTTTTCTTTAAATTACTCATTGACGAGCGAAAGAGTTCAAAACAAGTTCAAACAACTAGAATAATAGGCAAACAGCGAACTAGTTAAACATTTACACGCGAAAAATGATTGCTTCATTGCGAAATATTCAATCAGAATGAATACGTTTTTAATGATTGCGCGCCGCTCGCATTTAAATAAACATGTATCAATTGATGAGCGGAAGGTTGTGCCGCACATCAAAGCCCACGACGCCGACGTGCAGTTTGCAGTTTGTGCGCTTGCGAATCGTAAATATTTTGTGCAAGATGATGATAAACTGGTAACTGGCGGTTAATAGCGCGCCGGCCTCCCCACAGTGCGCATTGCATTTAACTGACGATAACGCGTGCTCGCCGCGGATTAACATGTCGTGCTAATTGTTAATTGAAACGACTCATCAATACTCCGCCGACTGCGGGGCGACGACGTATCGGCGTATCGCTATCAGCTGCAATAATTGTTATTATTCTCGAACTGGTTTTTGATTGCTGCGGCACATCTTTTCAGAATTGATGGTAATTGATTTGGAGGGAATAAAATATTCTTCGAGTTGTAATAAGTTGAGAATAAGTACTGATGAGGGTCGAGAGGAAAGTTGATAAATCATCGCGCGGCTGCATTAGCCACGATTTGTATTAATCAGCTGCCAACATCAAGCATGTTAATGTTGGATCCATCAAGATATTACTTGCCGACCGTTAATGAATCCCAACTGTTCATTTATCATCTTATCATATAAGCATCATGAAAATAATAAAGAAATAAAATTTGAGCTATATTAGCTGGTTTAGTGGACAAAAAAAATTAATTTCTAATTTTTAAACTTGTGACGTTAATGTTAAAGTTAAAAATTTAATTGAAGAAAAAAACAATTGATTTACACAGGGCTGATTGGAGCCTGGTGGGGGAAGTGACGTCAGTGTTGAATTTAACGCCATCTCTTGACGGTTTAATTTTTAAATTTCTATTTTTTTTAAAACCCATCAACTTTGCACATAAAAAAATAAACGCGTGTTCTATATTCCAAGACTCATTTTCTTTTTCTAAATATAATTTTAGTGACACTTAAAAATACAATTTAACGTTTAAAAATCCTAAATTCGTGACCGAATATACACAAATGTTTACCGTGACAATTAGAGCGTAGCGAAATTTCTGCGAGCGTTTAACAAAACTTCAACAAAACCAATTTCTTCGCGCTCGACCGACAAAACGTTTAATTTAAAAATTATTTTCACTGCGACCTCATTACATCCGCAAACTATAATAATTTACTACGTACAAAGACTCTTCAACCGCAGGGTTATAATTTCAAGCGGCATGAAAGTGCGATTAAACTTTACGGTGTCATTTCTGCGAGTACTAATACTCATACAAACGTTATCGTCCGCTGAACACATCAAACATCAAAAGAAAACGGTAAATAATCAAGCCTAATATTCTAATAATACCAAGAAGACAAAAAAGTATAAAACAACACGACATTAGATTAACTACCCACAGAAATAGATCATCTGTAAGATTAGCACTGTCTAAATCTAGATTTTAATCCACGTCGACTTTCAGAAAGTCCAAGATGCGTGCAGAATAGAGAATAGAATAGAGAATTCACTCCGCGCCTTTCTATTCTATTCTATATTCCCACTCACGAAGAGAATGCAGTTTGCACTCGGCCCTAATGGCATGTTATGCTCTCCGCTATAATTTTCCAACACCAATAATATTGCACGCTCATGATAATAACAACAACGATAAAACGCATTACCATAAAATTATATTCCGTGTTCTACGATCGAACTCAGCGAATGTTAATATGAACTCACGTTAGAAACGCATTCAATGTGAATTATACAGGCGTACGAGTATTGAGCTGTATCAATAGACTATTTTATTGGCGATTGAAGCGAAGAGAAAAAACAAGCGCTATACAAAACACCAAGAACCGGATGATGACGAAGAATAGAAAATAAAAGCATACAGTAAGATCTGCCGGTTGAGATGTTGCTGTTGATGTACTTACGGACGTTAATCTCTCCCAGTCGTAATTCGAGCAACGGTATCGCGCACTGTGCGGAAAATCAGATATTACTTAGGCATATATCGCGCTGAGCGTGAATTACCCACTTGTTAGACTGTAATTTAACTCATTATTCAACGATTAAACTTATAACCTATGCATAACTTAATATAGGCAACCAATTATACATTACAACATAACCTAAACTAAAGATTTTATTTCTGCCCTCTCAGCTGTTTTCTTTTCTTCGTTTTTGTATTCTTTGCTAGTTTGTAACAAAAAAGTAAGTAAGGAAAACATTACATACGAATGATTATGACGGATAGCGCATTGTTGTTGTGTAATGATGGGAAACCGGATTCGTTTTACGATGCGCGCATTCTTTTGCATTTTTATAATAGCAGAACACAAAACACCGCGCTGAGAGGAAGAGCGCGATGAACGATGAGACATTTATTTGCTCAGCGTCCTTTTTTATTACCCACCATTCGCTTGTTTATGGAATTACTGCATTCATTGCATTTCAATTGCTAATCTCATAAGAAAATTATTCATATAAAACGTAATACACTACATTTTTTTCTTATAGTCATCGTCTGCGAAATAAAATTACTTACTTATATCAATATAATCAACTAATATTACACTCAACTAAGCCCGCCGCTTGCAAATTTTGCAATTAGAGGAATAATTTATGCTTATCACCCCGCATCTAATGCGTTTGATGTTCATATTTCTGCTTATCGCTGTGGATTATTAGCGACTCGCGGCACGTTTCTTGCATTTCTAAGCACATTTCTTACTGTTGCGCTCTTCGTATCTGTGCCTGGTGGTTTCTGGTTATGTGCGCGTAATAAATTGCAACAGGCCAAAGGAAACGCAAACAAATTGCCGGAGGTGCAACCACGTGCATTCCGCGAACGTTGAATAACATCGGCGGCGCGTAACTAGAATGTAGAAAATAGTCGCGTGGTTAGCATAAAATTTTAGCGTTCAGCGCGGAAAACCAGTAGCTGCTTGAGAGTTAAATACCCGCAATATCTATTTTACTTACGTGCACGGTATTTATCTGTGGATTCTCTGACGCGCGTGCGCGGAAGAACTAATGCAACTGAATTGTTATCTGAGGCAATTTACAATTTGTTTAAGAAAATATTTCAAATTGTAAATACTTACATATAAAAGGAATTTATTTTGGAATCTCTAAACTATTGTAATTTCTTTGTAGATAACTTAATGAAGAAAATAAACAAAGTGTTTAAAAATCTTTTTTTGAGTATGAGTAATTATTTCGCATGCTGGTATAATAATAATTATATTCTTGCTGTTTCGAATGCGAGCGTGATGAATTATCGTGCGCGATGCAAATCTCGAAAATTGGAAATCCATGCGCTGCCCAGCATCCGGTCGACATTACTTAAGAACCTAAGATGCAATCATCTTCGCGCGCCTTAATCATGCTCCACCTTACCGCCTGGATGGAGGTGGCTCATTACAATCGCGTCAGTGATTTATTGCAACGCACTTCGATGCAAATCGACGCCTAACTAGTTTTCATATAGCTGCACAATTTTACATTTCTCATAAACTACAAGCAAGATTTTACTTTGCATTTTTACGACTATCATGTAAACTAACAAAAAAAGAAAGGAACGAATCGTAGAGTCTTAATCTACGGAAAATTCTCTACAAGATAGGCTAGTTAAAATCGAAATCTAAGAGATGAAATTTTAGGTCCTAAGAAAAAATTGGCAAGGGGGGGTAGTTGATACTTTTTTTCGACGATTTTCGATCGCGAATATCATCTAAACTAAAAGAGATATCAACCGGCGGAAAGTAGATTATGAAAGATTGGATCATTCTCTATTAGCTAGGGATTTAAAATTATTTAATTTCAAAGAGTAAAGGGTCGAAAAATGCGACTAAAAGGGCTAAAAAGTGACATTTTTCAATTTTTGAACATTTTCTTTAATTGTGAATATCTCGTAAACTAAAAGAGATAGGAAGGCCAAATCGTAGATTCTTGATCTACGAAACATTCTCTACAAGATAGGCTAGTTAAAATCGAAATCTAAGAGATGAAATTTTCACTCTTAAGAAAAAAACGGGCAAGGGGGGGTGCTTGATTCTTTTTTTCGACGATTTTCGATCGCGAATATCTTCTAAACTAAAAGAGATAGCAGCCAGCGGAAAGTAGATTATGATAGATTAGATCATTCTCTATTAGCTGGAGATTTAAAATTATTTAATTTCAAAGAGTAAAAGGTCGAAAAATGCTACTAAAAGTGCTAAAAAGTGACATTTTTCAATTTTTGACCATTTTCCTTAATTGTGAATATCTCGTAAACTAAAAGAGATAGGAAGGCCAAATCGTAGATTCTTGATCTACGGAAAATTCTCTACAAGATAGGCTAGTTAAAATCGAAATCTAAGAGATGAAATTTTCACTCTTAAGAAAAAAATGGGCAAGGGGGGGTGCTTGATTCTTTTTTTCGATGATTTTCGATCGCGAATATTTTCTAAACTAAAAGAGATAGCAGCCAGCGGAAAGTAGATTATGATAGATTAGCTCATTCTCTATTAGCTAGAGATTTAAAATTATTTAATTTCAAAGAGTAAAAGGTCGAAAAATGCCGCTAAAAGTGCTAAAAAGTGACATTTTTCCATTTTTGACCATTTTCTTTAATTGTGAATATCTCGTAAACTAAAAGAGATAGGAAGGCCAAATCGTAGATTCTTGATCTACGGAAAATTCTCTACAAGATAGGCTAGTTAAAATCGAAATCTAAGAGATGAAATTTTCACTCTTAAGAAAAAAATGGGCAAGGGGGGGTGCTTGATTCTTTTTTTCGACGATTTTCAATAGCGAATATCTTCTAAACTAAAAGAGATAGCAACCGGCGGAAAGTAGATTATGAAAGAATGAATAATTCTCTATCAGATATTAATTTAAAATTATTTAATTTCATAGAGTAAAAGGTCGAAAAATCCGACTAAAAGTGCTAAAAAGTGACATTTTTCAATTTTTGACCATTTTCTTCAATTGTGAATATCTCGTAAACTAAAAGAGATAGAAAGATCAAATCGCAGATTCTTAATCTACGGAAAATTCTTTATAAGATACGATATTGAAAATACTTTCAATTTTAATTCTTACACGTTACGATGAAGATTAACCGCTGATGTAGAAGTGAAAAAACCATGTTAACTCTTGAATGAACGCCTAGAAGAGTTCACGTGCACGGCGCGCAGTAGAATGCCCTGCATGCACATTAGCAGCGCGCTATGTGGCAGCAAGCGGATAAGTGGAAGATATCGATCGAGATAATGATGATTTATGGGACGAACGATTTGATCCGACCGGCCGCGGCAGTGCCCGCACCATTCGCTATCGAACCGTGAAAATAATAAATAACACAAAAAGGAGCACACTACACTTCGATCGACATTTAAAAAATGTGTACACACATTTAAGACTAAACTATGCAGGCATAATTTCCATACTCTTAGATAGATTAAGATTTATTACACCCACGAAATAAAGTAACTATTAAAATTATTTTTAAATTAAAAACAAACACGTATTTAACGTAGAAATAGTTTTTCTCGTTTTAAAAAATGTAAAAGTCAAGAGTATTGCCCCGCAAATAATTAGCAATAGCAGCGCAAATTGTTTTCCAAGTCGTGACCTGAGCAACACCACGACTAATCCGAAAACACATTATCTGTGCTTATACAAATTAACGTTCGCCAATCTCCAACAACACAAGACAAACAAGGCTCGAAGAAAATTACTTCTCCATAAAAAAATTTAAAAAAATAAATAATACCTAGTTTTATTTAGTTGTGAGCTGTGAAGTGAAGTGAACTCGCCTGATTGTCTTGTTGTGTCTTTTCGTGCTTTTGTTGGCAGCAACTTATTCTTTGCTCTTCTTTCTTAGAGAATGCCACACACACACACACACATACAAAAATACAAAGTTCGTGCTTCTGTAAATCTAAACTTAATGAGTATGGAAAGATAATTGCGCTGAATTATTCCAACCTTCAACAATTTCAACTTTCGTGCGACTGCCTGCAGCTTTTTTCTGCGTTTCATATTTTTATTCTCTTGTGCAGTGGTTAATGTACCTCAACGACTGCTTTGTTTATTTGTTGATTTTAGTCGCGTGGAGAAAACGTATAAACTTCCCATGTACAAACATCCTACAAACACGGTATTAAAGGTTAGAATAACCAAAAACATCCTATTTCACATCCATCCGGATAAATCGAATCTCTGGTTAATACGTTTCAACACACTGCGCGAGAATATAAAATAAAAACGAGCGAAGAATTTTCTTCTTACGTGTGTTTCTGGTTGTCATCGTAATATGCCGCCCGTTGCATCTCTCGTGTCTCGCAAGCACTCGTAAATAACCGACGCGCACGACACGCATTATATTTATACCTTTCCTCCGAAAATACAAGCTAATTAACTGATGCGCCGGCTTTCGAGGAAGCAATATTCGAGACGTACCTACTACTGCCATGCGTGTGTGTATTTGTTTTTGTTGCGCGCAGCGAGAGTATAATTCATGAGCGTTTTGTTTCGTCTGTTTCAGCCGTCGCGATGCACTTCCTCTTCTTGTCTGCGTTCTTCTGGCTCAACACCATGTGCTTCAATATCTGGTGGACCTTTAGGTGAGTTATTACTACACGATTTAGCGTCACGCGCCATTCTAAACTGACTTAAGTAGGAATTCCGGACATTTTCCGAGTGTTTGACTTGTTTTTCGGTTAGATTTGTTTCATAATCACAAAAAATATATCTTACTACTGTTTTTATAGTTGTTTAGTCTTTTTGGGACACAAAAACAAGAATTTAAAAAAATTCGCACCTAAAATGTAATTTTGGTTGCGTATATTTATGCGGTCTTTGATATTTTGCAAGTTAATAAATTATGCGCTAGATTTCCGCAAGGAAATGCATCACATGTCTCGACCCTCGACTGTTCTATTATTGTAAATCTTAAATTTATGTTGGTTGCATAATTAAACACAAACCGATTGTATCTGTTTTGCCCGCCGGTTGCATCTTGGCGCACGCGATGAGTAATAGATTTTTTAGCGCCATTTCAATTATCCGCGCACGACGTTCATTGTCATTCTATTTGCGTACCATCAAAGCGCGCCTTCGCTCTAAATTAAAACCCTACCTTTGTGCAACGCACGCACTTAACCAGAATAACATCTCACAAGGCGAAAGGGGAAACATAAATATAAAAGAGTGCAGTCAACGAATAGCATTACAAAATTAATTTTCATGGCAAAAAAGGCTTAGTTCCGTTGAATTTATTTTATGGATAATTTTATTTCAAAGGATAAAATCCCCCTTTAAAATTTTTTCTTCAGAAAATTAAAAGTGAATCCTCGGCTATTTATTATTATTACTTCATAAAGCTCTGCCAGTTCCGACAACGAGTAACACTGATTATACTAATCTACTTAGTCTTTATGAATTCAACCCATCCGTTTGCACTCTGGTTGATATTCCGGGAATTATAAGGCTTTAATTTAATTCTGAATGATTACCTTTTCAAGTCGTCACTAAAGCGCAAATAAATATAGGCACCGCTGGAAGAAAGCGTAGCGTCGTTCCCGGATGTCCATTGAATGTCTTTTCTTGGACTTGACTGGCTTCGCTTTCAACGTGTGCAACATTACCCGAAGCCGCAGCATGGCATGAATCGTCTGCTCTTTTATTACCATTGAAGCAAACGCCGTAATGAAATTTGATGCATTTCTTTACTCAAGCAAGCAAGCAAGAGAAACGTGTTTACAACACGACACCGAGAACAGAAAATATTCGAGGTTTTGTCGAGTAGAGTTCAAGAGCAGCGAATCGAAAACGAATCAAAGAGAAAGTTTTTAGTTTTACGTTTGTGGGTTAATTTAAAAGTCGAAAACAACATCTTGAAATATTTCACTTGCGGAAAGTGATGCCGTTTTGTTGTTTTTAAACATTGCACGCATCTTTCTTGTTGCAAGAACGCGCGCGCTATTTCTGGAGTGGAAAACATTCAACAACCAATTCACAACACATAAAAGTGACAAATCCGCAATCTATCACGTACTCGTTGATCGCTTCTGGACGTTGTCCAATCTGCGCGCGCGTAAAACTGTAACACGGCGTTAATTTTTATGCTACCATTCCGCAAACCGTAAACACGACCTGTTTTGCCGCCGCCGTCGTCCGACCGCTATTTTCAATCTTTCAAATTACGAATGCGGTGTGTTTAATAAAACAACGGAAATTGTTTGGCGCAAGTCACGTCGCACTTCTTTCCATAATATAAACATCAAACGCCAAATACGAAGAAACACATTTGTTGCGTTTTCAAAATATTACTTTAAAGTTTCAACTAGTATTTTCCACGCGGCTGACACATGATCTGTGATGGTATTTAGTAAAATTCCCAAACGCATTCCATGTGAGCGAGGATATTCCCTGTGCTGCGCGCCGTCGCCACTCCAAATGGCCCGTTTTATTGCATCTAACCATGCGTTTGCAAGAAGAGAAAAAAAAATACGCGCAGTAATTCGACCTTTGCGCCGCCCGACGCCCTCACACATCGAATCTGTGGCGTGCGTATAAATCGAGGCGCCGTCTGATTAATCGTCACGCACCCATCAAAAATCCGCGCGCCGCACGCAGATGGGAAATGAAAAACTTTATTTCCTCGCGTTTTCGGGTTATTTTTACGAGTCGTGGTTTTAATTTTTAATGCCCCAACACATGTCTGGATTATAGAACCAAGCGGCGCGTCAATGAAATTATAAAATATGCGCGAACGCGGGCGATGAAAAATGCGCGCGCGGACGCAAATTGGCGATCGCAATTCATGATGGCGCCATGGGGCGTCGGATGTTACCGTCAGAAGAGCTGAAAGCTTCTGTTATCGACGTGCCGTGTGGCTAAACTATTGCGGGGAGAGCAATAAAAATGTGGATTTATCATTTGCCAAACAGACTTTTTATAACGTCAACTGTGTAAATTGACGAGATATCTGGAGATTCTCAAAGAGAAATAGCAAACAACTCAAAATAATTTCATGTAGAGACAGAATAAGAAGGAAAACACTGTCAATCAATTAAAATTATCATCTTTTAGCAGTTTTTAGTAATTTTTGATCAATTTCAGACAAAAACAATTCAAAAAATCAAAATTTATCAAAATATAAACCTCGTAACTAACCGGACTTAGAATTAACTAAAATTTAACTTAGGTTAGGTATTCTTATAACCTATGCAACCAAGTTCACAAGGTCTCACCTCCTAGAACTCTGCTAAAAATCTATAATAATCTAAATTATATTCTCCATAATTACAACTAAATATATCATAAACAATTTCGCTTTGCGGCTTTCGATTGGCGGCAGAGATCAATCGGCGCGCTAATTAGACAATTAGCCCGTTTAGCAATTTGTTAACAACACACATGTGCGATGTGATTGCGCGGACATTGAAAAATGCGATTTCGCGCGGCGCGCACGCGATTTATGCTTAAACAACTGTTAGGACACCGCGCGCTACGATTGTTGTCATTATACGCCCGCGTGCGCCAGACAACTGTTATTACCGCGAACGCGAGTAATTGCTAATTATGCAATAGGCGTTTCATAAATCACCCACACACACACACCGACATACCCATGCTGGCAATTTACATTAATTGCACGCAGTCGACATAAGTGAAGAAGATATCACATGTCAACTAACATGTGGGGCACACAGCAGACAAGACAAGAATATTTTTAGATATCCTACCTTGAATGCACTTAGTAGAAACCTGAAACAAGAAAATGAATTATTTTTAATTTACAGGTATACGATAGATATGCTAATCTTAAAAGGGTTCGGTCAGTATTTTCAATATTTTAAGTATTTTCTTATCAAAATACAAAAATCTAAAGATTTCGGAATATTTCACCGCGCAGGTAGTCGTCTTGAACAAAGGTACCGAAACTAAATACTTAAAAACACCAAACGGAACTTAAAGAGACTCAACCAAACAAGGAAATGTACCGCAAAGGATTGTTACATGCTTGTCGCAGCCATAACCATGACAAAAACTGTTTTTTTCGTCACTCACTCTTCACCATCTTGTACTCTTATGCAGTTAATGAGCGTACTCAACGATTAAAACAATACTTTTATGTATTTTACGTGTATAACCTTAAACCTAATGTTTTTTTCTATTGTGTTTCGCAGAGATTTACGCCCGCAAAGTTTGGAAAAGTCGCAAGAACGTTGGCGTCTGCACATCTACGAAGTATACGCATGGGGCGTCCCGCTGCTGATCGCTGGTACCGCCGGTATTCTCGACTCCGTCGAGACGCCCAACGTGTTCATCACGCCTGGTTTCGCCGAGAATAATTGCTGGTTTCGAGGTGCGTACATCTATGCGTATACCCGGCTATTATCTTTTATTTCCATTAACTCTCAATATATGAGTATACCTCTAGATGTATTGTATTCGCGTTTGTTACTTTTCGGAGCGAGTCTCAAAGCGATTTTACGCATGTTGCACCGTTGCACGTGCTTCATTCATCATCTCAACAATAAAAACACCAATTTCAATAGATTTCGGTCTTACCGTTGCCTCTCGCCTTGAATTCAAAAAGAATAATACTATATTCCTATGTGGGAAATACAGTAAACATCGATGCGTAAATGAGCCGTTTATTTTGAAAGTGACCTAACTCCGTTTTTCAATTTTTTACCGGTTACCATGGTTACAAGTACAACTTCATGTTATTTATCAGTGACGCATTTGAGATTGCTTATATTCAGAGAAAATACGGTACATTTTTTACACATAAGTTTTCCGAATTAATTGAATAACTAAGACGTGTAGTTTGAAAGTGGCCTAACTCCATTTATAGTTACATCAGGATATTTACTATTGATAATGTCGGAAAGCAGCGATGAAGGTAATTTCAATTAATTAGTATTTACAAGTTCACCTCATTTTTGGGACAATTGCGTTAGTTAATTAACCTGTACGTTTAATTAATATAAAACTTAAAATTTAATATTAAATTATAGAAATTATTGCACCCATGAGGAAAAACTGGAGAAGACCACTTAGTTCAGATAGTGAAGAAGAAATAGTAATTAATAATTAAAAAAAAGCGAATAAGAAAAAGAGTTATAGAACAATATTCCTCGTCAGAGGATGAAGATTCAAATAACAATGGAGAAAAGATAGATGCACCATATATCCAAAAAGTGCGAAAGATTAAACGGAATTCAGGAAAAAGATATTGCAGTCAAACCGGAAGTATTGATCATGAAAAAAAAATCGAAAACAAAGATTGTGGTAGTCGGAATGCGTGCACAAAAAATTATAATGAAGAAGAAAGAAAGAATATTTTTGAGAAGTTTTGGGGATTGGCAGATTTTAGCAAACAAAATGTATTACTTCACGAAGCTGTCTGTGAAACCAAGACGATTTTTTTTTTCAATTTGAAACATCTTAAATTATGTTGAATGGACTTGGGCATCTTCTAATTTTATAATGAATCTGGCTGTTAATTTTGAAAGTGGCCCAACTCCATTCTTGATAAGGAAACGCACGTTATTTACTTAATAATTGCCACTATTTTAACAGGAGCTTTAAATTTAACATCCTTAGAAACGCTTAAGCAGTATGACTCCTTAGTATCTTATACGTATATTTTTAAATTCATTGAAACGCAAAACTTTCAATATCTCGATTTGAAGATAAATGGAGTTAGGCCACTTTCAAAATAAGCGGCTCAAATATTTTTTGCTAAATTTTTATTTTTTCCCCACGATTGTTGTTATAATTACCTACTTCTTACAAGGAAAAGGAAAGAATATCGTTCAAGGTGCTGCGATTCGATCTGCTGCTGCTGCTACAAAAATCTAACGCAATCATTTCCTCTTGCTTCTTTCTCGTCTATTCACGAGAGACTAGCACATATCTCATTGGAGAATTTATGTGTTCGGTCAGCTTCTCGAAAAGCATAAAAGCGATAATTCAACATTCAACTCTCCGGCAGCAGAACACACGGCAAGGACGCGCGCGACGATTACTCGATCGGAATTCTTTCCCAGCCAGCGTCGTCGCCATCATTAAATGTGCTCAAACAACTACACATTTTTTTGCTTCAAAGACACCAAGACTTAATTACCACTAACTATTAATACCGGAATGAGAAACACCTTGTACTTGCGGTGCTTCGCTGAGCAATTATTGCGCAACGATTTGTTACAAATCGAAGACATTAACGTAAATCTGACGGTCGTAAACATAAACATTAAAAATATATCGATTAGAGGAAGCTGTAAATAACATTCATAAAATTAAATTAAATTTCAATCAATTTTTCTACATTTTATCTCATAACATTACTAAAATAATTTGTGGCTCGTTATTTCTCTGATTAATTATCGAATAACTGTGTATTCGTTGTGTTGTGTGTAAAATAATGCGTTTTCGGTGGACAAAAGGCCATTACATTGTGGTACACAATGCAACACAGCACGTCGCGGCGCGCTTCGATGGTAAATTGTAAAATGGTATTCGCCTGCAAGTTGCAACGCAAGTAAACGGCGAAAAGTCATTCTGACAGATAGTTTCGGAGCTGCGGTAAGCAGCGCACAGTTAGGAATCGATCGTTTCCGCATTCTTGCGGCGTGTTTTTTTCGACTCGATTTCGCAAGATGCACAACACAATGCGCACAAACTTGAACTTGCAACAATGATAAATTGTATAAACTAAAAGTTGAAGGTCAGAGAATGTAGGCAGGCAATAGTTGAAACTATAAAATCTACACGGTAAATCTCAACATTTTGGAGATGTTAATTAAATAAAAATAAACTCCGCTGCAATAAAATCCAGCTTCTCAAAAGTTTAACGACTTCACGGGCGAATTCAACAAGTGGGCGACTTGACACAACTTGATTCGCGTTTTGACTCACCCACTTCACCATCATCGACGCGCAAAATTTTGTTTACGCATGCTTATATTGTGTTTAAGTACCGAATTCCATCGCTCGGAATGTGTAAATCATTTTCTTTGCACTTTAGTTTCGCGTAAAAAACTTGAAATGAAAACGATGTTTTTCCATTTGTTTATTTCACACTCGAGCGAGAGGAAATTGAAACGAATTAGAATTAAACATGCCATGACTAACTACCTAAAGTGTAGATTCTAAACAGTACCTACAGCCTACGTTGTGCGTACAATTGTGGTATTTATTTCCACTTAACACACCAACCGTTTTCAATTAGTTTAGCCGCTCGGCGATAATTAAACTTTTAGTGTGCAATATAAAATTTTTACGATTTTCATTTGCAGGAAACACCGAAATCCTCACGTATTTCTTCGGCCCTGTCGGCGGGCTGCTCATTATCAACCTGTTGCTCTTCGGCGCGACTGCCCGCGAGTTGACGTGCGGATTATGGAAACGCGAATTGGTTAAATCGACGACTGAAAGGTACGCATGCCGGCGTTAAAAGCATTCGCGCGTATGTGCGAAACATAATAAGCAATAAATGCGATAAATTTGATTACTTTACAGAGCCGCGTTGGGTCGGGTATGCATGAAGCTCGTGGTTGTGATGGGAGTGACGTGGATCGCTGATGTCGTGTCTTGGGCCGTTGGTGGGCCGCAAGAAATCTGGTACGTCACCGATCTGATCAACTGTCTACAGGGCGTGTTTATTTTCATCGTTGTTGGACTACAACCACAGGTATGCCACGATTTTTATTTTTAATTATCTATAGATATACTCTATGAATATCAAAAACCTTTTTTATCTTCTTCAGGTTCTGACAGCAGTCAAACGTCTCTGGTGTTTGCGTAAAAACCGCGCCGCCGAGACAGCAGGCACCACAAATCATCATTCGTCCAGCTCGCAGGGCCTGCCGTCCATGGGCGATACGATAACAAACAACAGCATTACCAACGGTACGACGAAAACAGTTTCGATACCGCTGGAGACAAGCTGTTAGCCACCAAGCAATTGAACAAACACATCATTGTATATATTTGATACGACAGAAAAATATTTTTCATATTTTTATAAGAAAATTTGGACGAAAACCACGACGTTGAAAAATATTGAAAATTTTGAAAGCTTTTTTATAATATTTATATGCTAGCTAGTCAAATCATTATTTGTTTTAGTAACATTTAATTTTATTGCTTAGTTGTTAGTAATTATTTTGTTTGAATGTAAACGAAAATGTGATTTTATGAATTTTAACGCAAACTGACTTTCAGCTACAACATTTTAAACTTAATTCTATTGTTGTGTTCAAATGTATGTTTACTTCTATTTCTATATCGACATTGATAAACTGATAATTTCGACTGATATAAGAGCTATAACTTTCGTAGGACGCGCAAATTTTGCTTTAGTAATATTATATTGTCATATTATATCTTACGCATTGTAAATATTCCGTTTAATATTATGTTTAGTGGACGTAATCTCGTTTTCCGCTCTGTTATATAGATTAGTTCCTTATTTATTGTACGACAAGAAAGATGATATTCGTATGTAAGCTATTTGTTCAATGTTATAATTATTTCATGTAATTTAGTCTTTGGTTTAGGTTGTTCAACATTATGTTGCTTATCACGCATGCAACAGACGTGATGGGCGACTTTGAATCATTTTCAAATATTAATTAATGTTAATAAATTAAAATATTGAAAAATACTGAGTATGCGTGTTGTTTGCGGAGATTTATTACAACGAAACTCACCTCTAACGCCATCTTGGGTACCTCGTGGGAATTGTTGGCAGTGGACACTCGCGACACGCGCATTGCAACAAATAGGTTATTGTTATGAAGCCGACAAATATTTCAACCATTAGGAAATATTCGCGCTATGCATGATGTAAAACGCGTTAAAACACTTACTGCTAATTAATACGTCGCGATAACAGTAATTACTGAATTTAATTAGAATATTTTTACGATTTGTTGCAATGAAATAAGAGAAACGTGCACGACCTTCGGTAGTCGATGCCAAAGAGGAAGACATGCGCATTTCCGTTTATGTCAAATACACAAATCGTGAATACGGAAATACACGATTGATGACCGAAGTCCCCTAACACAATTTGAAAGTTAAATTATGACAGCATAAACAAAATTTTCGAAAAATAACTTATAAACTCGCGACTTTTGCATCAAAGCATAAGAATTGTAAATATTTAATGCGGAATTAAAAATTAAGTTAATAACTTACAGGATAAGGATGAATTGTTTGTTTGTGTTGTTAAATAAATTACTTTCTTCAACTTTGAAGTTTACTTTCATGTTACTGTTGACATTGTGACAGTCTGGTCGTCTGCAAAGCAGCGCTCAGAGTTTAGTCGAACAAGCCGAAGCCCATGTCGTCATCCTCTTCCTCGGATTCTTCCTTCTTCTCCTCCTTCTTAGCAGGAGCAGCAGAAGCAGCAGGTGCGGACGCAGCCGGAGCGGCAGCCGCGAACTTGCTAGGATCCTTAATGTACTCCTTGATGGTCTCTGCTTCCTTGAACTCAACATCAGTAACAGCAGCAATAGCCAACAAGTTCTTGAAACCGTTGGCAATGCTGTGCGGTGCTGAAGCGGCAGTTGGGTAGTTAATACTCAAACAAACCGAAGCCAAGTTGGCAACACCAGCCATGAACTTAGCCCTCAGATCTTCAGGCTTGATGTCCAGGATTTCTGGCGCGAAGATGGTGCCAGAGTCGTAGACCTGCTCGACGAGCAGACCGTACGAGAACGGAGAGATGTTCAACATGTTCAAGAGGGTAGCTTCGGAAGCGCCCACCTTGTCGCCAGGCTTCAAGATGTGCACATCGTTGATGATTTCAATTGTACCCTTGGAAATCTTGGTCGGGATGGACAGAGCCTGGAAGAAAGAGGTTTTCTCCGGACCTAGACCGGTGTTCTGTGCCGGGATGATGACGGACAGAGGGGCGATCGCACCCGGACGAGCCGGAGCACGGACTTTGTTCTCGATCAGCTTGTCGCGCACCTCGACGAGATCGCCGCGGGTGAAGACGAAACCGACGTTTCCCTTGATGTGCGGGAGCAACTTCTCCAGGGAGTTGTTGCGCTCCAGATGTCCCTTGATGGCCTTGCGCATCATGGTGTTTTTACCCATGAGTACGACGGCGCTACCTCGAAGGGACATGCGGATCTGCTGCATTTGCTTCGAACCGACATTGTCAGCGCCCACAACGAAACACTTGGGGTAATCTTCAAGAAGTTGCTAAAAACAACAATAAAAATAAGTATTCAAGTAGATAGAGTAAAAAATTCACTCAAATGAAGTAATAAATGTGAAATTTCAGAAAAATTTGTCCACAGACAAACTCCTCACACTAGTGGGTTCAGCTATTTCTAGCTCTAGCGTGGTATGGAGCCCATTAAGAGACGAAAAATAATCATCATGAAAGAGTGAACTAATTTCAAACTTATGATAAATTAAAATTAAAACTTACAATGAGTTTGCTGAAGTAGTTAGACTTCCAGGTTGCCTTGTCCTCCCTACCCATCTTGGTGAGCGTAGGGACTCGTTATTGAATTTAAGGAACTGAAAAACAAACTCCAATGAATATCACAATCAAAACACAAGATATGCATAACCTTCAAATAACCGCAAGCTTTCTAGTTTAGATAACGTTCAAATACACAACAAGATACCAGTAAAAACTGATAATTGTAAACATATTTAACACAAATATCAACAAAAAACTTGATTAAAATGTAGGATTGCAAAGATATTTGAAGATTTATTTGCAATTGTCGGAATATTTGACGTGGAGAACTCACCAAGACGAAATCTACGGACGCAATGAACGAGTTTCCGTTCTGTCAGTTACCACAACAGCGTGAAAGCGAGTGAGGGCGCCACTTGTTACAATACTGCACATGCGTAGTAAAGCGAAGCTTAATTTATTCGATATCAAACGAAATCTTTCTTGCTTTCTTCAACATTTATTAGAATAATAACTATTAATTACTGCGCGGCGACTTTTTTGCTCTTCTTCTTCTTCACGTCAATATTAAATCCCATCTTTCTCCTGACTTCTTTCGCAGTTCTCTCGGCGATTTCCGAAGCTTTTTCAGCTCCAGTCTTCAAAACATCCATAATATAAAGTGGATCTGATGAATAATCTATAATTTTCTCACGTATAGGCCTAATACGCGCTGCTACTTCTTCCCCAACTAATAATTTATACCCTAAAGTATCTAAATGCTTAGCATCTGCAACAATTTCCTCAATAGACTTTCCTGTTAATTCTGAATGTATAGCAACTAAATTCGAAACACCCGGACGTTTTTCCGGATCATACGAAATAGTAGAAGTAAAATCAGTGACGGCTTTCTTGAATTTGTTGCGAATTTCATCATCGGTGTCCAGTAAAGTGATGCGACTCTTTGCATCCGGTTCGGATTTCGACATTTTCTTGTCTGGGTTGCGTAAACTCTTCAATCTGCTATTGAGAGATGAAGAGACGATTGAATGCGGTATGGGAAACGTCTCACCAAAGTGATTGTTGAACATACGCGCTAATTCTTGCGCTAATTGAATTTGTTGGATTTGATCTTCACCAACAGGAACATGTGTACTCCTAAATTAAATAAAATTAAAATTCAATTAAAAATAAGTAAAAATACTTACTTATAAAGTAAAATATCAGCTGCTTGTAATACAGGATAAACAAACAAACCCAAAGGTATATCTTTTAAATTTTCGGACTTTTCTTTATACTGAGGTAAATGTGCCAGTCTAGCCATCGTACAAATGCAACCCAATTGCCAACATAATTCAGTATGTTGAGGAACATGTGACTGTTGAAACAGAATGGATTTCTCTGGATCAATTCCACAAGCAAGCAATGTTGCTGTCATTGTTAAAATGTTTTTAGAAAGATCTTTGGGGTTCTACAATTAAAAAATAAATATTTAATTGATTTTTTGATTAAAATAAGTCACCTGAGGTAGTGTAATTGAATGCAAGTCAACAACAGATAGCATAATATCATCTCCTTGGTTTTGATATTTTAACCAGTTGGTAATAGCTCCTAAATAATTTCCAATGTGAACTGAACCAGTTGGTTGGATACCAGAAAATATTCTTTGAGGATATATCTTCTACAAAAGCACTAAATAAGTTGTTGTTTTATTAAATTAAGTATAAAATATATACCTTAGTGGTTGAGGCATTGTTGCTGTATGTTCTTAAATTATTTAAAAGTATTTTTGATTTATTTTTTAACATTTTTACCAAGAAGAATTTTATTCATGTGAAATTAAGTTCAGGTTATAGAGGTGCAACGTAGGCAACCACGTATACACCACTTACTCTACAGGACCATACAAAAACTGATAAACCGAGTGTTTAAAATATAAAACCTGATAAAAACTAAACATACGCAGTAAAAACACAATAATCATAGCAATATGATAGTTTATTACTGCTCACAGATATGTTTAATAACGATAACAGTATAGGTCTATTCAATATTGTATAAATTTCAATAACGATAGCATTTCAATTAATATTAGTACGTGGCGGCTACGTGTAAATCCCAAAGATCATATTAAAACATCAAATATGTACGACTTCTGTCTTGCACTATCGTCGATTGAATTGAATTGCTCACGCGCATTTAAAAAAGCGTGTGTGTCTGAAAAAACACGCAGATATCTGTCTTCTTTAGTAATGTCATTGTTATGTACTGTATTCGTATATCGTAATAAACAATTTACAAAGTTTCTGATCAAAAAAGCGTCCACAACTCCTCCCACCACCCACCACCACCTAGTAAGTAAAACGTAGGCCTTTTTTGTGTGAATCACTTGAGCGAGGCCCGAATACTCTCCTAGAATTTATTATTACACACATTCAACACGTAAACGAGATCTATGAGACACTAGAGGTTATGTTATTTACGAGAGAGGGGGGAAGGCGCTAGTCGCCGGCAACTTTCGTAACACTTGCGCATCAATCATCAACAAATGCACTCACATCTAAGGTTAAAAGCTGATTCTTCTTCCTCTGGTTGATAGAATAAAAAAGCTACTAGTTGTCGTCTGGTACGACACTCGACTTGCGACTTTTGCTACCGGTTTTTCTTTTTTATGCTGCTGCTTTTTACAATCAAGGCATTTTCATTGTTTGTGTGTGTATATTGTATGCGAGTATCGTCTACGGATGAGTTTCATTTGTTTCATCACCGCCTGCATCAACTGTTGCATTTCTAAATCTTATACATTTTATACTTTATATTATTAAAATTTAAATGGAAGAGAGAATAATGTAATGTAATGCGTGACTAGGTATTAAATTGCTTAGTTATTGGAGCAAACAGTTCGCAATCATCTTTGAAAAAGTCGACATCTCGAACACAAAACACTACGTTTTTTTTTAGGTTTCACTTGTCAAAATATAAATGTATGTACAAATTTCTTGTTGTGTTGGGTTTTTACTATACAGGGTCGGGTCTACTTTTATGTTCACATTCGTATTCCAAAAATAAACGCTACGTCTCTTCAAGTCTACAGAGGTATTCTGCACCCTGCATTGCGGAAATTATAAAAATAAATATCTTTCTATTCTGCTCCGAAGAAGAAAATTAATTTCTCATGCTTGTTTGCTTGATTTTTCTCTAATATTTCACGACTTTGATATAGATTTGTGTTAGTTTTGTGCAATTTTTATCGTTTTATGTTGATTCATGCATTTTTTAATCTTTAGAAAACAAAATTTTATGTTTTTAACACAAAAAACATCAATATAACTTCAAAAATTACTTCATTTTTAAACGACACAACAGAAATACGTTCCTAACCTATAATGTAAACCAAAAAATGGCCTGGTTTACAAATGCATGAACCATTTATGTAATTAGTGCGAAATCTATAATCTAATGACGTTTCCCTCGCCTTTAATCAACTAAACAGGCGTACCGAAATCCGGATTACCCTCGCCATCAGCACTCAGCGAATTAGAGTTGTACACATACCTAGCGAGTAGTTTCTCGCGGCGCTGCTCGTAATCATTGAGCGCAGCAACATTATCTTCATTAGAACACAATCGCAATGCTTTACCAACGCGTAAATACCTCTTAGTTCCCATTTTACTCGTCGTGGCGGTCGTTTCAGGCGTGTCGGGTGTTTGAAAGTTCTTCATGAAGATCTCCGATAGGAAAGAATGAATATTCTCCTCGAATTGCGGACTTGTTTCGGTTAATATCGTACGATATTTATAAGTAGTCGTATCGGAAGGTGTTTCTGCTTGATTTGCAGAAGTCGGAGAAGTGTTTTCTGTCAAATTAGGCGTGTCATTTGTATTCTGAACAGAAACTTCCGGTTTCGGTGTGTCTGCAACTTTTACTTCGGTGATTTTCGCAGGTTCTGATCGTTCATCATCGGGGCAGTCCGAAGCATTGCTTGAAATATCCGAATAACCATCGTGTTTGTTAAAAATACTCTGCAGAGTTTTAACTCCGAAATATTTCTTCGATTTGAATTTCTTTGTCTTTTTATAGTCGCGACTAGATTTATGAACTGGGGAACTCTCGCAGCTTGAATTCAACAAGCTTTGATCACTTTTTGTGTTGGAAAATGTCTCATTAGAGCCGTAAATCGCCTCGAATTTCTTAATATTCACATCGTTTGTCTTCGGAGAGTGCGAATCATTACTTGCCATGTCTGTGGATAATACCTCAGAGTCCATGAACATATCTGTGCTGGTCTGCATCGGTGAAGATAGATTTTCCGAATTGAGCGAGTTTGTTGAACAGTTAAAGTTGTCTGGATTACTGGTAGCAGTGCGCTGATTGTCCAGCAGAATAAGATCGTTAGTCACCGCATCGTTTCGGTTAATATCGTTGTTAATAGTCATGTTGAGAAAGTGCACATCGTCACCGGTGAGAAAATCCTTAGCGTTATTATTAGGCGTGCTGGGTTGATTATTCGCCATATTGGAAATCGTCGTAAGATGCGCAGAGAAGTTGTACACATCCTTGGTTTGCAATGAATCGATGACTTTCTGAATCTCCGGCGACACGTGGTATGGTTTCACAGGGTCCCCGCTGGTGAGGAAGTCGTTTAGTCTCGAGGTAGTGCTACAAATCACCCTCAATGCATCAAAAACAATCTCCATCTAAAACTTCTACGATAAAAATCTTGCAAAAAACACTGCCAATCACACACCAATGACGCACGTGTATACTTGGTTGCCTGCTCTTTCCACTTGCGTCATTGTATGGTGTTTTTCAAAATGATAAAAACCATCTACCAACAAGTGCGAATCAAAGAACATTCTGATAAAAAGCAGTGCGCATAACTTTCAAAAGTATTTCTTTAAAAGACGTCCGTACATTATTCAAATATATAACGTAAGATAAAGCTCTAAATATAATACATACATTGTAAAACAAGTGTAATGTTTTCAAAGTGGCCAGCCACTAGAGGTGTCTGCTGCGTCAACGCATAAATCATATACATTCATCATTCATCAATCGCAAAAAACGCGTCGAATCGCCTGACGAACAAATCAAATTAAATTACACACAGCTACGGTTTTCAAAAATCACATGCGGCGTGCGTCCCCGATGGGCGGGCTGGTGAGAGAACGGAATGGCAAGAGACATCACACTCACCCGCTCTGATAAGAGACGGATTCGGGCGTGCGCGGCGCCGTCGGCGTGTTGAAATTATTCCGGCTGTTTATACTGTTGTCGTCGTTCGGATCACACACATTGTTGTCAAAGAAACTACAAAACAAACGCAAAAATAACCTATATCCAACACGCTTTCATGCGCGTGCGCAGTAAATACCGAAAATGGAATCCATCTTCTTCCAGGGAATTGTCGCTGTCATCAGCGGCAATATACTGAACCTGTAAGCGACACTCCTCACAATTTTGCTTGAGAATATCAACAGCTTCCTTGTGGCATGCTTGTCGTAGGTCTTTCTCGTTGACAGATAAAATGGCGTCGCCAATGTACAACTCGCCGGATAATGCAGCCGGTCCATTCGATTCCAATTCGGATATTAGTATAGGTACACCATGCTCACGTCCACCCTTTAGATGTTACACGTATAACTGGTTGCCTATATATCAAAATGTGTGTGTATACTTACAGTTATACTAATACCTAATCCTTGGCTGGGTTTCCGCTTGACTACAACTGTCCGCACGTCGCCAAAGTGCTCAGTGAGCGTAGGCACAGGCAGGTCACGCTTCGCCGTCGAAGACTTGTCGCTGCCATTAAGGATACTATTCCGGCGGCATTCACGCACCACAGTCTTGTGTCTCTGTAGCAGAATCTCCGACTCCAGCTGACGCCATAGTTTATCACGCACGTCTCCACGCATTTCTCTTCCTAAAACCGTAAAACAATAAAAATACAACAATAAAGCGCCGTTAAACACCAACCTAAAAGTTGTAACTGTTGTATTCGCCCAGCAAGCTCTTTATCCAAATATTTCGCCGCTAATTTCGCACCGTAGACTTCACTATTAAGCGCTAGCGATTGATTCCGCAGCGCAATATTCTCCTCTTGCAGTTGGCGATTCTCACAGCGCAACTGCTTGAGTTCCATTAAATCCGCCTTGAATTCAACATCATCGCCGCAATTCTTTATGCTCACAATGTGACTAGGACTCTTCTTTATCTCATCATCCAGTTTTGCTTAATGTTATTAACATCGGGCTTGAAATTGGCCGGGTCCGGTTTGAATGTGCCATTTGCTTTGGGAATTTTCGACAGTTGCGTCGAGTGCAATTGCAGCAGAAGATTGTGCAGCTCCTGTTCCAGAATCTCACGCTTCGCCTTTGAATCCACCAATTCAGCGCGCATGTGTATCAATTCAGCCTGCAAACACAAAATTGGGATTTCCATATTTATTTAAAATATTGTAGAGTAGTAAATTAATATAAAAATAATTGTTATCTTTGAAGCGCAGACAGAATTTGTGGCTAAATTTAGTAACCTTGCGATTGCGGACAACATTCGTGCGATAAATCAAAACTCGCGAGCGTAATTCCGAGAAACGCATAATGCGAATCAATAATAACGCGATAACTTGTTGATTGTTGACTTACCGACCACACAGAGCAAGCAAATGATAAAAATTTCGCCAAATATCTACATTAAATCATAAATTAATCAAAATTACGAATTTTTACATTAAAAAAGTAGGTTAAAAGTGTTTGAATTAAAAGCATGAGTAGGCAACTTATTATACACCAACGCAGTTAGGTGTAATACGAGAAGAATAAGATCAAGAGATACGTAGCACATAAGTACTACTTGTTTGTTCTGTGCAGCCAAAGTTATTCCACAGGGGATGTTTACACACGGCGCGATGAGTAGAGCGTATTATTATCGGTAGCTGCGGGCGCTTGATATCACCAGTTTAATATTGACTCTGCGCGCCTAGACGCCAACTTCCCGAAACGCAAGCAAGCAGGCAAGCGCACTTAAAAGATATTCCAACATTTTCTCTTCATTCATATCATATACCAACACATGAAAGATATTTTGGCTCTCGCAATGCGTGGAATTCCCATTCCTGCGAGAAATTACGCGCTCGCAATCGCGAATAACGCTCGCCGTTGTCGCCGCGCTGACCATTGGGCAGTAAGTAGTAGTCGGATGCATTTATAAACACGAAACGCGGCGCATCGCTGCGAGGAAGAGCAAAGTTTTGCCGTCGGCGACACGCGCGCCGACACACACACACAAGTTATCCACAAAAGCGCTTGCACGGGACGCGCATTCACAAGTTTACTATTAGTTTAATGTTTACAGCGGCGCGCTGTAGAGCAGCGCACATCTCTGGCTCGGAAAACAAGAAATTATCTCTTCGACAAAGATGCGCACGACTAGTCTTTGGCAACTCTTGCTCTGTGTGGGGCTCATTCACGCCTACACATCGCGAAGTTTCACCAACCAACAAGTAAGATATTTACACCGACATTACTTCCACCAAACCTACTAAAGTTTACTAATTAAAATGTTTCCCCACGAGCAGAATACGCAAACGTTATTGAATTCCATCGATGAGCGTTTGCGAAACTTGGATAAATCTTCAACGTATCGGCATGCAAGCGCCGTGGATCAACACATGCGCAAATTGGAAGCCATCGAGGGAAGAATCGAGCGGTTTGAGGCGATATTATCCGCTAGATTTGAAAAAATCGAAGCCAACATGTCCGTGCAGTACTTTAAGGACGATCTGGCGCAGGATATTTTATTGCGGAAGATTGACGCTGTCTATGAACGCGTGCACAACAAAATGTTCCACATCGAGATGAAAATCGACGCGGCAGAACGGAAAATCACGGTAAAACAAAGTTTCTCGAAGCAAAAAAAAAGAAGTGTCGAAAGTTTGCTAAAATATCGTCGGAATGCACAATCATGCGGGGTTTAAATATGCCAACAGGAAAAACTCGACGCCATTGGGAAAAAGTTCGAGCACTTGGAGGAAAACTCCAATCGGCGCGGGGAGGTCGAAGAGGAGGTCGCCGAAGTGTTTGACGTGCTCGACGAGATGAAAAGCACGCTCGCCAACGTCACGCAAGTTATGCACGTAAAGTTTACACAAGAGGTAAAAACCAGCGAAAAACCACCGAAAAACGTTTTGTTTTTCATCAGTTTGAAAGGCAGTCAATACTTAAACTTATTTTCCAGTCGAAACTTCCCCCCAAAGATCTATTAGGAAGCTTGAATAACCTGGAATCGATTGTGAATGCGACGCGTTACGAACAGCAGAATACGATGCGAAATTTAGTTGTGATGGTCGGACGTTTAGGCGGCAAGACACAGCTAGGTAAAACTAGTAATATGATGAGATGATGAAATGATTTCAATAAAAATCTATTTTAGCAAGCACGGGCGCTGATGGCGAGCTGCAACTCAGCCAACAATTGACAAACGTCAGCCGCAAAATAGACGCGCACTTTGACGCGCTGATGGAGCAACAGACCGTCTTCGCCGACAGCTGCCATCGCATCCAGAGCGACGAGCCGCAGCTGGAGGCCAAGATCAGCGAGATCCTCGAGAAGATAATCGACGTGTTCCAAAAGGAGTGAGTAGTTATAATCATGCGTAATCATCTCAATAATAATAAATATTTTCCCATTATTATTTAAAATGATGATGATACATATATTACATGCATTAATATGAATATTATGCATATTATGCAAGTGGTGATGCAGTTAATTAATTAATTGTTAAAAAGACAACTTCCGCTTTCGTGATGTGTAATGTATCCTTGACCTTGATTGGATATTCTCTTTTTTTTTTGCTGCATCAAGGTCAGCAGTCGAAATAAAAGACATTCAGAATATAGAGCAGCTAATCAAGAGTCACGACACGAGCGTCCGACGCAGCCTCTTCACGACGTCACACAACATGGCCGTTCTGCTGCAGAAATCCAAGGAGCACAAGGATAATCTTACCATGCAGATTACAAACGCCGAGGGGAACATCATCAAAATGATAAAGGTGAAGAATTTTTCTTCTATTATTGAAAATTTTGATATCTTTGAGATTTTTTTTTTAATTTTTGGAGAAAAAAAAATGTTTTTGTCCATAAATATTCAAATTTTTCATTATTTAATAAGAAAAAGTCATTTTTCCCTCATCACGTGACTTATTTGCAATTTTTAACTATTTTTATCTCTTCACTTATTTAAAATCTATTTGTTTTTATCAATTTTTAATTTTTTTCTTCAAATTTCATGCAAATATTTAATAATTTATCAATTTTTCACATTTTTTAAAATTTTTCCCTCTGCGGTGTTACAATTTGACTTAAGTCAGATAATGCAAGTAAATAATTATATACTGAGTGATTCCGTAAACTCTAAAAACTAAAAAAAACTAATTTTTTCTGTTGTATAACCAATAATTCCCAAAAATAATATTGAATATTATTTCAGGATCTGCGCAGTGACCTCCTGATGGCAAACGAAAGTCAAGTGCAAGTTCAGCTGCTGGACGATCTACGCGCGCTCGTCAGCGAATTTTCGCGCAGTCAGCCGATCGATAAAAATAATATTAAGATAATCGGCGAGCAGCTACGTAACATAAGTGGGAAGATTGATGACGCGATGGCTGTACAACTCAACGCGCGGCTTGATAAGGATCTGGATGCAGCTATATTACAAGTTTTCGGTAATAATAACAGTAGCAATACTAACATCAGCACCAATACCAACACTCAAACCAATTCAAGTGTAGATAGTGCTGATGATGGTGGTAATCCGATAATATTTGAGGAAATTAAAAGCGTTAATTGCACGTCCGGGTTGTTGGACGTGCGCACGAATGTCAACTGCACAATTTGTCCAGAGATTTCACCTGGTTCGGATTCTATTCAAACCCTGCAAAAACAACTGGAAAATTGTACGAATGACGTGATAACTCCAGCAGTGCCTGTGTCTGATGACGTGAATGAACAATTTGTCATTGATTTGCGCGTGGATAACGCGCATAACTCGACGGGTAATCAAACTACACTTACGTAAAATGTAAAAAGATGAAAATTAGCACGTGAAGGATAATTTTCCTGCGTGTTTGGGTATATTTAAAGTGAAAAACACGCGAAATGGTTGTGTTTGTGTCTGGTTTTAGGGTCAAAACCATTCAAGCACAACCTAATTCTAATTATGCACGATCACGACGCGCGCTTTGATTGATCGCGTTTAATTTTTAATTGTATACGATTGTAGGCAGCTAGTTGTAGGCATCATGCAGAGTAATTATTATATTGAGGTCCCGTTGCATGACGATTGTAAATAACAGAGTTGAATGAATAATTAGTAATGAATGGAAAAGTATTATTATTAGCAGGCTACGAATTGATTAAGATGTCGGTTCGCATTGTAAGATTATTAATTATTAATATATTATTATTGATAAAGGCATAAATAATATTTATGTGTACTATAGGTTCATTTTAACAACAAATTTGTGCAATTTGTTTGCTTTATATTAATTTTTTCTGTGTAACGACGAAAAATATTTTCATTTCGTGCAATTCTGAGCTAGAATATTTTTTCAAAGACATGACATCGATGCTAACATTTGAAATATTGTTGTAATTATGCAACCCAACATCCCTACAAATTGCAATGCAAATTTCTATAACTTAAGCACGATTTTTCAGGTAATTTGTTGTGGTGCACGTTGTGTTACTACAAAATCATATTTAGACTTCAGGAAATATTTACCGGCATTTTTATAAGAGTAATTGAGTTTATAACCAACTTATAAAGATTAAACAGATGCTAATCCACGTAAAATCTCAATATTTATTATTGACGTGATAACGTCTTTAAAATCGTTTTCGGGTGACATGTTCAGAAACTGTGTCACGAGGCCTCTCGAGGCCGATCGCAGGTATACCCCCCTCTCGTTATAACGAGAGAAAGACGGACCGATCTCCCTTCTCATCTCGAGCGCTGCCAGTCATTCCGTGAAATCCACACGAGCGGAGGCAGGCATAGCGTTCGAGTGAGTTGACCGATCTTCCGTCTCTCTCACTCTAGCGGCATACAAACGAATGGAGATTTTCTCGTGCGGTTAAGTTTTCGTTGAATGTTTAACAGTAAAACAAAATGTGAAGTGCAAGTGAAGTGTTACAACAATTGCAACAAAAAAAACTTATATTACCAATAAGACGTTATCACGTAAACATCTCGATCGTAAACCTACTTTACAAACAACCATTTTTGCTTATTTTTTCTAAAATAATTATTACTAAATTAAGTAATGATGCAAATGTGAAAAATATTTCGGCAACGTGTTGATACTAATTTCGCTCGTTAGTTGCTCGCAAATTCGAAAACATGTAATCTATTTTTAGATCGCGCTCAGGTTGCAATTGTTTGTTCGACAATAGGAAATCGATCAAAAGGGAAACGAATCCTGCGCGCCGTAACATATCAGCCAGATAAATACCTACATTAAACCCAGAGATACAGCCGTTTATGATTTCGGGGATTTTTCATGACAGTTATCATCATACGAATGAATACCTATAGATTAATTTATGTAATCTCGTCAAAGCTACCTGCACGCCAATAAATCTTATCAATTTGACGATTAAACCATCAAAACACTTATTTTTCCAAAAAAAAAAACAAAAAAAAAACATTCAAAGCTGTCAATGTTTTATTATCTTAAAATTATATATTTGCAAGTATTTTCACGCTTCCTCACAGTTTTCCGCACGCCATTTCCAGATTTATATTTTATTTTATTTTATTTTTATATACCGGCAACCAACTCTACATGCACAAATAACCTGCACACATAACCTTTCTACACTTATGCTTATGAAAGCATTCGAAGTCCACGTGATTTGTCACCTCTGGCAACACGGGAAAGAAGTAACAAATAATGGAAATGGCAGGCATCACGCTTTCCTCGCGATTATGACCTACGACTCTCTTTGCGGTGCAAAAGTTTCGTTTTTTCTTTCTTTGCTTTTTACCTTCGTTCGATATTCCTACTCGTACTTCTAGTACTACTGGATATCACAAACATATTTGTATGTTTATTCTTTTCGCTTTTATTATGCAGCACGAGTGTGCCACAAAAGTAATAAACTTTATTACGTGCGGCAAACCGAGAGAGTGAACAAGAATAGCACCACACACGCACACGAGAGTGAAAACGTGAGTGCTTTGCGCAATAATAAATTCGAGATAAAATTACCGCTAATTATCAAAATGATGTTTTAGAAATGATAGCGTGTGTTGATGGTCATAAATTTAAAAAATTTATAAAAAAATAACAGAAATTTACCTAAAGGTTCATATAATTCGCATTACACAATTTGTATTGTGTATTGCGAATTGAATCGCATAATAAACCGCGGACAATGCGCATGAAAATGATGATGCGAACGCTGCACGTTTACGTGCATGCCCTCTGGCCGTTTTGTTGTTCATCCCCATGTCCGAGCGCGTGTTATTCGACGCGTTTTGCTTATTCGATTAGCCGAAGCACGCATTGATCGCGCGGGCGCGCGCGCCTGTTGTATGTGTGGTCGCGTTCGTCTTCCGCGCCTATCCCGACCTACATAACTTGATGCAATTTGCAATGCTGATTTCGCGCGGAATTTGCCTAATTTATTTGCCAAAACAATCTCAGCTATCTCAGCTACGATTTAGGCTAACGAATGCCGGGGAATTTTCGATATTTCAATCAACTGTGGAAACGTCGTTTGTAAAACAAACACAAATACAAGAAGAGGTAATGGTAAAGGTGGAGAAGGTATTTGACTAATGACTTAAAACAACAGAAACAGTGTTTGAGAACTTTAAAAAGAAGAAACTTAAGAAAGAAAGAAGAAATTACTTAAGTCTGCATCAAACCAACCGAAAAAAAGACAAAAGAATACTAGACGTTGCCTGTTAGGCTCCTGGACTATCCGCAAAAAGTGGTGGGGGAAGTTGCTGAGCGGTCGCGCTCGCATCGCGCCTGCGCAGCTATAAGCGCGCAGCCAATCATGTGCCGCACAGCTTCCCCTACCACTTTTTGCGGGTAATCCGCGGGTATAAAATGCCTGAGTCGTCCAGGAGTCCTACCTCTAATATCTACCACACTGCGCATGCTCAGTACTCTTAATTTTCGCCATTTATCATCCAAACAAAAAATATAATTCAAATATAAACTAAAATATAAATTAAATAAATACAAAAACTTCATTTTAAAGTATGTTTTACTTGTATACCTGACAACTTCTAGTAATTAAGTATGTCACGTCGATAAATTGCAAGAATGCACTATCAGTGACATACGTAGGTAAATTACTTTAAATTTAACTTCCAAACTACGCTGTTAGTTTGAGCGCATTGACTGAATGGTTTTATATAGACGGCATTTTATGTAAACGCACAAACATACCGGTGTTATCAGTTGAAGCAAGTCGGTTTGTGTTCACTTAACCACATTTTCGTGACATTTGAATAAACATGTGTGAATAAATTACGAAAAATTACACAAGACCACTTTACAAGTAAGTGGCAAGTAGTCTAACTTGTAACTAGGCTGAATGTTTCAAAATTAAATCACGGAGCTGTGTAACTTTGAAAAATATTTTCATTTCTAGTAATTATAAGCAAGAATATTTTTTTCAAAGACAAATTTAAGGTTATAAATGGCCGAAGCACAATTATAAATAGGCAATTTTTTATACACGACTCAAATAGGATGTTCCTGTTTAAAACTAATAAAAAATAATTAATAAATTCCAAAGAAATCAAGTAATACTTTGTTGTAATGATCATAGCCTCTTCAATTAAACAATAACCTTCACTCCAACCGCACACCCATCAAGGTTATGAATTCAATCATCATTTAATGATATTTATGTACTTTTTTTGTTACTCCTCCAACTGGTAATTAAGGTTAAGATAATCATTGAAATAAAAAAAAAACTCACCTCAATTTTTGCACTATTCTGAAATATCGTCTGCGCCTTGTGCGTCAGCTGAGCGAAGCATGAACTAAGAGTGCACAGCTTCTGCCGCACATTGTAGACAATGACAGGCTCCTCCGAGTCCAATTCACCTGCAGCAAAAAAGTCATCAATACAAACACTGCCAGCACCACCACATTATCATCAAAGCCATACATAAATACAACGCGTATAAATAAATTAATAAATAATGCCGTATGCGTGCGTTCGTGTCATTTTGGCTGATTAATTTATTATTTAGTTGAGTTCTCCCAGCGCCACGCAGGGCTGCAAGGGTATTTTCGCGCTGACGCAGGTGGAAAACGCGCGAGCGGCGTCGCGATACATGCAGAATTGGAAAGGTTTTGTGGGGAGGTGTACTCACCGACGGTTAAATCCAAGTCTACAAAGGCCTTGTCGAATTCCTTTTCCAATATATCAAGCCACCGAAAACCGACACTGGCCATTTTACTCGCGAAATGACAAGCAATGACAGACCGCGACCGCGCCAGCCAGTTTGAGGGAAAACGCAAACGCTCGCGGTCGTGAACAGGAGGCACTGTCAGCAGGAGCAAGGAGCGCGTCGAAGTCAATACTTCCAAGAAACGCCGCGAGAGGCGCTCGCGCTTATTACTTGTCAAATTTCGTCCTTGGCACTGTTTACAAACATTCTACATCTACAACACAAATTATAACATTAAACCACTACGGAAAAAACGCATAAAACAGATTATAAACTATACTAAAGGTTTATAATATTAATTATATAATAAATTAAACTTTCATACTTGAAGCAAAATTAGAGTTGTAGCAAAAATGGTGTATATTAAGTTGCCTATTCTGTATTTTGCAACGTCACTCTAAAATAAAACATGAATTCGAATTTTTGTACAATAAAAACACTTTTCTTGAATATAAAAATTAGATTTATCACTGTAAACCTAATATTTTAAACGCACACTTTATAAAGTGAAATTTGTCTCTTTTGTCCCTATGCACACCGCTGGAGGAATAGTTGACAGGCGGATTTGAAAAGTTCCGCGTCATAACTCTTCGCCGGTTCAACGTACGTATCCTTAATGGGCAATTTACATAAATTACGCCTAATTGCCAAGTCCCGACGGGCTGATAACGCCCGACTGTAGGGACCAGCGCTGGTGAAAAGCGATTTTCGAAGCGCGGCGCGCTCACGCATTACCACCTGCAGCGCGGCCACAGGATGCGGAATGATTACCTCCACAGGCTTAGATTCTGCAGATTTTTCATCACTGGCAGTTGCAGTTGTATCTATTGAACTATTAACTTGCTCTTCAGGTTCGATTTTCACATCAACATGACCAGCAACACCGTTTGTTTGAGCAGTTTGTGTTTCATCACTTGTTTCAACCTCAATTGATTCATTTTCTTTTTCTTTTTTAATCGTTGTATTTTCAGAAGATTCTTTAACCTCTTCAGTTGTTGGGTTTACAGTTGATTCGTCATCATTCGCAGGTTTAAGCAGTGCTTCAGCATGTTCCTGGAATATTTTCATAGCATATTGTTTACCTAATAATTCAACAGATATTCCTGCATTGATGAGAACATTATGACTCTCCCAGCGGCGTTTCGCCGAAGTGATTTGTTTATGTGGCGGTTTTGATTCGGCGACAAGACTAGCCCAATCTACACCCAAAGCATCAACTAATCCTTTCATCCTGGCGGTTTCTTCCAATTCGTCTTCGGAGATCTCTTCAAAGTCCATTCCCATGTTTTCATCGATGGAATCCTTGGAGATTGAAGGCGTAGCTGGAGATTTCGGGTTGTGTAAGTGAGAATGCGAAGGTAAAACTGGATGCGCAGTGGATGAATGTGTAGATTCTTGGGAATGAGTATGAGTATCTTCTGGTTTGTTTATTTTTGAAGAAACATCAGTTTCGGGGAGTGCAGGTTCTTCAACAGCTTCCATAATCTCCTAAAAATTAATTAAAAATAATAAAAATTGATAATTAATTTAAAATAACGGCAAAATTACCTCATCACGATTCAGAATCTCATCAGCATCATCACTAATTTCACTCAGATCATCCGCCAGTGGTTCCTCAACAACACAAGCCTTCTTAGCATCAGTAACATTCTCCGGTGGGCTTTCCGCTGGTCTCTTTACAACTTCTTTCTTATTTCCATCAGAAGAAGAAACAGCAACAACAGTTGTAACAACTTCAGGTTCTGGACTTGCTTTAGGTTCAGGCGGTTGTTCAATAATACTTTGAACTGGTTCCGGGCGTTGTTCAAGTCTCTCCTGCCTTTCTGGACGATCATTTCTATCCAGACTAATCCTCGCAGGTAAATCAGCTTTCAAATCCTTTCTAGGTTCTAAAAATCACATCAAAAACAATTTAAAAAAAAACTCTAAAACACTAAAAATTTAAATAAAATATTACCGGCAGGTGGCGCTGTCCTCTCCCTCTGTGATGTGGTACTCCTCGCAGTAGAAACCGCCCTATTCCCATCCCTATCTCTATCCCGATCAATCCTCTCCAACCTTTCAGGTCTCTCAGGCCTTTCAACTCTTCCTTCCCTTGGTTCCCTCTCCCTATCCCTCCAATTCTCACTCTCCCATCTCCTCCGTTCATCCGTGGTCCAACTATCCATACTCCTATTATAATGCCTCCATTCCTCCTCAGCAGCAGGATCCCTTTCTCTCACCGCAACCTCTCCCCAACCATCTCTACTATTCCCCATACTCCCTTCCCAATCCAAATGCCTCCTTCGCTCCCATTCATGTTCATACTCATTCTCAGGCCATTCTCTACCCTTCAACCCACCTTGTACTGGCGGTCTAGACTCCTCTCTATATCTCCTATGCTCCAACTCTTCTCTTTCATCCCATACCTCGGGTCTCCTTCGTCTTTCATCCGGATATTCAGCTATCCTCTCATCGGTATACCCATGATGTGGATGTGGATGATGCGCATGCTCCAATTCTCTATATCTTAAATCATCTCTACCACGCTCAAAACCCGGCTCATACCTTTTTTCATCTCTCCGGTGTTCTTCTCTAAGTCTCAGGTGGTAATCACCTCTTTCATGATCTCTACCAGCATCATACGCGTGTCCTCTATCATAATGCAGAGGTTTTTCTGGAGATTTCCTCGATCTAGACCTGGTACTCTCCGGTGTTCTTCGTATTCTATCCCTGGCGCGTTCCTTTTCAAGACATTCCTTCCTCGCAGGCGGGATACGGTCCTGTGGAAGAGGTAATAGACGTTCTACTCTATCTCCTGTGGGTTTATCAAGTCCACGGTCTTCTCTCCGTGCGCGTTCTTTTGCTCTGCGTGCTTCTTCTTCTTTCTCCTGTAATTTTTTCAACCGTTCACGTTCACGTTGTCTTTCCTGACATCGTGCCAATGCTTCTTCTCGTTCTTTTTCCCTGGCTGCTTCACGTTCTTCCCTAGCTACTCTTCTTTCACGTTCCCTGTCGCGTTCTCGCTCTCTATCTCTGGAGGAAGCCTTCCTGCGGTCTTTACTGCGTGAATCCGCGCGTTTATCGTACCGCCGCGGCGGTGACTTGTGTGTACGTTGATTCCCCGCCAGGTTTGCACGAGATGTTGATCTGGATGGCGATGGTTTGCGGTCTCTGGAGTGTGAGGAATCAGGAGAACCCTTTTTCTTGGTGTCTTTTACTGCTGGGCGTGCTTCACGCTTCGGTGATTTGTCTTTTTTCTTGTCTTTATCCCGGAGACGTTCTTTTTCTTTTTCTTTTTCACGTTCACGGTCTTTTCGATCCCTTTCTTTGTCTTTTTCGGTTTTCTTTGGAGATGGAGTTCTTCTTTCTGTTTTATCTTTTTTATCACTACTTCTACTCGGGGGACGTGGTGATTTCGACTCGGATTTTATCTTTTTAACCGGTGTTAATGTTTTTATCTTCGGTGGAGGTGTCTGGGATAATTTCCGGGATTTTGAGGGTGTGGGTGATGGGGGTTTGGGTGGTTTCACTTTATTTGTAAGTTTTTTATTAGTCTTTTCCACCTTACCTTGGATTTTAGGCTTTTTTGGAGTTTTGAGTTTGTGTTTTTTGTTCTCACGTTCAGAACTGCTTGAACTATCGCGTTTCTTAACCTTTTTTACTTTTTTCCGCCGCGCGTCGATTGAAGATGAACTGCTGGAGGAAGATTCATCGCTGCTGGTGCTACTCTCCGATGAGCTGCTGGAGCTCTCCGATGAGGGACTGCTTTCCTTTTTGGTTTTCTTCAGCTTCTTGTGCGCTTTTTCCATCTTCATCTGCTTGTCCAGTTCGCGTTTCAGTTCCAAGCGGCGCTGCTCTAGGTCGTCCGGATCGGCATCGTCCAGATTGGCGGCGTCGAAGTGCGGATCGGCTGGATGGCGTGGTGCATTTGCGTGTTTGCGTTTCGCGTCGGCGGCGAGGCGTTTCGAGGGGCTGGTTAATGTGTGTTGAGAGGAATGCTTGCACGTCTTGCCATAGGGGCACGTGCCGGTTGCGGACCAATTGGGGCAGAGGTCTTTCGGTGTGGAGCCGGCTTTGGTGCCGAGACGTTCGAAGACACTGGGGCGCGTCTTCTGCTGCTTGGGCGAGAGATTCACTGTTATTTTGCGCTTCACTTGCTTAGACATTGTGCGGGCGCGTTCTGGGCGGATGAATGGAGCAGCAACGTTTGTGGGCGTCGGGGGCACCGGCTTGGGGCGCACATATTTACGGAATTGCCGGTGGAAGGTACAAACACTCTCGGTAACACTAGTAAATTGTTAGCACACGCGGAAAATTGAGAAAAATTGGGGAGATTGAAGACATGTGAGAACCGGCGGCCATTATTTACGACTAATATTATGATCGCTTCTGATTGGTGCGGATTTTTTGGTTGCCTAGGTAGCCGCTAGGCAAATCCACAAGTCATTTCAAATAGATTTCAAATTATTTTGATATAAAAACCACTTTAAAGCACAAAAACACAATTAACACACAAAATATCCTATTCTAAACAATAAAAAAGTAATTTTTTCTTGTTATTAGACTGTATTCCAACCATTTTTCTGATTCAAAAGTATTAAACTTGCCGCGTTTCTTAGCGCAACAATTTGTAGGTTAGATTGTAAACAGCAAAGAACAAGTGATTAATTTTGTTAATAACTTATTTTCTATAATTTTAAGAAATGGTAAGCTCATAAAACATGAAATATTTATAAGCCATGATATAATTTATCACTATTACAGTTGCGAAGTCGTGCACCGAGTCAAATCTCCAAAAGAAAACAACTTGCCAATTCTCCACAGGCTCAATTTAAATCTCCATTAATTATAAACACAAAACGCAAAAGAACAAATACTTCTGGAGATGACACTGTTAAAACAACAATTATCCTGGATCTGGAGAAGCCTTTCTCTATTAACTATGTAAATATTTTAATTATTTCAATTTATTTTCTTTTATTCACTTATTTCTGCTTGATTTTTAGGAAGAAGTGTTGAAGAAACTATCTGAACCTTACAAATGCCCATTGTTAAACTACACACCAACAAATTCACGCAAAACTCTGGGCATGCAAAGACCCCGACCCCGTCGACCATTATTTGATCCAAATATTCCAAATGCTTTAGTTTTATACACACCTCCAGAGAGTTCCCTACAAGATAAAATGAAAGATGATCCGTAAGACCAAAAAAATTAAATTTTTCGCCATAAAAACATTAAAATAACAATATTTTAGTAAACGTTTGGTCCACGTCGTGGTAGATCCAACCCTCGGCAATATTCTACGTCCGCATCAACGCGAAGGAGTCAAATTCATGTACGACTGCGTCACTGGTGTACAAATAGAAGGCTGCCATGGCTGTATAATGGCCGACGAGATGGGTCTGGGTAAAACATTGCAATGCATAACACTTTTATGGACTTTAGTAAGACAAGGACCCGAATGTAAACCAGTATGTGATAAGGGAATCATAGTTTGTCCAAGTTCACTTGTAAAGAACTGGAGTAACGAAATTCACAAGTGGTTGGGCGGTAGATTACTGCATTATACCATGGATGGTGGAGCAGATGCTAAAAATAATCTGAATCAGTTTATGCAAAGTGTCGGACGCATTCCGTTGCTTATTATTTCTTATGAGACTTTTCGTATGCACGCACCGATTTTGCACAGTCGTGAAATTGGTATTGTCATGTGCGATGAGGGCCACAGATTGAAAAACTGCGAGAATTTAACTTATAGGTGCAGTATTTTCATTTAAATACGTAGAATTCAATTAAATTAAGTGGTTTTTAGAGCTTTGATGGGTTTAAACTGCAAAAGAAGAGTTTTATTGAGCGGTACGCCGATTCAAAACGATTTGACTGAGTATTTCAGCTTGATTCACTTTGTCAATGAAGGATTACTCGGCAGTGCTGTGGAATTCCGTAAAAAATACGAAAATTACATCATAAAAGGTGAAACTTCTTAAAAAATCAATATTTTTGATAAATTTTTCTAATTATTTTTGTGTTTAGGCCAAGACGCATGCGCAACTGACTTAGAACGCAACCAAGCACAAGAATGCCTCCTAGAACTCTCAACTCTGGTAAATAAATGCCTCATTCGTCGTACAAGTGCCCTCCTCACCAAATACCTCCCAATCAAATTCGAAATGATCGTCTGTTGTCAATTAACACCTCTTCAAAAACGCATTTATCAAGACTTCATTAACTCAGAAGCTGTAAAACGCACAGTAAAACAAGACGCGGAAGGCAGCAGTTTAAGCACCCTGGCTGCAATCACCAGTCTAAAAAAACTATGCAACCATCCTGATCTCGTCTGGGATAAAATCAAAGAACGAGCTGAAGGATTCGAAACCGCGCTGGATTTAATACCGGCTAAAACAAGCGATAATGAAATCCGCCCGGAATATTCTGGTAAAGTAATGTTGCTAGACTGTTTACTGGCTAACATGAAAGCAAACTATCAGGATAAAATCGTATTAGTGTCAAACTACACACAGACACTCGATATGTTCGAGAAATTATGCAGAAAACGCGGTTATCAATACGTAAGACTCGACGGATCAATGACAATCAAAAAGCGGGCTAAAGTTGTTGAGAGTTTCAATAAACCCGAATCACCTGAGTGGGTATTCATGTTAAGCTCGAAAGCTGGCGGCTGCGGGTTGAATTTAATCGGTGCCAATCGCCTGGTCATGTTTGATCCCGACTGGAATCCTGCGAATGATGATCAGGCAATGGCCAGGGTCTGGAGAGATGGCCAAAAGAAACCATGCTTCGTTTATAGATTCCTAGCAGTAAGTTATTACATTATACATGTTAAAAATCATAGATTTAAACTTATTTTTAATAATTCTAGACTGGAACTATTGAAGAAAAGATCTTCCAGCGTCAAGCACATAAAAAAGCGTTGAGTTCTACAGTTGTAGACAATAACGAAGAAACTTTACGTCATTTCACAGCATCAGACCTGAAAGATCTCTTCAAATTAGAAGAAACCGCATCGGATACACATGAAAAGCTCAAATGTAAGCGCTGCATGAATAAGATCCAGATGAAGAATCCAGAAGACAGCGCTGATTGTACATCTGACCTCGCAAATTGGTATCATGCGTGGGATAAACGCCATCTTGCGGATACAGTCCTCAAACAGATCTGGGACATGGCGAAATGCGTCAGTTTTGTCTTCCATCAGAAATCCGCTAATGAAGTCGTCAAACCGCCGCCGAAAATCGATAAAGATGAAGACGATGACGACGACTACAAGGAAAACGACGACGATTACGATCCGGATGATGACTAGGTCTTAGTATTCAAAGATAAACTTGCTTTCGTATTATTAGTTATTTTTACAAAATGAAAACCTAGATAAGTCTCAGAAGAATTTTCAAACATTACGTGTGTGAAATATGTTAAACTTGTTTGTTTTTTTGTTATCTAGTTTGTCATTCGACGAGTTGCCACTGCTCGCGCTGAAATAATCCCTATAAGAAAAAAGATTAACAGTCATTTACTCGCACGCATTCATCCACGTCACCACGCATTCCATGTGGGGTTTGTGAGTGAGTGTGGGGGTGGATTTGTTAGGATTGGATAAAAATTATTTACGTTCGCATGATCATTCATTCGTTTAGGACACGCCTAGTAGACGATTGCAATTATTTGGGAGCGTAAAACCTGCTAAAATCTGACCACTCTAGTTAATATCTGCGTCTGTATGGTCCTCCACCTCCGCCGCCGCCGCCACCACCGCCACGCTGACGATCGTTATTACGACGTGGGCGCGATTGGGCGTCCATTTTACGCTTATGCGCCTCCATTCGTTCTAGTCGCTGTTGTTGTTTTAGTGCAATCTGTAAATAATATTAATATTAAGTTATGTTGGTTGCCTAACTTGAAATTAACTTATTACTTCTTCAGGCTGAAGGGCCAGCCAGTAAATACTTGGCATCGCTTCAGTTTTGCGGAACAAGTCATCCATGGCGCGTTGTTGCGTTGGTTCCTCACGTCGTTTCTTCTTAGATACTAAATAAAACATAATAATTGTAATAAATATGATAAAATTATGAATTATTAATATTATACCTTCGGTAGGTGTCCGCGATCGTCGCGATGGCGAATGTCGGCGTTTATTATCGACACTAGCCGATCGCCCACGAGGTATGGTTTCTTTTTCGTCCCATTGCGGTGGTACTTCTACTTTTTCTTCACTGGTATCCATATTGGAGGGTTTATTTGGAGGTGGACCCTAAAAACACAAAATATTTATTAATTCACCAAAACAATCAATTTTAATTCAAAAAAGCTTACATTTTCTTTCTCTGGTTCTGATTTTGTGACAGCAACTGGCGCAGGCGCAATCACAGGTGGATTTTTCGCTGTTTCCAAGTCTTCGATGGTAGCAAAATCAATTATCAACTTCTTACCATTGCCAATTGGCCACAGCACACCATGAATTGCGTTTCTTGTTCCCTCAGCCTCCCTATAAACAAAACAAAACATAAATATTTACAACACATTAACTTAATTTCCATTAAAATCAACTTACTCTTCTGTTTCATACTGAACATAACACTTGGATTTAATCCTATCCGTCCAGAACCCTCCCTCGACTATTTTCCCCGTCCGTTCCAGTAAACCACGCAGTTGTTTCACGGTAAACGGCCTTACAAGATTAGTAATAAACAATACACTCGACCGTTCGTGTTTTGGTGGACTCGGCGGTGGTTTCAACGAACTAGCTTCATCTTCAACGATGGAAATCTTGCGATTCAACGCAATCGAACTCGCTTCAGTGCTTATCGACGTCGTCGAATCCTCTCGCTCCAATTTAACAGCTGCAGATTTTTCTTCCTTAGAAACACGTCGTTCTAACAACGATGGTTTGGGTTTTGGTTCATGTTGTCTACGTTCACGCGGCGTAGATTCTAATTTTACGCTGCTTTCATCAACGAGTGTTAAAGTTGGATAGATTTCCAATAATTTACTTGCGGTGACTAGTAAAATATTCGGAAGCGTTGTTTCCTCCCAGATTACTTTAGATTTAGGTTTTTTAATTTCTTCTTTTTGTGTATCTTCTTTTTCTTTTGTTTTATCTTCTTCTTGTGGTTGTTCTGGCTCTGTTTCTGGCTGTGTTGTTGTAAGTTTTTCTTCAACTTCAACTTCTACTTTGGATGGTGATGGTGTGGGTGTTAGTGTTAATGATGAGGCTTCCAGTTGTATCTCAACAGTTTCTTCTTGTTCATATTGAGGTTCTTTCTCTTTTCCCACTTGTTGGGGCTTTGTTTTGATGGCTGGTTCTTCTTCCGGACTTTTTTCGAATCGTCGCTTTCTTCGGGATGGTTTTTCGGGAGTAGGTGTGGGTTCTGGTTGTGGTTCAGGCTCAGGTGTTTTTTCTTTTTCAATTACAGCTGGCTTAACCTCTTCCACAGGTTCTTCGGATTTTTTAATTGAAGTTTCTTCTTCTTGATAACTTGTTTCATGTTCTGGTGACTTTTTAATTGAAACATCTTCCTTTTCCGGTGATTCTGGTTCAGCAGGTTCTATTTTTTCAACTTCAGCTTCTTCAATCTTTGTATCATGTTCTGTTTCTATGATTTCAGAAGTATCCATTTTGGAAACTTCCGGTTTACATTTCAAATCAATTATTATATCTGCATCCTCAGTTTTCATTTCTTCTTGTGCTTGAAGTTGCAAAGGTGTAATTTCTTCTTTGACTGCTTCAGTTTTGACAACATCCTTTGATTCAACTAAATCTTTCGAATCAACAGCTTCGTCTTTAGCAATATTTTCATCTTTTATTTCAGTTGTTGAAGTTGTTTCGTCTTTAATCTCCACTTTAGCTTCGACTGATGGTTGTGGTTCATCTTTGATTTCTTCTTTTGCTTCAACCTCTGCCACTTCTTCTGTTTTTGTAGAAGTTAATTCAATTTCTATAAAAATTTAAATAAAATAGATTTTTTTTCTTACCAAAATTAAAAAAAAAAAACTTACCAAGTGGTTTGTTGCATTCCTCCCCATTGTACCCATTGCCTGGTTCAGCATCATTGCTCTGCTCATCAGGCTCGCCATCATTTTGATGATCATTTGCAACATTGTTATTTGACAAATCATTGTTAGAGGCATCAACAATATCATCGTTAGTATCAACCGAGCGCTCGTCCTCACACCGGTTCAAATCGCGATCAACAATTTCCGCATCAGATATATCAACGTTTTGGGGTGACTGAGCCGTCACCTGTACATTTTCAGAAAGTTCACTTTGCATTTCAGTTCGTTCAGGATCAACAGCGTGCGCCGCCTGTTCAACAATCTTTGACTTATGTTTACCTTTAGACTTACCTTTACCCTTCTTCTCATCGCACGCGTCAGGCGGTTGTTGTTGTTGTGGTTGTTCTAGTTCTTCTTTCTTGACTGGCGAGGAACCACCGCGACTTCGGCGGGTGCGCCGCGTTGGCTTCTCCTCTGGTGGCGGTGAATCCTCCATGTTTACCACCGGTTTATTACGCAGCCGTTTGCTGGCGCGTTCGGTGCGTTCTGGTGTCGCTGGACTTGGCCGCGCCAGGCAAATCTTAATCTTGCCGATGTCATTATTAGATTGTTCGGTCTGCGTGACGGTCCATAATTCTCCGCCGGTCGCAGCGGTGGTGTCGATGCCCGCGGCCAGCACTTCATCTTCAGATTCAGACTCGGAGCTGGTTGGTTTGTGGCGCTTTGAATGACGGCGCGTCTTCTTCGGTGATTTCTCTTCCTTCGGCTTTTCCGGTGAGGCTTTTGCCGCGGCCCTTGTACTTTTCCGGCGCATGTTTACTTCCTGGTGCAAAATTATGCATGTATAAACGGCGCCATTTCTTAAGTGATTATTGCCATCACTCTTGATTTTAAAGTTACTTACTTGATAGTTTCCGGTGGTTGGAAAGTCACTGTTTGATGATACAGTGTGTAGGATAACAGCAGATAATCTGGATGATTACAGTTGTGTCGTAGTAAATGAATTCATTGATTTAGAAACCAAAAATTCATACATTGCACGAGACGCACAGATAAAACTCCATTGATTTACAGCGTTGCACTTTTGTAATGCGGCATTTGTTTTAGTTCAAAATGCCACCACCAGTAGCGCTACTTTACACATTCAAATTTAAAAGAATTATATGTTGCGGGAGAATTATGTACATAAATAAATAATTACTACATAAAACACAATTTCTATAAATTATAAATAAATCATAATAGTTTTATGTTTAGTAGTTTTTAAAAGTTCTACAAATCATTTTTATATATTTTTCTGTCTGGTTTAGAATTAATGCATAAGTGACTCATCAAATATCTTCGCAAAAACTTGTAAATTGTTATAATCTTGGCCAATATTACAAGAATTTTATTGTTTAATGATTTTAAAACTTGCGAATCTGACGTCCGTGTTCGGTAATCACCGGAAATCGCGCAAATCGGCCGAACAGCCCGAAGAATTGTCAAAAATGTTAAAAACGTCACTCGCATGTCAAGATGTCGGCAAATTAGTGCCCTAATTGGGAAAATCGGACGACGTGCCTGCAAAAACCGATCACCCCGCACGTCAACACAAAGCGAGGAAATTCCGCACGACCGCCGTGTTCGAAGCCGCATCGTCGCGAACGAGTGGCACCACGTTAAAAAGCGCGCAGCGTGTGCATAGTGAGTGGTGAGTGGTTGCGATGGCCGACGAGTGCTGCGCTGCTCACACGTAGGGACCAGTCATCGCTTCGAATCGCCGCCCGCAAAATACGATTCGATTTCGGCGCGGCGCCATTTTGTATGTGCCGGGTTGTCCTCGCGAGGTTCTACCTCGGAGGCGGAGGCGGCACGCAACAGCAAGCACGCGCTGATCAGCGATTACATGCGAAGGCGCCGATCGACGAGCTGCTCACTTCTGCCGGCGTGTGTGTTTTTTTATTTTTCTACGGCGGGGCTCGCCGACTTCACGAGAACAAAACTACATAGGTGAGTCCGGCTTCCAGCTGATGACGACGTCGATGAGCTAACACATTGATTATGATATCATCGGTTATATTTTTTTCTCGCTGGTTTTACAGCCGCTCGGCGGCTCAGCTGATTGTCACTCCCATTAGCCATCATTTTGTGCAACATTGACACTGTCATGAAACAACATTGCATTTGATAAGCATATCTTGTTTGCTAATGCTATGTTTGCTCTGATTCCAGAATAGAATGTGTGTAACTGAATAATCTAAGCATAGAAATCAAAAATGACCATTGCCACAAGAGGACAGGGCATTCCTGGTGACACATCCGAAGCAAACCAGATTAATCCAATAGCAGGCCCAGCAGAAGTGCCATGTGATAGTCAATTAGAAGAAACTGGCGGTGGCGGGAGTGGCGGTAGCGGCGGTGGCACCGAACCAGAATTTCCGCTGGAGAAACTCGCCTCGCTTGAGGAGAAAATCTCGAATCTGCGATGGGTGGTGCCGGTGCTGCCCGACCAAGAGCTCGAGTGTCTGCTGCGTGCAGCTATCGAACTATCGCGCGCTGGGATCGACACACGCTCCGAGCCATGCCAGCGATTCTTCCGCGAGGGTCTCACCGTGTCCTTCACGAAGATCCTCACGGACGACGCCGTTTCCAGTTGGAAACCCAACATCCAGATGTGTATCAATCAGAATTGCATTAAACTGATCGAATTGTGCGTGATTAAACTGCCGCACGATTGGTTCCCGCTGCTGGATCTGCTTGCGATGGTCCTGAACCCGAACAACAAGTTTCACACGTTCAATGCGTCCAGGCAGAGCGAAACCGCGCACGCGGCGTGTAATCTCTCCGAGGAAGAGCTGTTTGCGCGTCCTGCGGCGGATATACGCAATGCGCGTGGCTGGCTGGTGGATCTAATCAATCGTTTTGGAGAACTGGGCGGGTTTCAGACGTTGCTGGAGCGCTTTCAGAGCGGTAAAAGTCTCAGCGTGGCGATTGTGCACGCATTGTTGAGGCCTTTCGGACTTGCCTACGAATATCTAACACCACACACTATTAATAAATTTCTATTACCTATATTAGTAAGTAGAAACACATTTTTATATTTATTTGTAATTAATTTTGTGTTTTTTTTTTTTTTTCTAAAAAAGGAAATGGTGCCTGGAATATTAGATAAGCTAACTGATGATGAACTAAAACGCGAGGCGAAAACAGAATCGAAGAGTGACATTGTTTCCGCGATAATAAAATCATCCAAAAATCTGGCATCGCGCGTAGCTAACCAAGAAGAATTGATTCGGACGTTGGAAGGTTTCCGGTTGAAGATGATACTGCGCCAATTGCAGATATCGAGCTTCAATGGCAAGATGAACGCTCTCAACGAAATTAATAAAGTCATTTCGAGTGTTTCCTATTATCCAAATCGACATCAAGGCATCGAAGAAGAAGAATATTTAACACCTGAACGAATGGCGGTATGTAAACCATTTCTTAAAACAAAATAAATCAATTTTAAATAAATCTCCTTATAGAAATGGATAAATGAAAATCGAGTACTTGAAATAGTCCTGCGGGATTCACTCCATCAACCTCAGTACGTCGAGAAGCTCGAGAAAATCCTCCGCTTTGTGATAAAAGAACACGCGCTGAGTCTCTCCGATCTTGATGCTGTTTGGGCGGCGCAAGTTGGCAAACACGAAGCGATCGTTAAGAACGTGCATGATTTACTCGCGAAACTCGCGTGGGATTTCAGCCCCGAGCAGCTGGATCATCTCTTCGAGTGTTTTCAGTCATCCTGGACGTCGGCGTCGCGTCGTCAACGCGAACGCCTACTTGAATTAATCCGTCGCCTGGCCGAAGATGATAAAGACGGTGTGATGGCGCATAAAGTCCTAACGCTTTTCTGGAATCTCGCGCATTCCGAAGAAGTGCCCACTGAGATAATGGACCAGGCACTCACAGCGCACGTGAAAATCTTGGATTATTCCTGTTCGCAGGAGCGCGATGCGCAGAAAACCGTCTGGTTGGATAAATGCGTGGAGGAATTGAAGACGGGCGATATGTGGGTGCTGCCAGCGCTGAAACAAATCAAAGAGATTTGTTGTTTGTATGAACCTTCGGCGAATGGCATCATGCCACAGCGCGGGCATCACATGTATTACCGGCAGGAGGTGATTGAAAAACTGCAGACGCAGCATTCGTTGGTGATACTCGTCACGAAGAGCCTCACGGCGTACATGGCCAAACTCAGGGTACTCGTTAAGACGCACGCGGATCTGACGAGCGAGAATTATCTGCCTGATGGGAGGTATTGTCATGTGTTGCAGGTGCAGGAGAGGTTAAACTTTCTAAGGTAATGAAAACAAGTTTAAAAAAATGTATTTTAAATTGTAATTATGTAATTTTTTTTACCTTTTGCATGTAGATTTTTATTAAAAGATGGTCAATTGTGGCTGTGCGCTGAACAAGCGAAGCAAATCTGGCAGTGCCTTGCTGAGAACGCCGTGTTTGCCTCCGATCGTGAATCCTGCTTCAAATGGTTCTCGAAACTGATGGGCGAGGAGCCAGACCTCGATCCCGGCATTAACAAGGACTTTTTCGAGAATAACATTCTACAGTTAGAACCAACCCTACTCACCGAAAGTGGCATCAAGTGTTTCGAGCGCTTTTTCAAAGCGGTCAACACCAAGGAAGGCAAATTAAAGGCGAAACGTCGTTGTCTGCTCACTGAAGACCCCGATCTGATTGGATTGGAGTATCTGTGGAAGGTGGTGACGCTGTGTCCGGACGACATCGCCGCGCGAGCCATTGAATTACTGCGTGAGGTTAGCACGAATCTGGGACCCAAATTGATGGGTTCCCAATTAGAGTTTCATCATAGTTATATTGCGGAATGTTATGACCGCCTGCGGGCGTATTATGATACGGTGAAGATACTCCAGTCGCAGTCTGATAAAGATTTCAGCGCTGAGTTGAAACACACGCGAATCCGCGCTGAAGCTGTTAAGATATGCAGAGTTATGCATGTGCTGCATGAGTATATCAGCGAGTGCGATAACGGGTTTGTTGGCGAGAGGAAAATCCTGCCGCTGCATCGGGCTTGCCGCGGGAAGCATTTGTCGCTGGTGGTGCGATTCTCAAGCCCCAATCGGCAGGTGGATGACTTTGAAGTGTTCACACATAGTAATGATACGCTAGCGTCGCTGCGGAAACATATTTTAAGAAGGATAAAGCCAGGAGTGCATTGTAAACTTGAGTTGTACATTAATGGCGAGCCGTTGGAGACTTCAGACGATAAGAAGTTGTTGTCACAGATTGCGCTTAGAGATAAAATGGTAAGTTATGCATAATTTTTCAAAAATTCATAATAAATTATTGTGTTTTTAGTTAATATCTGCAAAAGTAACACAAGTAAATTCAAACATTGCATCGTCACAAGACAGCAGTTCCGACAGTTCCACATCTTCACCACAACATCCTTACGACGGGCCGAACATGGAAGCCGAGAACTTTTTACCGGGCGTTCTCATGTCACTTCAACCTTTTTACGCCGCTTTCTTTTGTCAACTCTCTGCGCTGGGCAGTTCCTTAGAATATCCACCGCTGCGAGACGGTGGCAGAGCACTTCTGCAGTTGATGCCCTGTGACACGCAAGTAATCCAACGACTTTTGCAGTTCTTTTCTATATCGGACGAAGCGGAAAACAGCGAGAATCAAGTTGAGACTTTGTTTTTTATCGATACACCCGCTGAAGTTCTCTACAACTTGGAAGTATTGTATGCGTTGTTAATGCCCGCGCTGGATACGCTCACCGAGAAATCGCTGGAGGTGCAGCACAATTTTATGGTCTCTGGACACGCGCACATCTTTCTCGAGATGCTGACGAAAAACAATTTCATGTCCTCGGCGGACACAGTCACGAAACGCTCGGCGTATCTTGTGGTGTTGAAGATAGGCAAACTTATTCTTACCAGCGTGGCGAATGTGCTCGTTAAATTATCCGAGGAGGAAAGCGAAGCGAATGAAAATGCGCCCACCCAAGGGATGTACCTGAAACGAGCGCTAAGATCATCTGTACCTGGACATGCCGATCAGATGGTGAAACAAGTCTGTATAAAATTGTCCCAGCGCTTGGCGGATTTGATTCTTGCGGAATCGGGGAATAGTGTAGGCCGTGCGCCTCAGGCTCTCTTTAGTCCTGCGTTAAATTGGGAGTTGCCGAATGCGGCGACTGTGAATGCGATGCTCCGTCTTGTCTGGGCGGCGAGCAGTGCGAATCTTCAATCGTTGAACGCTTCACCGGACATGCTGCATTCGCTCTGCGATCCTACCAAACGCAACGCCCCCTTGGAACTTCATACTGACGATATTCTACTCTGCAAGGAAGCATTTGAACTGTTGAGTATTAGTTTAGTGATGAATTCGAAGTCACTCGAAGAGTTATGCAAAGATGAACATTTTCCGTTTCGTTTGTTTCTTACCGATTTACTGCTGTTGAATCCCAGCCGGGCGGTGCGCATTGCAGCTGCCGAACAATTCCTCGCAATCTTTACGTTTGGCTCAGCGAGTCGTACCGCCCTTAAGTTTGTCACGCCGCTACTCTTTTCACTCTTGGATAATTTGGTTCTTGAAAACGCAAACACTTCACACGAATACTTTCAGTTATTATGTCGATTGGTTAATGAAGTTTACGTGTCGGAATGTCCACTACCGAATGCAGAAGGTCTCCTAGCTGCTGAGGTAACATGGTTACGGAAAGCACGTGGACAACACGAAGTTCTCCTTGAGGGACATTTGAGTTTAGCGCGTGAATTGTTGAGTTTTATGAGCGCCGACCAAAAACGCGAGTTGGGCTGTGCGGATAAAAGTAGTCTGATACGTGAACTGGTTGAAGACTTCCTGTTTCCAGCTAGTAAGTTAATGCTACAATACCAACGCACTGGGCAAATGGGCGAGGACCCCGCGACGCCGGTTTGTGACACACCGCAAACCCAAGCGGCGGCTTTCGATTTACTGATAAGTTTATGCGTGAATTGCGTGCCCAACTGCAAGCAGTTGGTGTTTATGCTCACGGACATGTTCTACGCGGAGCAGGAGACGGCCATTGGCGATTGGGATTACCTGCCATCGGTGGGACCACGACCTCTGCAGGGTTTCGTCGGTTTGAAGAACGCCGGCGCCACTTGTTACATGAATTCCGTGCTGCAGCAATTGTACATGGTGCATAGCATCCGCGCGGGAATTTTGGCCTGCGAGGGGGCTGCGACTGATCCCAATGAGGATTTCAGCAGCGAGGGCAATGATTCCGAGAGCACTGACTGTGATGACAGGGATGACAATAGGAAGGATTACAATGTCGGTATACTGAAGCAGGTGCAGGCGATTTTCGGGCATTTGGCGTGCTCGCGGTTGCAGTTTTACGTGCCAAAGGGTCTCTGGAGGCATTTCAAACTGCAAGGCGAACCGGTGAATCTTCGCGAACAGCAAGATGCCGTCGAGTTTTTTATGGCGCTGGTGGAGAGTCTGGACGAGGCGTTAAAGACGTTAGGACACGAGCAGATTATGAGTAAAATTCTAGGTGGCTCGTACTCTGATCAGAAAATCTGTAAAGGATGCCCGCATCGATACTCCAAGGAAGAGCCGTTTAGTGTTATCAGCGTAGATATTAGGAATCACAGTAATCTGCCGGATTCTTTAGAACAATACGTCAAAGGTATTTTGAATTCAAACAATTTTAAATTTTTTAATTTACAAAAAATTATTTTATAGGTGAATTACTAGAAGGAGCTGACGCGTACCACTGCGAAAAGTGTGCCAAGAAGGTGGTGACTGTAAAGCGGCTGTGCGTGAAGAAACTGCCGCCGGTGCTGGCTATCCAATTGAAGCGGTTCGAGTACGACTTTGAGCGCTTGTGCGCAATTAAGTTCAACGACTACTTTGAATTTCCGCGCGATCTGGACATGGAACCGTACACGGTCTCGGGGCTGGCGCGGCTTGAGGGAGAGATCATAGACTGCGACATTGATCCGAGTGCCGCCGACGTGTGCACTGCCTACAGATTATCGGGTATTGTTGTGCATTCAGGCCAAGCGTCCGGTGGACACTATTATTCGTACATCAAAAGTAAAGAGCACGCTGGCGGCGAGGTGCGTTGGTACAAGTTCGACGACGGTGAGGTTTCCGAATGCCGCATGGGCGAGGATGAAGAGATGAAGGTGCAGTGCTTTGGCGGTGATTATATGGGTGAAGTGTTTGATCCGATGCTGAAACGCACCACGTACCGCCGCCAGAAGCGCTGGTGGAACGCCTACATGCTGTTCTACACGCGGCAGGACGTCGACGAGGGCGGTCTAGTCAATAAAATGGGTGAACTTACTCTTCGTAAGTAATTTATCAAATTAATTTAAATAAATAATTCATTTTATGTGTTTTTAGAAGATAATAAAGAAGTTCCGCACCTGAAAATGCCCGTCTCCATCGAGAGCAGCATTCGCCGGCAAAACATCAAGTTCCTCCATCATCGCAGCCAGTTCTCGGCGGAGTACTTCACCTTCATACGCAAGTTTGTGCATGGTAATGCGCCGGCGGGCGCACGTGTTACCCATCCACTCCCGCCGGAGTTGGAACAGCAGTCGATGCTTAGCACGCAGCTCGCCAGCAAGTTCCTATTCCACACCGGCTGGCACACGAAAAAGAACCTGCGTGGCTCTGCGATGGATTGGTGCGATGTGCTTTGTTTACATTTGCGTGCTGCACCTTCGATACGATCATGGTTTGCGCAGCATATGCTCTTCAACTATCCGCATCGCTTCTGCGAGTACCTGCTGAGCTGCCCCAGCAACGAGGTGCGCTCCGCGTTTATGAAGATCGTCGTACTCCTAGCGCACTTTGCGATGAACGACGGGCCGTGTCCGTGCCCGCCTGGACTCAATAATGCTGACGCAGCAGCTACGCTCAGTGACCATATTCTCTGGGCGCTGCTCAGTTTGCTGCAGCGCGAAGTTAGCGAACACGGACGACACTTACCTCATTATTGTAACGTATTTCATATGTATGCTAGTCAAGGTAAGCGAAAAATGTTTATTTTATGAAGATTTTATGTAAAACTTAAAATATTTTGCGATAGGAACACGTGAAAAGGAACAACTGCTGAAGATGAATGTGCCTGCAACGTTTATGTTAGTGGCGTTGGACGAAGGACCAGGTCCGGCAATTAAGTATCAGTACACCGAGCTGGGCAAACTGCATCAGGTGGTTTCGTGCCTGGTGCGATGCTGCGACATCAGCGCTCACTGTAAATCCAGTTCCGTTGATCCAGTCCTGCCGAATCCTTTCGGGGACCACACTTGCACCGAGTACATCATGCCTTTGTCGCCTCAGGCTAGCGAAATATTATTCTCTAGAACAAGGTATGATTTTCTTTTACTTTTATTAATTTATTAGTAAAAATTTTACAAAATTTTATTTTGTGATTATTTTTCGTAGTTATATCAAGAAAGTGATAGAAGATTCCAACTTGACGGACGAATCAATAAAACTGCTCGAATATTGTTCATGGGAGAATCCGACGTTTTCACGCACTGTACTCTCTGAGTTACTGTGGCAGATCGCATTCGCTTATTGTCAAGAACTACGCCATCATATTGAGTTATTACTCGCCGTGCTTCTCTTGGAGGATTCATGGCAGACACACCGCGTGCATAACGCCATCAAAGGTATCCAGGAGGAGCGTGAAGGTCTGCTGGAAACAATCGCGCGCTCCAAGAACCACTACCAAAAACGTGCCTATCAATGCGTCAAATGCATGGTGGCGTTGTTCAGTAAATGCCGGCCGGCGCTTCTCATGCTACACAAGAACGCTGATGTGCGAAAGCAGTGGGCGGCGGCGGTCGCATGGCTACAGGATGAATTAGAGCGCCGCTATCAGACTAATCCACAGTACACGTACAGCACGTGGTCGCCACCGCCACAGAGCAACGAGAACTCTAATGGATACTTCCTGGAGAGATCAAACAGCGCGCGTAAGACCCTAGAACGTGCATTAGAATTAATGCCGGAGAGCGAACGTGAAGAGGACGATGCCGCCAGTGAGGAGCAAGAGTCACAGGAGGAGATCACCGAGACGAACCAAGATGAAACGTCGTCGACATCCACGTCCACCGCGACAACAACAACGGCGAGCACAGTCGTCACCACGCCCAACCAGCGTGTCGATCTGCCCGACGTGACGCAAACATGCGACGCGCCGCCGAATAATGCGCCCAACACTTAGTCGACGGCAAGGAGCGCATGCAATTCACTACGTTCGTGTGCACACTCGTGGAGCAACATGGTAAGTGTTTATTAATCACTGCGACGCGAAGATGAGGAGGAGCTGACGCGCCCACTTTGCATTGGTGTGTGTGTGTGTGTGCTGAAATTTATAATTAATTATTTAATTTTCAAGGGGACTTGTGATATGTATGTATGTATATAACGAAGCATTTTTCTCTGACGATATGTTCTCTTTGAATTGATTCATTATAATTTATTTAATCGCGTTGCATTTCCTACAAAACGAAACAGAATAACGACAAAACCAAAAACTTGATGTTGCATTAAGCATTATGGCTGTACAGCTTCTACGCAATCTAATCAACCAAATTGTAAACACTCGAGCACCACACTTCTTCGCCGCCGTCGACATCGCAAAGATATTCCTCACCGTTCGTGCTTCACACGTGCATCATGGAGTGTGTGGGATCTGCGCGCTTGGAGGTCATCAGAATAATCTTAAACAAACTGCTAATCGTATTATACTAAAGAAAATATATTCAATCGCCGCTCCCGCCATTAACGAAATGAAAAACCACAAAAAAAAATGCATAAAAATGGAGAAAATACGAGGAATGAATGTTTCACAAATTAATCTTTAAGCAAACATAAAGGTCATCTAATCTGTTCGCTGGTTACGCATTGATTTTTGTAACGTGCCGCAACTTTTTACTTTTCCCGTCTTCATTTCTCCCTCACTACAAATTCTAGTTTAATTATTTGTATATAATTATACATATTATATCCCTTATCCATATTATTTATGCTGGATGTTGCAAGAGAGTGTTAATCGCCGCCATTATTGAAAATTTGCTGCGATGGAACTAAAGTTGACATGCAACACACAAACAACGTCTAATTGAATGGCAAAGATGACGAAAATACCTGTAAATACCTAGTAATAAACAGTTTTATGCTATTTAATCAATTATTCTATTGAATTGTTCATCTATGCGAGATTTTTTATTTGTGATATGTCAGCCATTGCGCTTTATGTATGATTTCGAGCAAGTTTTTTGTTTTAAATTTGATTTGTAATTGGTACGATGTTGTTACAAGTGTTTGCGTTGATTGATTGATATCGATCAAGGCGAGAAGACTATGTATTTTGCAAGCGAGTATGAAATGAGCAGCGGATAATTGGTGTGTTGAGAAACGAACGAAGATTCGTGTGGCAATGAGGCGCACGGCAGAGAGAAGTCAAAGTTATATGTACGTGTGGAACAAAACGATTTGATGATACCTTGAACTATGTCATTATCGGCTGATGATAATTGATTCGCGACAAAATTTGTATTAATAAACACAATTGTTATTATAGAAGACATGTGAAAGTTATTTTACCCTTTTCTTGTAGGTGTGATCATCAATCTTTGATTTTCTTTTATAATTTGTTGTATGATATTAAAAAATTAATAAATTTTTATTTAAACTATAATTTATGATGGATTTATTTACCTTCTGACGTTTTCAGGAATAATTTTCATGGTGAAATATGAAAAAAGTGTTTTGTGTTTTTTAAGGGCAAAAGGGCTTTAATATCCGGTTGTTGTCTGCGGTTTATGAATGAGAATTAAGTGTACTTTCAGAATCTGAAATCAGAATTTAAAAATTCCCATTATTACAGAACCTGCATTTGCTGAAATAAAAGATTTCATCATAAAAAAGGCAAGATTTCTCTTTTTTATGTCGAATGTTGTTTTTATTAAAATTGCAAATAGGGCCTTAACGGTTGATGTAAGGAAAAAAAGTTACTAAAATAATCGATGTAGAATTAAATTATCAATCAGAATCTGAAAACAGAATTTAAAAATTCCAACTTTTAATTTTCAACATAAAAAAGAGAAATCTTTTGCCTTTTTTATAACAAAATCTTTTTCTTAAAAATTTTTTGTGCCATTTTTATCATTTTTCAATAAGGATGCCATCTTGTTCTGAATTTTTCAAGGATCAAGAATATGTAGTCCTTTTTTTGCTAGCTCTCTTTTAGTTATCGAGATAATGACCAATTAATCTTCAAAAATTAGACTCTCCCGACGGAATACAAGTGTTTCATTAAAATTGTAAATAGGGCCTTAACGGTTAGTGTCAGCAAAAAAAGTTACTAGAATAATCGATGTAGAATTAATTAATCTATCAGAATCCGAAAACAGATTTTAAAAATTCCAACTTTTAATTTTTGACATAAAAAAGATAAATGTAATCAAAGACTAAATGGTTATTATCTCGACAACCAAAAGAGCTAGAAAACAAAGAACTACATATTCTTGATCCTTGAAGAATTCTGGACAAGATAGCATGCTAATTGAAAAATGACAAAAATGGCACAAAAAATTTTTAAGAAAAATATTTTGTCATAAAAAAGGCAAAAGATTTCTCTTTTTTATGTTGAAAACTAAAAGTTGGAATTTTTAAATTTTATTTTCAGATTCTGATAGATAAATTAATTCTACATCGATTATTTTAGTAACTTTTTGTGCATACGTCAACCGTTTAGGCCCTATTTACAATTTTAACGAATACAACATTCGACATAAAAAAGAGAAATCTTTTGCCTTTTTTATGACAAAATCTTTTTCTTAAAAATTTTTTGTGCCACTTTTGTCGTTTTTTAATAAGCATGCTAACTTGTCCAGAATTCTTCAAGGATCAAGAATATGAAGTTCTTTTTTTTTGTAGCTCTTTTAGTTGTCGAGATAATTACCATTTAATCTTTAGTAAACATTTCTCTTTTTTATGTTGAATAATAAAAGTTGGAATTTTAAAATTCTGTTTTCGGATTCTGATAGGTAAATTAATTCTACATCGATTATTCTAGTAACTTTTTTGGCTGACACTAACCGTTAAGGCCTTATTTTCAATTTTTATGAAACACGTGTATTCCGCCGGGAGAGTCTAATATTTGAAGATTAATTGGTCATTATCTCGACAACTAAAAGGGCTAGAAAACAAAGGACTACATATTCTCGATCCTTGAAAAAATCTGAACAAGATGGCATCATTATTGAAAAACGGCAAAAATGGCACAAAAAATTTTTAAGGAAAAGATTTTGTTATAAAAAAGGCAAAAGATTTCTCTTTTTTATGTTGAAAATTAAAAGTTGGAATTTTTAAAATCTGTTTTCGGATTCTGATTGATAATTTTATTCTACATCGATTATTTTAATAACTTTTTTTGCTTACGTCAACCGTTAAGGCCCTATTTGCAATTTTAATGAAAACAACAATCGACATAAAAAAGAGAAATCTTTTGACTTTTTTATGATGAAATCTTTTATTTCAGCAAATACAGGTTCTGTAATAATGGGAATTTTTGAATTCTGATTTCGGATTCTGATAGTAGATTAAATTCTGAATCAGGAACCAGTAACATAATTATAGATTAAGGCCCTTTTGGCATGTAAAATAACTAAAATCCATTTTTATTGCACATTTTAAGCACAAAGAAAACAGGACAATCGAATTGAAGGTATTTGCATCTTGTAGAAGGACTCTTCAGCAATTTTATGACGTGGAGAAAGAAATGAAGCATGCCATGCTTAAGTACCTGTATCTGAAATGAATAAAAGAAGAAAATGGTACATAAATGTCAAAAAGATCAAAATGTCTTATAATATTTCTGTATTATATCATTAGCACCTACATTACAAGTTAATACATTCAAATTTATATACAAGATAATCCCAGAAGCATTAAAACATTCTTAAAAATACATAAACTAATATTTCTAGTATTGTTATCATAAATAATTGAATATTCATGCATGCATCAGCACACAAAAAGGCATAATTTGTTTATATGTTTGTTTTGTTGTGTGTACCAAACTTAACAACCCTACATCAAAGAATCAATCACATTTACCCATGTATATTATGTGCTGGTGGGCCGTAAACAGTTTTTACAATCAGTCTGTGCCTTTAAAAGCAACTACGCAACTTGTAACACTACAAATCAATACATATAGCGCGTAACATCTCATTTATAATCCCGTCATATTTGAAATTGAAACTAATTACAATCGTGTTCAACGCAATGTAAAACATAAAAATAATTTGAATAACCTGCTCATTAATTACATTCGTGTCGCTCAAATATTTGGCACTACAAAACCATCTACATTCTGATATTGATTGATTTGTTTATAATTTATACAATATTTCAGTTCTATGAAGCTGTCTACAGTGCGAAAGACTTCTTGTTTGCGGTAAGTTGGTAGTCCAGGGCGTAGCAAGTGCGTTGTTAATCCAGTGGCGTAGCAAATGCGTTGGTAATCCAGTGGCGTAGCAAGTGCGTTGGTAATCCAGTGGCGTAGCAAGTGCGTTGGTAGTCCAGTGGCGTAGCAAGTGTTTAAAATGTTAAAAATTAAAAGTTGGAATTTTTACATTCTGCTTTCGGATCCTGAAAGTAGATTTAATTCAGAATCAGAATCTATTAACACAATTATAGATTAAGGCCCTATTGGCATGTAAAAACCAATGTTTGCATTAAAATTGCAAATAGGGCCTAAACGGTTAATGTTATGAAAAAATGTTACTAAAATAACTTATATAGAATTAAATTATCTTTCAAAATTTAAAAATTACTATTATTACAAAACCTACACTTGAAAATGTCAGGCACTTCCGAAAAAAATTTGAATTTATTGTAACAAATTTTCAATATATTGTACCTTTTTGCATTGTTATATTTAACGTTTGTATGAATCCACACCCGTTCGATTCATACCGAGGTGAAATTAAGGTGTAACTTCACAAATATTTAGTTTTATATTGCAATCTCTAAAAACCCGCGCGATAAGATTCAATGATTCACTTATCACATATTAACGAAGTCTGTTGATAACAGCAATACCACTAAAACAGCTATCATTTCGGTTTGAAACCAGCAGTGTAGACATTCAATAAATATTACTCGCTATTCAAGCATTTCGTTTTAACCAGGCTAAGCAAATTAGCCAAGTGGTAAAAATTAGTGTTTTAGCTTACTAATTACCTACCATGCCTCTAAAGGAATATTCTGACAGTGCCAGTAAGGAACCATTGCTATTTGATTATGACGACGGCGATGACTTTATGGAACCAAACGACGGTTACCCGCTTTTCTTCAGTCAAAACCAAGTTGATGGTATGTCTATCATATATCTAAAATAAAACAAAAATGTTTACTTATAATCTCTTGTAAATGCAGATTTTAATGAACAACTTAATCTTACCCGTTCACAACGTGTCCGCGCTGCAATGTTCCCTGAAACCCTTGATGAAGGCATCGAAATACCTTCAACCCAACTGGATCCCAAACGTCCAACCACTCTACAACGCCTTGCTGAACCCAGCCAACTTCTAAAATACGCCATAATTAATCTAATCAACTATCAAAGTGACGCAGATTTTAGTGTTCAAGCCGTTCCAGAATTAATCCAACTTTTAAACGACCCAGAACCTGAAGTAATCGCACGTGCCGCCATGATGGTGCACCAACTGACCAAAAAGGAAGCATCACGTCATGCTATGATGAACAGCCCAGAAGTTGCTAATCTTGTCACAGCAATGTTTAATCTTCTAAGCAGTGTAAATGACCATCAAACAATGAAAGCAGTACTTGGAACAATGCATAACTTGTCACACCATCAACAAGGTTGTGCATTCATCTTCAAAAGCTTCGGTATTCCATTCCTCGTGAAACTCTTAGGACACCCAGAAGAGAAGATTGTATTCTATGCAATAACAACCTTACACAATCTTTTGACATTCCTGGAAGGAGCCAAGAAGGAAGTGCGTGATGCTGGTGGTATACAAGCAATGGTCCAGCTCTTAAACAACAGGAATGTTAAACTATTAGCAATTGACATAGACTGTCTAAGAATCTTGACATTTCAACATGAAGATAGTAAACTGATTCTTCTTGGATCAAAAAGTCATATTGATCTGTTGCATCTAATGAAAACCTGTAACTATGAAAAATTATTATGGAAAACATCAGCGTTGCTACAAATTTTATCGGTGGTACCAAGTCATAAACCAGCGATTGTCGATGCAGATGGTATGCAAATCTTAGCTGAGCATCTGATTCATCCCAGTCAAAGATTGGTACAGAATTGTTTATGGATTTTAAGGAATCTATCTGATGCAGCAACAAAAGTAGATAATGTGAGGAATCTACTACAATCTTTGATTCCATTCTTACAAACATCAGATGCCAATCAAGTGATTTGTGCAGCTTGCATTCTTTCAAATTTAACCTGCGATAATTACAATAATAAAGTCATGGTGTGTCAACTTGGAGGTGTTGATGCCCTGATGACTGCTGTTCACAACGCAAGAGATATTGAAGAAGTTGTTGAACCTGTCATGTGTACTCTAAGACATTTAACATGGAAACATTCAGAAGTAGATTTTGTCCAAGAGGCGATCTGTGCAAACAATGGGATACAGATACTTTCTAACCTATTAAACCCACCTTCAAGATGGCCGACAATCAAAGCTGTCATTGCTGTTATTCGCAACATGGCGTTGAATCCTGAAAATCATATTCCTTTCAGGGAACATGGCGCTGTGCATGTTTTAATTGATTTATTACAACAATCATACCGAGATACTTTTGGTCAAAATAATGTGAGTGTTAGTAGTATGGGATCCACAGCTCCCGGAAGTTATGCAGATGGAGTCAGAATGGAGGATATAGTTGAAGGTACCACTGCTGCGTTGAATGTCCTGGCACGAGATAGACACAACAGGCTTATTATTAGACAAAAGATGGATTTGCAGATATTTGTACAGTTATTATACAAAGATATTGAGGGTATTCAACGGGCTGCTGCTGGTGTACTTTGTGAACTTGCCATTGATAAAGAAGGAGCTGAGATGATCGTACAACAATCTGCCACGGATATTTTAGTAGAACTTTTACGATCAACAAATGAAGGTAATAGTTATTTTAGTTTAATATACTTTGAATTAATGTAAAACTTAAAATTTTTAGGTGTGGGTACTTATAGTGCTGTTTGTCTCTTCCGGATGTGTAAAGACGCACCACAGGAATACCAGAACAGAATTATGGTTGATTTGATGAACTTCCGGCTTGGACAAGAGTATATTATGAATGCTGATGCAAATATGCATGCAGATCAAGGTGTAAGTTAAACTTTTATTAATTTTTATTTAATTTTTAAATTTTTTAATTTATTTTCTTTATTTTCCCGAAAAGTTATATGATTATTACGCCCCATCTGTTGAACCCAGTGTGCACAGTGTACACAGTGTGCATAGTGTGCAAAGTAGTGTTTATGGAGTCAGGACACCACCATTATCACCCCCATATCAACAATCAGGTAATTTGTATTTTAAAAATTGAATACAGAATAATATACCTTTGTTTTTTGTGGATTAAAGAGGTTGGATCCGTGTATAGTGGAATGGAAACCATGAGAGTAGGTGATATGCGTGCAATGAGAGCCCAACCAGATTATGCTATCATTAACGACAATTCTTCTCCTCTGCCTCCTCCACCATCTTCAAATGATGGAAGGCAGGATATGGTGGACAACGGTTCGATGATTGGGTTGCCGCCTCCGCCAACCCAATGGGTTGTCAATGATGTTAGTCTGTAAATTAAAAACAATGTAATTAGAATTTTAAGAAATGTTTTTACAAATAAAGATTTATTTAATCAATTTGTGACCAAAATTAAGGACTACAAGTGTAACACTGCTAAAAATGCAACCTAGTTTGGCTTTTACTCGCTAGGTGGCGCTGTATGTACAATATTTCAATTTATTTTCTTAATTCCAAATAAAAGCTATTAAAATTAATTAATAACTGTAATATGATAAAATGAAACCGTAAAAAAATAAAATAAATGATTTTATCAGGAGTTGGCATGAGAATCTCTGGTAACTAATATTTTTACGTTGTCATAAATCTCATCTACAATATTACGCTCTTAAGATCCAATTTCTTGAGCACTTCACTTCTGTGCAAAAACATTTAAACGCGTTTAAACGCCTGCATGCCCCGTAGCACAGTGTGTGTTGCAGACGGAGGCGGCAGTGGCGGCGGCGCTGCGGTGCGAATCTTACGAGCGCCTAGACTAAAATAATAATAAAACAGGTTAGCGATCGACCCTGTGAGCACTTAAACGCACCTGCTCTAGTTCGCACCATCTAAGCTGTTGCAAACGCCATCAAATCCAAGAAACCTCGGCTTAAGATTCCTTCTCTTTGCTTTCTTGTTTATAGCTCGTTTGTAAATATAGTCGCTGGTCAAAACCACGGTGCGCGCTCTCCTTTTTTGTTGTTTTTGTTTGTTTGCGCCAAGTTGAGCAGTGTAAAAATGAACAGATTTTTGTTTTGGCTTCTAATAGCTATCATTATTACCTAGATATATTATATGGCTATAAATGGCTTTGGGAATAATGCTAATGGACAACCATGTTGACAAATAGCCGTCATTGTTGAGCGTTGATAATCACGTAACAATTATAGGTTGCAATGGAAGCGCAGCAGCCGTTCGAAGGCGAAGGGGGTTTTCGAAATGCGTGGAACCCTCGGGCGTTGAGCTTTTGCTGTCATTACACTTGCATCTGTTTGTTCACAAGCACTGAGATACATAATAATAAACATTGAATTGCAGTTCATTCAAGTTGTGCACAACAAGAATAAAATATAACCAAATATAGGGATTTTATTTGGATAGGCAACTTGTTAATCTTTTGTTGCGTTGATTATAAACTCAATTATTTTAGTGAAAATGCCGGTAAATATTTCCTGAAGTCTAAATATGAATTCCGCGTCGCTCAGTTGTATTCACTTGTGTTATGTTTAAATGATTTTGTTGTAACGCAACTTGCACCTCAACAAATTAACTGAAAAATCGTGTTTAAGTTATAGAAATTTGCATTGCAATTTGTAGGGATGTTGGGTTGCATAACTACAACAATATTTCATATGTTACCATCGATGACATGTCTTTAAAAAATATTCTAGCTCATAATTGCAAGAAATGAAAATATTTTTCGTCGTTACACAGAGAAAATTAATATAAACCAACTAAATTATACAAATATCGCCGTTATAAAGACTTAGATTACTTTTCCTACTTAAATTTAATTTATGACGGTATTCTATTTGATATCAACCCTTTTAAAGCGTAACCGCGTCCAGAATTCGTCGAATTAATTGTAAAACAAAGTAATTTTAAATTGAACTGATTAACAAAGGAGTGATTCCAGCAATCCAACGCATCGTGACACTAGGAAAATCGGTGCCCACATGCATCGCATGCACGACGCACGCATTCGTCGCTTTTAATTGGTTTTCTCCAGCATTTACTAATTTCTGTTTGATGCCGGGCGTTCGTAATTAATCCCAATTAACTATAACGATTCCAACAAATTATCTTTTATGTTTTTGATTTACTTTTCAGACGAATCATCAAGGTCTCACCAATGTACATCATCTAACTCTATAAAAATCTTATAAAACTAAACAAAACACGAAAAACGTTAAAAATTAAAATTTTAATTTTTATAATTAAAAATACATCCTGTTTGTCGCCGCAGAATGTCGCTGAAAATAGATCACACTAATTAACAATGCAGCAATTCCATAATATGCTTTAATTGCTTGATTCCTTCATTTAATGCAAATTTATCTCGTCATTTCACAGAGTTTGATAAACTTGTCTGCGCACATTGTACACATTTTTGCTTTTCATTGAGTGTTGCAATGCGCATTAATGAACGGAAGTGAACAAATTATGAATGAGCGCATCAGCGCACTGAATAAAAACACATCGCGACGCACATATGAGCACAAGTGTCGGCGCGCGCGTTTTTATAGATTTCGTTTCATTTCGATTTCATGAATTATATTGTGTCGCGCATATGTGCGATGACGTTACACATGAGACTCGAAACTCAATTCACGCATGAAATGTGTGTGCACGCCGCCGCGGCACACAATGTGCTGCGGAAACGCCTTTCATAATTTTTCCGGCGCGCTGTCGAAAGGTTTGATTGATCGCCGCCGAAAACCGCAACAATTACAATCAGTGTGAGTGCCAAATTCTATCTCCACCTATATATCGGGCGCAAATCTGTTAGTATCACAGCGTTCGTATTTTTAATCTTTGTAATGGCCTATTGTATCTTCCGGCTGGTGACATTTTTATTACGTTCGGAAAGTTCAACGTTAACTTGGACTTGATAACAACAGGCAACTGGGTTTCACTGCATCAGGGCAGGATTTAGAATATTTTTATTTTACATCACATTTTTTTCACTTTTTTCACTTTTTTCACCGTTTTGAGACAAGAAAAGTGACATTTTAGTCACAGATATCCAAAATCGTGATTAAAGTACTTTAGTCACGGGGTGGAACTTACGCATGCGCATTTACCTATGTTGCAGCATAAAAATTAAATAAAAGTAGAAAAAGTATTGTAAGAATCACATCGCTAAACGTGGTTAAAGTGTCACTTAGCGCACTAGACTTTTAATATAACAAAAATTTGAATTTTGATCTCTGACAGTTGAAATTTTATTTTAAAACCGGTGCTGAAGTTCCTGTGGAAACTGTTGTGAAAAATAAGTAATTGTATAAAGCGCGGCCAGATTCCGAGCATCTGCTCTACTTCGAGTACCTACAGAATCCATGTACCTAGGACCTTGCATCAGGTGTTGTACAACCAAAGAGGCTTTTATCCCGAGTGCAATAGTTTGCCACGTTGCAGTCCACTCTTCGCCAACAAATCGGCAGCAGCTCTAATCTTGTCCGGCGCGCGCTTATCAAATTACGCGACGAGCTTCATGTTGTCCCATTTGCGACTGGGAATCTTCTCGTATTTAGAGATAATAGAAAAAGTGAACTTAGATTTGGTCAGCCTGCGCGACACAGTCTGTGCGTGGTGTGTGTGTGTACGAGTAGCGTAAACATTTGCGGTGTGACTCGGGAAGTATCAATTAGAATTAACGCCCCTGCAATAAATCAAGTGATAAATAGTGGCTGTGCAAGCGCGCGCGCGAGCACACGGCGGGCGTTATATAAAAAGCATTTATGTCTTCAATTGACGTGGCGCCTGTCCTATTGTCTTATGCAGCCGGCGAAGAGTAAGCGACTTCACGCCGTTATGTCATTGAGCGTGTGTTGTTGACTCATTGTCGGAAAGTTGAAACGGGGCCCGGAAAGCTGTTCACGTTCACAATTTCTACAATTTGATAGAAATTAATTGTTTTCATTGTAATACCAGTTGGAATTCATAACAGGCGTATGAGAAAATTGAATTTTTATGATTTTTATGTCGTGTTTGGGAAAATTGGGTGTTTTTTAGTGAAAAACCGGTATTAAAACCGGTATACCGGTTTTTTTTTCATAAATTGGTATTTTTTAAATTGATATTGCTTCAGATATAAACCAGAATACAATTTTTTAATAAATAAATTAGTAAATACCGGTATACCGGTATATTTTATTGATATAAATACCGGTTAACCGGTTTTTTTAAATACCGGTATTATTCAATACAATATTTTTTTATATAAACCGAGATATGAATACCGGTATACCGATATTGACAAAATTATGACTTAAAAATACCGGTATTAAAGTAAAAATTCATTTTTCCACCCTAAAATTAATGTCAAAGAGGTTTATTTGCAGTAATAACATGTTTGAGCGCTTGCCAGATGAGCAAATGATTAAACTTTAAGAAAAACTATTCCCCAGTAGCACCCTATGGCTTTATTTTTCTCGTGGACCGCAAATGTGCGCTTAATGCGCACGGTTAATACGCTATTGTGGAATATAAATATTTTTCAAGTACAAAGACAAAACTTAGATGGGAATATATCTCGACCCCGCCTCCGCCATTTGCGCAAACCCCTTTAACTGCGATGTAAATGTGCATAGCCACGGGGCGCGCTTTTGCAGCCGCCGCGCGCCTCATTGTATCCTTTCTGCTTCGGATATGTATCGCATCATCGAGGGCATCTCGTGCTATCTGGAACTCGACATAAGCCACATCAAAAGGTTTTATGTAGATTTCGCGAGTTAAGAAAATAAAAAATAAAGAAACTTTAAAACACTGCCTCTTAATTTGAATTCAAAATGTAAAGAAACCTAAACAGAAAACGGAAAGATAAATACATTAACTGTGTGTGCTTGTACTCACAAGAGGAATAAGAAGCAACTTGATATACGCTTCAGTAACTACAACGTTTATTTCCATCTCCAGAAATAAATAAAATACGAAAAGAAATGTTCAAGTATTAAAATCAGTTGGTTGATCAAACTTTTATTTTTATATGATTTTACTCGTAGATTGAAACAACTAGGATGCGACCTAAGGTTGTGGGAAGAGGGACAGCGTGAGATTTTTATGCGCCGATCGCAGATGCGCATCATTTATCCTGGTTTCGCTCGACAAGAGATTATCGTGACACTATATCAGAAAAATTGTAACCCAACAGATTTTCAGGTTATAACGCGAGCAAACTTTTTTCCCTAGGCGACTCGACAATAAATTATCCTTCAGGAAAGCAGAAGAGTTATGAGTAATGATTGCTGATAACTTTTTTCACGCAGTTTCTACAATTCTGGCGAGTTTTGAGGTTAGAAACAGTGAAAGTATTGTGGTTATGTTACCACTTGCGCTATTTAGACATTTTTGAGGTTAT